GTGATCACCTACAATGAGAAAATGTACCTGTAAGTGATTAGGTCGCCCTTGACTTCCACGACACTTTGCTCATTTCTCTAGCTTTGGTGGCACAAACGGCTTCCAGTGGTTTAACGACGTCTGGTGCTACGACCCCGCCATCAACATGTGGAATCAGCTGGATTGCATAGGATATATCCCGGTTCCCCGAGAAGGCCATGCTGCGTCGTTGGTGGATGACGTGATGTATATTTTCGGCGGCCGTACTGAGGAGGGCGCTGACCTCGGGGATTTGGCCGCTTTCCGCATTGCATCCCGGCGCTGGTACACTTTCCAGAATATGGGCCCGTCTCCCTCGCCTCGTTCCGGTCACAGCATGACAGCCGTGGGAAAGTCTGTCGTTGTGGTCGGTGGAGAGCCTAGTTCGACAACCAACCCAATCAACGACCTTTCTATCGTCTATGTCCTAGACACCACCAAGATCCGCTACCCGAACGATGCCCAGATACAGTCCAATACCCAGAAGATGCAACAAGCCAGACGGCCAAGTGCCAGCGAAGGAGCGCAGGGCCCGACCGGTCGACCTCCAGCATCTCGAGATGGTTCAACTGGACCACCGGAGCAGAAACGACTGGCAAGTGGTCCAAGCAGCCCGACCTCGAAGGGGCCCAACGGCATGTCAATTAACGGACCCATGGCCGCAGTGGCCTCCACCGCGGCCAGCAAGCTTCCGAGGGCCCCAGTCACTGGAGCGCCGGCTGGCCCCCCCCCACAAGGCCATCCTCCGACTCGGCCTACCGTGAACACAAACACCACCAATGGCCGAATTAGGAACGCGTCCATGGAGCGCATTGAACGGGAGGCAGGTGGGGCAGGCTCACCTAGCATTAGCAGTCAAACACAATCGCCAATCTCGCGCGAAGTAATACGAGAGGAGAGCCCTGTCACAAGCAATGGCCGCCGCACGCCAAACCAGCAGCCAAGTCGACCTGCTGGGAAAGTCGAAAATATCCCTGTCGAGGCAATCAAGGGCAAATCGACGAGGCAGGCCCGCAGCAAAGGCTCCACGGATAGCAACGTAGAGCCCGCCCTAAAGGAAACCACTAATCGTCCCTCGTCACCGCCGCCACCAACTCGGCAAATGAGTAATCCATTGTCACGACGGAGTTCTGGTAGAAACTCGCAAACAGTCGCATTACTGAAAGAGTTAGATACCGCTAGGAACCGAAATGCTTGGTACGCCTCGGAGCTCGAACTGGCTCGGAAAGCTGGCTACACATCAAACGCGACATTGAGCCCCGTCCTCGAAAGAGGAGGCACGGAGACTTTCGACGACGAAGACAAACCCCTAATTGAAGCTTTGTTGGCGATGAAGCAGGAGTTGGCCAACGTGCAGACTTCCGTGGATAAGCAAGCCATTCTCGCGGCAAAGCAGATTGCAGAAGCTGAACGCCAACGCGATGCCGCAATCCAAGAGGCAGTTTACGCAAAGGCTAGGGCGGCGGCGCACGGTGCCAGCGCAACGAGCCCGCGGCAGCTGGATAGTGAGCACGCGGATACAGAGAGGTCTATCGAGATCAACCGGAAACTGGCTGCCGCTCTGAATCTCCAGAAGGATCTTCAGAGTCATATTGCTCGCGCAACCTCCGAGCTCGAAGCCGAGAAGCGCGCACGCCAACTTGCTGAGGAGACGTCCGTAGCAGCGCAAAAGCGCATGGCAGATCTCGAAATTTACAAGCAGCAAAACTCGATTGAAGTCGAGCGTCTACGTGCTGAGCTCCATATGGCTCAACGCGAAGCTCGCGAGCAGTCATTAGCTGGGGCCGAAGCAATCGCAGCTATGCAAACTTTGCGTGTGGAGAAGGACGAGTTGGAGAACAAGTATAATGAGGTCAGCGGCGATGGTGGAGATCATGAGACTACCTTTGAATCTCTTCGTGCGGCTGTGGCGGCATCGGAAGAGATGAGAGGCCATCTCGAGCGGAAGGTGGATGAAGAGCGTACAGCACGGGAAAAGATTGAGGCCAAGCTAACCAAGCTCAAAGCTGAGCACGAGGCCCGCACGGCCGAGTTGGTTGCTGTCAGTCAACGCTTGCGGGACGCCGAGGAGCTGGCTGAACGACATGCGAACGAGGCGAAGACACATCGCCAAGCTGTACTCTCTGGTCTTGATAAGATCACACAAGACGGCACCAAGTCGAAGCAGGTTGATGCGGATCGCATAGCTATTCTCCAAGGGCAAGTCAATGCCGCTAATAACTTGGTTCGAAAATTCCAGCAAGAAGCCGATACTGCATCCGACAAGCTTCGCAGCGCCGAAGAGCGCATCGCCGGCCTGGAAGCCTATCAAGAGCAGTCTAGCAGGGAAGGCGTCACTATCCGTAGACAACTACAGGCCGTCATGAAGGATACCCAGTCACTCCAAGCTATGAACTCGGATTTGAAGAACCAGTTATCCAACCAGCAACTCGAGACAAATGCCATCAATGTCCAGCACAACACCCTAAAGGACATCCTGACCGAACGAGGCATCAGCCCAACAGGTCTTAGTCGAGTGCGCGGCATGAGCAGTCGAACTAATTCCCCAAATAGCGACCTTGGGCAGCTACTCGCTGAAGCTAGAGTGGCTAACGAGGACATGAAGCAAAACTACGAAACCCAGGCCCAACAGGCCGAGGCAGCTTACCGCGAGAGGGTCTCTCAGCTCGAAAATGACTACCAATCTGCAGTTCACTACGTCAAGGGCACCGAAAAGATGCTCAAGCGAATGAAGGAAGAGCTGTCCAAGTACAAGACCGAAAACACTCGCCTAAAGTCCGAAAACCTTGAACTCGAAGAGAAGGCGTTGGGATCTGAAGCACGCGATACGTCTGCATCCGCTGAATGGGATACCGAGCGCTTGTCTCTCCAGCAGAAAATTGAGGACCTACAGGAGCAGGTCCGAACCACCTCGGCACAACTTGACCAACAAATATCTGAGGTGCGCGAGGAGCTCGAGGCTGTCAAGCAAGAGCGAGATAGCGCCACAAAGTCGAGTGGTGAGGTAACCCAGCGTCTCACAAGTAGAGAGAAAGAGCTTGAGGAGATGCGGGAAGAGAATGCCCTCCTTGAAAAGCGTGCCCAAGACGCGGAACACAAGGTTGGCCTACTCCTTGACCAGGTTGAAAGCTCGGTCGACCATTACCGCAGAAGGAGTCGCCAGGTGCCCAGTATGGGCTCGGGAGCCGAATCCACCACGAACGGCCTCGGCCATCAACGCCAGGAGAGCTCGGAAGCAGAAAGTTTGTATGGCGGTATCGACGCCAGAAACAGCATGGCCCTCGACAACCTGGCCGACGAGCTGGATATGCTGAGATCAAAATGGGAAGCGACGAATGAGAACTACCGCCTGTCGAACGCCTTCGATTTTGAGATGACGCCTGCTAAGAAGAGCGATGACGGCGCTGCGCTTGGCCTCAGCGAGAGCTTGGCTGACTGGCGAAAGCGGCTTGATACTGAGGAGCGCAAGGGTCCCCAGTCATAAGAAGTCACGTGTCCCCCTCCCCGGTCATCAGCGGCTCTCTTTCACCCACTTTGCAGAGTTGAGACTTTTCGGCACTGAAACCCCCATATATCCGACACTCGTATATGCCCCCTGCACCACCGCAGGCGGACATAATGTGTACCATGCACATTTGTTTCATGGAGTTGCTGCGTATTTGGTTCTTTGCCATCGTTTTTTGGTCGTAGTGTAGGCTGGGTTTTCTATCGCATTCTGATACCGCAAGTGTTGTACGACTGAATCATCCCATATGGATGGGCTATTTCCGAGACCGAGACCCCAATTTTATGACAGCATTTGATTGTTTTTTTCTTCCTTTCTGGACCAGACGAGATGATTTGCACACCGCTCGGAAAAATAGACGAACGAACGGACGCGATTCATGGAGTTCCGAGTTACTGGGTGGGGAGGCTATTCGTACCATTGTTCGTTCCCCCCGTGCAATATGTTTCGAAACCTCTCGAATTGAAGGAAGGAGGACACGAAGACCTGATAAAGATAATGTACAATACGCACACTCACGATGGTGGATGACGTCCTTCAGTTTGCCCATTTATAAGCTGGCGGGAGCGATCCCGCAACCCTCGCTGCTGCGTTTTTGCCGCAGGGGGAAAGCATGGGCGCTTGACCAAGATGAGGACTATTGAATGATGAGAAGATTTCGTTTGACACTACCGGACTTTACATGATAACCCACGCATGGGGGCACTGAAGAAAAGGTGCTATCTCTCACTCGACTTACCCAGCCTTCTCGCGTCATATGCTGATTTCAGCACGCTCAATTGCAACCATCCCTCTTCGAGACCGAGACTCGTCGGGCTCAATGTGATCCAGGTGAAGTCGTCAAAAATAATACATGGACCAGAAGCAGCTGACCCTGTCTACGATGGTTGTGTATTGCGGCACCAACGGGCGATCTGCGGCCGGGTCATGCGCTTGAGGATGCTGCCATTCAGCACGAGTCCGAGGTAGCTCCAATGGGTTTGTTTAGTTCCGAAGCTCAGCCCTACAGCCTCAATCGTAAAGCTGACATTTCTACGCCAAGCAGGTGAGGTAAATAGCTATGTAACGTTCCAAAAGCCGGCGTTTGCCGTGCAATGGCTATTGTCAGCACGCCACAGATCCAGTCAGATAGACAGACAGGCAGGCACTTGATTGACCGTAGCAAATTAATCTCGGATTCGGCTTGCGGTGGTTCTATTTTGTCAAGAGCTAATCTCACAGTCACAAACCCAATACGGCTTCTGTCTGGACGAGGGCGGTGGCTTGTGTTGACGACAGCCTCAAGTGCTTATAATGGATGTGTCGTACAAGTGTATATAAGGACGAGTGTCGTCTGTGTGAGTTGCTGTTCTCTTTTCTCATCACAAAACAACATCTCCACAGCTTCTCATCCAACCTTCAGACTTTTCTGCTGCTCTAGCTACGAAATCTCACATCCACAATCACCCTCAAATTCAAACCTCTCCGATCCTCGAAAATGCACTTCTCAACCCTCACCCTTTCGGCCCTTGCGGCCCTCTCAGCCGTCACCGCATCCCCCTCCTCCCGCTCCCTTACCCAACGCTCCTGCCTCGAGCAACAACCCGCTACCATCGGCTTCCCTATCAACTACAACGTCTCGTCAACCCGCGCCGACGCCGTCACCTTCCAGCTTCCCCCCAACTCGGTCGGCCCCTGTACACTGGTGGCTAAGTTCCCAGCCGGTTACGCGGTGCCACACTCTGAGGTCGGAAACCCGCTAGTCAATGTCATCGATATCAACGGCCCGGTCCAAGGATCCGTAGTCGGCAGCTTGAGGTTCGCAAGTTTTGCTGATAGGGATAGCTTGGTGTACATAAATTCCTTCCAGTGTCGGGATGTGATGGAGTATGAGTTAGAACTGGCGCCGGAGGAGCCCGAGAGCGCTTGGGTTGCGTTTGCGGAGGTTTTGGATGTTGGATTGGTTATGGATGTTGGGGACTGTTAGAGGACGAGGAGGGGGAATAGTGTTGTCTCGGGGGAGTGAGAAGTGCAGAACGTGTAGATAAAAGGCTGGGACCGGGCGGGGATGGATGAGCTGGGTATTGGATTATAGACGGACGCTTTTGCATTTGGAGTTACTTGTTGGGCGTTTATGTTGCTTGATTTTAGCTTGATTTTAGCTTGTTAATGCCAGTCACTCATTCTACGTGTTAATTCTAAAGATGCCCGACGGCAGATAGCACAAAGTGACCACTGACACTGCAGTGGCTGCTCTGACTTGCGTCTTACTTGAGCAATTCAACAAGACGATTGGACAATCGTATGGACCCGGGAGCCTTGGAACAGTCATAATAGCAACCTGGAAGGTCTGCGGGCCCGAGGGGGGGATGGGCAAAACCATGGCCTCATACTGTCGTTAGTTTTGGCATCCAGACTCAAAGCAACACCGAGACTATATGCTCGAATCTTTTCCTTCCATAGTCTCCTCGTGGAACACTTCCGCTATCCATTTCATTCTGGTAGCTAGCGACATGCGATCGTAGTGATCAATATGAGATCCAGACCTGGCAAAAAAGTTACAGTTCAGCTCAAGACAAATGAAGTTCCGAGAGGCGTCTTACCTCGCATGGATCGAGAACGTAAGTCTCCATACGCCGGATCCTGTCCCGCTGGTGTGGTAAAACGTGGCTAGGAAAGAAGCTAAATGCTGAATCGAACGGCCCAGAAGGATATGCTATACGATGTAACCATGGAAGAGAGCGACTTCTATTACTGAAATCCCGCTGTCGTCTGCGGGCCTGGAGCCTCCGACTACGTGGAGTGTGTATATATCTCATCTCGTTGGCATTGTGGCGCAATTTCCCCGCGGACGCCACAAGGTCCCGGTGGCTTGACGGCCAGAGGCTGTCAGCAATAGTTGCACTGCCAAATTCTTATGGAAGGCGCCTAGAACAAACTCACCTATACCCACTGTCCTTGTCAGTTGACTTGTTCTCTCCCAAGTAACAAGCCCAGAACCTCGCGGCCCGTGGCATCACATCACGGTGAACAGATTTGGTCACAATTTCGCGCTAGGTCTCAAAAGGTTGGCAGATTGTACACCGATCACTTTCCCATCCGAAGCAATATTTCTCTCGAACATGACGGATACGTGTGGTCGCTGTGGAACCAGCGTCCTCTGTAGATCTCGGCACGCGGCGGCAGAGCAACACTCTATTTCGGCGTGGTCCGCGATCCTGAACCCAGAATTTTGGAGTCAGCACGAGGCTGAGATAGCATTTCGAACTATCCGATTGTACTTTGGGCGATGTAGAATGTAGGGCTGCTCACGTGTTGCTCAAAATTGCAACTTGGCAGTCAAGCAGCTTTCGTGGTGTATAATGAATCTCGAAAGTGGGAAAACAGGTTTCCCACCAGGGCCAGCCGTCGGGATTGATTCGCAGCCACTGACAGCAGCATTACACAAGTGCTATTTAAGGCATGGCGGTATCACTGCATGCCCGAGTTGGCCAGCACGTGCACTAAGAACCCAGGGATTGAGAACGCACCAGCTTGTGTCGTTTCAAAAAAAAAGAACGAAAAAAGGTTTCCCTTACCTCGATGCAACTATCCAAGGCCACGTTCGCCGACACGTCATAGCTTCATGCTGCATACTTTTTGTGGGTGATAAGCAGCAAGCAGCGAGTGCAGCACCGTACAACAAATGGCAGGAAATTTTGCCACGCCACGATGGAGCAGGCCCTTGCCTTGCGCTAAGAATTCGTGGTTTCTCGACGAGTGCCCACGTTGCGCAACTTTGCTCGGAGGGGGATCAGGACGAACCCTCTCCAAACTGGTGTTGCACTGCCGGTCAACGAATCGTAATCTATGGGAAGTTGGGAAGCCATCAATTGATTCGGAGGAGCTGTTGAGGTTCGTCTGACTGACCCTTTAAGGTTGCAGTTTCCCAACGCAGCTCACCGTCAATTGGCTCACGATCGTTCGGACTCAATTGAGCCTGTCGCTTGGCATTTCAGGAACAGAAAGAACGCAGGGTGTCTCTGAAATTAGAGATGAGATCAAATTTGTTAGTGGTGATCGACAGGACAGGTACCTTTGGCGTCTAATTCGCCGGGTCCAGAGCAAAACGGTACCTGCATGAGGGCCTCACTTCATGTTGCCCACTAATACCTCCGATCCTGGCAGAGGCATGCCTGTCGCGATCACTGCAGCAGCGAATCGGACGAGGAATCCAGGCGCATCTGCGGGCCTCGTCAACACCAATGGACGGCAGATGGAACGACAAAGGAAATCAGGTTGGTCGGGCTATCAGGTTTGAGAAAAGGGGGGCGTAGATCGTGCCTTGTTTAGCGACGCGGCCTCGACACAATTGCCCACCTTCCACTGCTGCCACGCTGCCCGGCTTGCCCACCCCTGGCAAAGCGCCAAGTCCTGGTGGATGGAAGAGCCCCTAAGCCCCAAAACCCTGGCCCTTGTCCGCCTGTCTCTCATTTCCCACGTTCACTTATTATCCTTTGTCGCTGTCTTCTTTCCTGTTCTCTTTTCTCTGTTCAGATCCGACCAGGCCACCGTCGCTCTCTAACAGCAAACTTCGTCACTTTCCCGTGGGTTGTCAACTCACTGTCACTCTTTTTGGACTCGACGCTGCTTACCATCACTCACTATACCTTACCTATAGAACCAACTGTCTCGATTGACTCGATCTGACAAAGCGAGACGAAACAACAAGATGCAGCTTTCTAAATCAGTTCTGCTCCTCACCGCATTGAGCGCTGGTACCGTCTCTGGACGTGCCGCTCATAAGCACAAGCACCGCCATGCTGACCTCCACGAGGAGCGTTCTCTCGGCGACAAGGTGGTAGCCGTCATTGACGGAGCCACCGTCACCTGGGAGAACACCTACAGTGGTGAGACGGGTGCTCCCGTTGCCAGCAGCTACACGGCCACCCCCACCACCACCAAGGTCAAGGCCGATGACGTGAAGGCCTCGTCTACTGCTACCTACTCTGCCTCCTCCTCGGCCGCAGCTACCTCGGCCGCCTCTTCGGGCGACAGCTCCCCTGTCTATACCGAGTACACGGAGTTCTGCAGCGCTGCTGCCAAGGCCAAGCGTGCCACCGCCGCCCAGATCGCCTACACGGGCAACACGGGCACAAGCGACGACTGGGGCTGCAACATGCAGCTCGTCGCCGCTGATATCGCCGACCAGTACGACTACACCATCAAGGTGACGGGCCAGAACACCGAGTCGTGGAAATTCGTCTGCTGGAACAAGATCGGCCCCGACGGCCTAATCGATGGCTGGTACAACCACACGGCCGTCAGTTTCGACCTAGCACCCGGCGCAACCCAGTACGTTGCCTTCCAGGCCAACTCTCAAGGTGCCTGCGCTAGCCAACCCGGCAATGAAATCGAAACCGACAGCTATGGTGGCTTTGTCACCACCTGGTTCGAGTTTGACTTCGCCAATGAATCCAACGACAACTGGTCCGGCGCCGACGTCTCCTCCATTCAGGCCGAGGCCGCCGGTACTTCCGTCTACGGCATGAGGGCTTGCTCCGGTGACGTCTGCTCCACTATCGGTGCCGACATGAGCATCCTCGACAACGCCTTCAGCAATGCTCTCAAGCTCGCAGATGGTCTCGGTCTCAACCTGCCCGCCGGCCCCGTCAGCATCGACGTCGTCATCGACTACTCGCCTTAACATAAACAAAAAGTCGCCTTAGCTGGGGAACCTGAGAACCTGAGGACCCGTGATCATCCTAATGTTTAGCTATTTTCTGTAATTACATTTGGATATTGTTTTATGTAATTACATGGAGCCATTGCTGAACTACGCTTTTATATTACCAAACTCTACCTGCCATGTGTGGAATCACCATTCATTCTGCGAATGTGCAAAGCCGTGTGTGACGTTACGTTATTAGGGTCCTGGCAGATACAAACTTCTTCTCTTCGAAATATACTTTTTTTGGTTCACCGTGCCACACGACCCTCGGAACCCGGAAGTCGTTGTCTGCTGGTTCCGGACCGTTGGGTACTGATCGCAAAGTTTATCAACACTGTTTGGCACCTACACGACGTGTTTTTTGGTCGACACCAGGCTTCGTATCTGGGGATGCCACTGGGACGATGATGGAGTTCACAGGGAGCGCTTTGGTAGATTTACAGGATTACGACTTACAATTTGATCTTTATTGATGAGTTGATTCCGCTCTGCGTATTTAGTGGTATGAAGACAATAATGTGATATAACTTGACGACCGCCAACTTGGCCCATGCTCTCTCATGTACTGTGAGAACCAGGTGTCACATCTTGGGTAAGTATTGAGATCGATCTCAAGCGCTGCCATTGAAGGCGGTACAGCGACAATCCTAACCTAATAGAACCAACACCACCACAACAACAGCAACAACGATTGTTGAATTTAAGTGCTACTCCCTTTCTCAAGTCTTGCGCTGCTGCATTTGTTTTCCACCCCATACTCCATTCCACAGTCGTTAACAAAACAGAAGCCATAGCGAAAGGAGAGAGTCCGACCCAAGCAATCCTACTTGACATCACAGCACAGACCAGAAGGACCTCGGCACTATTGCGTTTCAGGTGGCTGTTCAGTGCCTTTTCAGACCTCGCGATGTCACCCCAAACAGGGCCAAGTCACTGTGAAGTCAGCAATCTGCCTTCTCTGCGCTCTTATTGGATGGTGGGCGAGAGTAAAACAAGCACATCTCCCGCCATGCCACATGAGCTGGCCATTTGATTGGGTCGGACGGATTGCGCATTCGTCTCCAGGCCCCCGGGTTTGCATGGTGAATGTTGGTTGGACGTGTCGACAGAATGGACAAGTCGTGAACTGTTCCTTCTCAAAGCGTCTATGTGAGTGAATTGGTACATAGAGTCGCGATCGGTTGAGTTGATTCAGTCGATCCAGCCGGTCTCACCTCCGGATGCTGCTCCTTTTTCGGGAAAAAAAAAGTAATAGTAGAGCGACGACAAGGTGTTGAGACGTGTACTCCTGCCGCATCCAAAGTCGCGTCGACATCTGAACCCGCCTGAAAGAAGCCCGGTAGATGGGGCTCTACAAGGTTGCCGGCTGTCAAGTTGGGGTTAGACGGCCTGAGCCGCCGGGTATCCGTATCCAAGCTGTTCTCGATGAGAAAGTCACTACGCTGCATGCGGGAGGTAACTCGTTCGGAGGGTCGGTCCCTCAAGAGCATGGCAGGGGGTTTTTCATATTACTAGTTGCGATGTCATCTCCGCACTTGATGTCCTGCAATGTATCATGGCTGACGATGTTATGCTGTGAGGTGATAGAGTAAGTGGGGTGCTTTAAAAAAAAGGAACGTTCTATCTGGTCGTCAGGGGCTTGTGAGGAGCTAAGAGCGGTATGCTGTGCATTGACTTAAAGAAGAACGGGCGGTGCTGGGGTGGTGATCTGGTAGAGTGAGTTAACTACCAATGCCAATGTCTTTACCTATTCCAAGGATGTAGAACTTATTTGTGTCTCAGTACGATAGCGGAGGACACCACTCAGGTGAGCGACCAAGCTGGGGCTTCCTAGAATTTATTTAATGCTGGTATCGGTCTACTCATCCAACTTTTCTGGAGCGCCTTCCGAATACGATCGACAGCGGCATGTGCAGGTATAGCTGGAGAACGTTGTTGTGTACAGTATCTATCAGCTATTACGTGACGACGCAGGATCTAGTACACGGCTATGTGCGCGTTGGCATTGCGCTAATGCCAGGAACCCACAGCACACATATCGGCAACACCAGTCATTTCCCTGACAATCAAGGCGGCAGAGGGTTTTGGCGCTTGATCTACACAAGCTCGTATACATGCGCTAGAGGAAGTTCAATAGAGGCCCGCTGTCTGTCTGGTATAGAGATTTACCAGCTCCTTATGAGTTCGAAGACGTCGTAGATTAGGGCCAGAGTTGACAGCTTCTAAACCGCCCCGCTGTATTGGAGGATGTCCAGGCTCATATGACCAAGGCTGAGAACTATCTTGCCAATGTGCATCCCGAGCTACTGCTGAGTCTGTTAACTACGTTATGCCCCTGGAAAGGGATGTATGTGAGCCTAAACCGTATCCGAATTGATGTCTTGCCTAAGGCATCAGAGTGTCGATGGACGAAATCGCCAGTTCAGTCGACATCTCGTGGCAAAAGAAAACAGTGGTTAAATCCATCATGCTCGCTGATACCACTGGCTATGGGTTCAATATTCCACTTACACCCATACGAATGCTAGTACTAGCGCCTCTGGCGACATCACCGTAATAATGACCCAAGTGCCTTTACATGATAGACACTTGTTGACCGAAGACTTGCTGCATTGCACGGCATTCGCCCCTAATCTGTAGTCTCTTAGAGATTCCCGATGCCCTTGAGCTCGGTTCTCGAAGCTTATCGCATGTGTCTTTGTTAGAGTTGACCAACTCTGAGACTGAAGCTAGCGATAGAAACAAATGACACCAAAGGAAAGTTTGCACAGTGGTGTAGCATCTTTGGGATACCATTGATCAGTCCATGAAGTAGTTAGGATCAGAGTTGGACGAGGCCAGTCGAGCGGCGATGGCTGTGACTTCACCCCAGAGTAAAACGCAATGAAATTCGTTATGCTTACAGCATTCCTGCCGGACCACATTAGAGAGTCGCCAGTCTATCGAAAAAGGAAGTATCCAGAAGTTGGGACCAACTCGTATGACGTAAACCAAGAACCGTCACCTTCACGAGCAGTAGCCCACCACCTAAGCTCCTTGATATAACAACGATTTATAAATAGGCATGTCTCGTCTGTATGAGATGGCCGTAAAACTGCTGTTCTACAACGATTACATTTACAACAAATGCCAAACATAATGTTTCATTACCATTAAAGTGTTACAGTAGGAAAGAGTTGAAAAGCCATGCCCACCACTCACGACACCTTGCCACCAAACAGGCATTGTAGGTTTCTCCGTCACATGCAACAACGAGCAACGAGGCCTCTCTGATCCGGCCAGGTCGCCGATGAAGCATCCAAGATCATCCAGCTTCGCAGCCAAAAGTTATAACGACTCCTCTCCCTCTGACTTCGCCACACCCTTCGCCCTCTTCTCCGCTTCCTCCTTCAAGCCCTCCATCCAAAGCGTGAATCCCACCTTAAGCTGCCCCCCGAGAAACATCTTAATCGCCCAAGTCACTGGACCGAAGAACGTCTCAGAGCTAAAGTAGTCGCACCCCATCCCATCCTCAGTCGCGAGAAACTCTTGGGTACGTTCCGCGCGCAGATACCATGGATCCCCCTTCGTTTTCCACGAGACGCGGATCCCCTTCCTCCCGTTCCGCTCGAACTCCTCGAGCACCGAGACGACGAGGTCGGTGCGCTGGAATGAGGGGCTTTCCGGGTTCGTGTGGACTTCGAAGTGGAATCCTGCGTTTAGGAGGAGGTGTTGGGCTGGATTGGAGGCTAGGTGTGCTAGAGACGAAGGGAGATCCGAGGATGAGGCTGGGGAGGGCGCGGGGGAATCAATAGCGACTTTGGGTATCCATTTGTTCCATGATGGGTACGTGGTGGTGTCTAGGATGATTCCGGCTACAGTGGCTGGCGGGGCGGCGATGTGGGTTGAGCAGATGATGCTTGCGGAGCCGCCGGCGCCGTAGGTTGGGGTTGCGACGGGCGTAACGAACCGGGGCGCCGTGTTAAGGGGGATCTCGGCGGCCATGGTGTCAAGCTATGAATATATGAGCTGATCGGATCATATCATATACTTCGAGTTGGATGTTTTACTCCTTTATCTCTCTTGGCACGCAAGAGCTGCATGCAATTCTGACGAGACAAATTGTTCAATCCTGCCAGACTTTGAATGGCTACCGCACGGTTCCTGCACTGTTCAGATGTCCCCACTTTGATAGAAATCACTGATCACTCCGATGTACAGTATACTGTACTTCACTATACTATAATTGAGTAAGTAGCCTGTGTTGTGGCTTGTGATTTAACAATGGTTACAAATAGTGAATGTCAAAGTAGTGGTCATTATGTGTTTTACTCAACGAGAAAAGGCCAATGGTTTGGAACACGGTGGAATCTCACCTGTTGGAATCTCACCTGTTGGAATCTCACCTGTAAGCTCAAAGCGGGGTACAAGTCCACACATAGCTCTGCACGTATATCAGACTTCCAACCATCAAATTTCGACATCACTTGAGTAGAACCATTCATTGTCACGTGGGAAAATATAGCTCGGTTAGCTCAGCTGGTTAGAGCGTCGTACTAATACCTCTCTTCGGGGATATGTATAGTAATGCGAAGGTCATGAGTTCAATCCTCATACTGAGCAGCACCAGTATTTTTGCATATTAGTAATAAATATACTTGCAAAATACCTTGTATCATTTTGATCAGCAAAGAAATTTACGCGTAAACCTTCAAATTTGTTTGCGCTTGCTACAAGCAACTGACTTGATAGCCGCAGATGATCAAAGTGATTGTTAATTGCTGTTTTTTGTTATCTAGAACTTGTAATTCCTGTCCACTTACAGCTCAGTCCTCTTCCTCAGCGAACCCGTCGGCACGGCTCTCAGACGGAACATGGCGATGCCGTGCCTCTCAACCTCAGCCGTGATAGTGCCCATGGGCTGCACCGTGGTCGTGACATTGCCTAATAGAAGCTCATCCGCATCTGACAGGCCTTCGGAATACGACTTGGCAGTCGCATTGTACCGATTCTCGCCCCCAACTCTCGTCGCGTTGAATCCGCTGGTGTAGTTACCCGACGCAGAGGATGCATCGATGATGGCCTGGGCCTCCTCGTTGGACATCCGATTCGCCCAAAGGTCTCTGACTTCCCACGCAATTTTTGCCTGATCCGAGATTGCGCCCCCGGAATCAGCAAAGACCTCGACCAGCGTCGCGTTCATGGTCATGTTGGAGTTGTTGCCGTTGATCAGCAAAACGACCATGTCGCTGTACTCGCCCCCAGTGGTTGAGTTCAAGGAGCCGGCCCACATCTGAATACTTCCCTTTCCGTACTGGTCGACGTCGTCGGTCTCGTAATACCACCGCCTCGCTGCGCTACTTCCGAGCGGATCTTGGTTCACCGCGATGACGGCGGCGTTGGACAGGATGGCGAGGTCCTGGGGCTTGACGATGCGCAGGTCATTGCCCATGATCAGCGGGCTTGGAAGATGTTTGTCAGCCTTGGAAACTGCAAGCAAAGCAACACTTATGATACTAGACTAACCTCTTAACGGCAGCCCAGACCGAAAACTGTGTCTTGTACTCGGCATCGCTCATGCCCCCATTGCCAACCTCAAGCATATCAAGGTCATTCCAGCCTCCAGGCTCAGCCTTAGAAACCACAAAGGATGCCTACGTTTGTCTCGGTTAGCATTTCCGAGTCCGGACGTTTGCTGATACGCCCCATTCTTAGCTTACCTTGTTGATGATGTTGAGCAAACTGCAATGGAAACCAGGGAGGGAACAATCCCAAGCATCGGGCCCATCACAGGGGCATCGCGGGTCGGGCCGATCATAAAAGTCGGTTACGTCGCCTGTGATCCTCCACGAGTTTGCTATCGTCGGACCCCAGTTCCAGGGATAATCCTCACCCCAGTTGCAGAGCGAGTACAATATCGGCCTGCCCGTGGCGTTCAGCGCTTTCGCCATGGTGTTGTAGCGGTCATGCGACAGCTTCTGCGTGCCGGCCTCGCCCGAGTTGTAGCAGTTGTCGTCTGGGATCTTGGTCAGTCTTAGTCTTACTAGTAAACGAGTGCGATTGCGGGTACTTCACATTTCAAGTAGTCGACCCCCCATTCAGCCCAAGAGTTGGCGTCTACCTCTTCATATCCGAGACTGCCTGCGAAGCGTCCGCACGTGTATACACCAGCACTAGAATACTGAGCGTGGACACAGAACATCAGTCGCGTACTGGGTACAGGAGCCAAGTAGACGGTCACTAACCATGCCGAATTTCAGGCCAAGTTCATGGATGTCGTCGGCCACCGCCGCCATCCCACGGGGGAACTTCTCGGTATCGACAATGAGCGAATTGTTGGCACTGGCGTCTCTGCCATTAGACCAACAGTCGTCTAGAACCACGTATTCATAGCCGAGGTCCTTCAGGCCATAGTCGACAATCAGGCGAGCGGTGCCTTGTAGCAGATCCTCGGACACATCACATCCAAAGGAATTCCAGTTATCTGTCGTAAGTCAGGGTCTGTCTTCGGGATTCGAAAAGCGAGAAACAAGCGGTTCTTACCCCAGCCCATCTGCGGTGTTCTGGCGAGGCCATTGTTTACTTGGCAAGTGTCAGTTTGGTATCCCTAGGATGTTCCATGGTGGCAGGTTGCTTTACCTGCCTGAACATGTTGTGCTAGGAGCGCAATGGCCGTAATGCCAACAACGGACGCCATCTTGGGAGCAAGGGAAATTCACAAGTCAATGGGTCCTGCCTCGAGAGCTGAAGGACAGCAACCCTAGCGCTGCAAAACAAAGGGTGGCACCAGCAGTATAAGAGCAAGAAACCCCGCGGTCTAGAACCTATAGCCACTGCATCCCCGCATGAGCGGGATAGTCTATCCATCGCTACCAGGTGGTTTCCACTGCGGCAGGAACTCATCAATAAAGGCCCGAATCAGTATGCTGGCCAAGCTACGAAGTACGCATCGTGGAGAACGCCTTTGCACCTGTCGGTGTACGTTCTCCGCAGGAGACTGATAGTTCACCAATGATAACTGCAAGCCAAGAGAGAGCCGCTCTATCAAGTCAAGTCGGCTGACTGCCCGAAGTTCCTGGTCTTCACTACGTTGAGGTTTCTCCAACCAACTTGCTGGGTTCTTGACGCCCAAAACTGGGGACTTCCTCGGATGCGGGGGTGGTTTTGCGGGGTTTAACGTGCCTCAAGCAAAATTATCCCTCCAAAGATGGAGAAAGAGGAGGTTGGGTTGCAGGTCTGGGGACTCAACCTCAAAGTTCATTCAGACGATGTACTTCGAAGACGCATGCTGCCATTCAATTTCTAGATTGAATAAATGACCTATTCGTCGACATCTCACCGCGTGGTATTGGCATCATGTGAGCTGAAGTAGGGTTATTACTCTGTATGTGGTTCGCATACGAGGTAGTCTGGTTGAAATCAGCTATGTAGGTAAAGAGCATCGTACTGAGCCCGACTGTCTAGGTGCGGCATACAGTACCTATACTCGTTCTCGGATCGAATGTTAACCTTGCATTGGCTACCGACACGGTGGAACTAGGCTTTTATCCAGCCTCGACTCTGGCTGGGATCCTAGCCACGCAACCTAGTTTTAAATTGCTTTCATGACACCTACATGCTAGAATCAGTAATAGCGGTGTGAACCCAGTCTATTGAAGATTTGTCTTCGTAATGTCCACCCAGCAAATGAACAAGTCGTGAACATGACGATTCCACGAGTGTTTGAGCCCCGGAGTGGAAGCGGAGCAATTGGGCAGCACTACCCTGCAACCAACCACCTTACTGGGTCTTTCCTGTTTGATGCTTTTTGCGTAGACGAAGTAGTCGAGAGAAATGGAAACCTGATCTACGCACAAATGCTATGTGAAGTCCATCTGATGGAATTGAAAGGTATAGATAATGTGATCGTGTCAGTCATGGTATGAGCTGACTCGGTAGCTGGGGGATCTCGATGTGTCGGACTTTGTCTGCAAATCTTCGTGCTCGTACGGCATTTGCTTGACTACGTTATCTATACCCCTTAGTTGGTAGGTCCCGAAAAGTCTCGAAAGCTACCATAAAGTCTGTCTCACTCAACAAGCAATACATTGTTCAACCGAGGGAGTCGAGAGAACGTAGCCGAAACCACGGCAATCGACAGCACGAGAATGACGCTCCCCCTAGGGTGTGTACGCAAACATGTTTCATAAGGACTAGGAGACCATGAAATGTGAGTTGAAAGTTGAAAGAAATCCTGTCGTGGGGTTTAGTACTACACAGCATGCGGTGGTTTGTTATCAACACCCACTCTCACGATTACCCCTATTCTCGCAAACTCGCAACACCACGAAGAGCAAATAATGAGCTCCAACATTGTGGCAAAACGGTGCACCTTACATTCCTTGTTCATCTTCACATGTTTAGTGCGACCCTGAATCTCCACGTCACACATGCGAGTCTAGTGTTGCCCAATTCCGTACGTAGCCAGCCAGCAGCAGCTTCAGGTTGACCCTGAGATGCAAAACAGGTGCGTAACACATGTATGTCTTAGCCACCACACCTCCCCAGAAAGCCATCAGTATGGCCGTTATACGCCTCTTGATGCGTCGTGGCAAGACATGGATTTCAGTCTGTCCTACCAAGGTCGGATGGCGGATTTCGACAGTGAGGACGATAAATGATGGGTTTGTATTTGAGCTGATGCCTATAGTGAGGATAGTGAGGTCGAGCAAGCTGTACTGTAATGAATCCTTGACACAGAGTGTGACGGAGCTGGGCCACGACGACGACGATGACGACGACGACGTTACGAACATGTGTTCCAATAATGTCTTCACTTTCACATTTCTAAGACGCCGAATGATCGATGATCAACATTTATTTTCAGACTGACAACCAGAATAGAGTATATGGTTCCAAGCGTGCCATGGACGCCTTCAATCTGATAGGACATGTTACTCGCCACAGAAAGATACATGACTGGGTTGACCCCTTGCCTGACCCTAAAAATATCGCGATATTCGCCGCTCAAACCTCGAGTCTTCTCTACCTGCTTTACCATATGAGTCTCATAATCCAGTCTAATGACATGTCATGAGTGCTTTCCAGCAGTAGTTTTGCCCCAAACTTAATATTAGGGTCCTGCCAGTATGAAGTCGTCGTCCGTGCGTGTATGTTAGTGAGTAGCTTCCCACAAGAAAGGCGACCGGGGCAAAGACACCAGTAGAGAGCGTCCTGCACTTGTTCATCGATGCAAAAAAATGCGGCCACATAATCCAGGGGCTGGCCTAGAGTCGCTCCCAGACCGTAGTCTGTGCTACGTTACCATAAGTCGTAAGTAAAGAAGTCAGCTGTCAGCGCGTCCACTACACGGTTCGATGGACGCTGGCCATGTCTTCCAACTCCGTCTCGCTCTGCACTTCGCGTGGAGTGCCCACGAGATCTTCTTTCTTCTCTTCACGCCGACGGGAAGGCATGGGTGGAGGATGGAGCTCGAAGGTGAAAAGACTGGCGAGTAGGGCTACTGCACTGACACAGATCAGGATTTGGATATCGAACGTAAACGCCGATGCGTACACTCTACGGACGAGCAACTGGGTTTGCGGCGGCAAGTAACTCGTGATCGTTGGACTGTGGTGTAAGGCCGTCAAGTCTTCGGGTTTCATGTGGCCGGCCAACTGGTTTTGCACTTGCGCGTTAAAAATGATGCTGCATACTGCAATCCCAACGGCGCCGCCGAATACGCGAGCTTGAGCGATTGATCCCTGTGCGACAGCCAAATCTTCCTGGGCAGATTGTACGGCTGTAAGGATCGTTGCGGCACCAAATGCCAGCCCAACTCCCAGTCCAAAAATAGCTTGGTATCCGTACTGGGCTTGAATCTCGGTTGTTATATCTGATAACGTCGACATAAGCCCGACACCGATTAGTTGCAGGCATGAAGCCACGATCAGAGTGATCGAGGTGTTGTTTCTCTTTGCCGACAGTGCACCTGCGAGGAAAGACCCGAAGGCACATGCGCCAAGCGCCGGAAGGAGATGGACTCCTGACATCAATGAGTTCTCCAGATTGACAATCTGAAAACGCTCTGGCAGAATGATGATGATCGCCAAGTAGGAGAACCCGGAAAACAGTGTGCATCTGTTTGTGTTAATATTGCCACAATAAAAAAAAAAGAGACACCAGGGACTTACATCAAAGTTGCGAGGTATGGCCGTCGTGTGAACAGTCGCAAAGGTAAGACGGGCTTTATTCGCGTGTGGCGATTCAATCCCAAGAAGAACTCCCAGGTCAGAAATACAATCCAGCTCAATGAAGCCACTGTCAATGTAATTATTATGACGGGACTATTCCAAGAAAAGTTGAACGACCCCGCTGATTGCAGCGAGAAGACCAGGAGTGTGGATGCCGCAATTATCATGATATTTCCAAGGAAGTCGATGCTTCTGAACGAGTCCCATGCGTTGAGGCTCGAGCCCGTACTCCGGGGCCACGCGAAGATCAAGGACAGCAGAGCTGCAACCCCACAGGGGATGCTGATTTCTGGTTAGCAAACTAATAGTGGTGGAGGGACTATGGAAATCTCACTTGATGAAGAAGATCCATCTCCAACTTGCCATATGACTGATAGTACCGCCAAGAATGGGTCCAAGGACAAAAGAGACTGCCAGTGTCATTCCCACCAGAGCTCCCAGCAAACTTGGGTTATGCGCGGGTCCTATCTCGAAGAGTCCAATTTGGGCTAGGCTGTATAGCCCCGAGCCCCCAATGCCTTGAAATGCTCGGAATATGGTGCTGTACATGGATCAGTTTATTATTCACAGGTTGCGATTGTAAGCACGAACTCACAGTTGCAGCATGTTTTGTGCTAAACCACATCCGAGTGAGAAGCCTGTAAATAGGATCCACGATATGATTATGAGTGTGCGGCGACCGTATATGTCACTCATTTTGGCAAATCCGACGGCAAAGCCTGCGAAGAGTCAGCATCCTGCCTTGCAGAAACTCTCTCCGTCGCGGATCCGTCATGCCACATACCGAAGTAGGCGAGTAGATAGGATAACACAACCCATGGTGCATTGAGGAAGTCCTGCAGGTCGAGAGAAATAGACACAAGAGAAGTCGACACAATGGAGGCGTCGAGACATGAGAAGAGAAGTCCAAGTAGAAGTCTGGTTTCAAGCCAAGTCAGCTGTATCCATGACCTTCTCGAAGGGGCGCCTCACGTGGAAACCAATAAAGCCTGTCTTAAGGGACTCAAAGAAACTCCCACATTTCCCAATTCCCGAACCGGAGGAGTAAGTGATTCCTCCATTGAACCCACCCGACCTAAATTGACCTCTTCCAATGAAGTCGAACGGCCAAATCCGGAAGTGGCGCGGGTGCCGTACTGCGGAGCCATTTGATGGGATTCGCAGGGCGATTCGACTGTCGTCGAGAAGGCTTAGACCGGGAAGGGCTGCTCTGTAGGCAGAAGAATTGTACAGATTCCAAAATGCAGCGACAAAATAGAGCAGCTTCAGGGAGGACGATCGCATTAATCGTAGGAATACCGGGGAGGCCGGACGTGAGAGGTTTGTGATGATGCGGTGGAAATAGGGCAGTATCGTACTTGGGAAGGCAGGCACGGCAGTCGTTGCGTTCGAAGAAAGTGGCTGCGATGTTACCCACTTGGAGGAGTGTCGATTGCTGGTGGAAGGCACGAGTTCATTGAAGCTTTTAGGAGCTCGGTCGCAGTTGCCCTGAGTCGAAGTGAAAGCCAGACCTCAATATTGTTTGTTTCATCCCCTATTGTGGTCCACTTTCAAGATACCTTAGGTAAATACTTAAGTAAGTAGAAATGGTCATGTTCCAGTCAAAAGGGCATCTAGTATAAGGATGTATTATTTGATAACAGCAACCGAAACAATAAAACAAGTTGGTTATAAGTGGCTGCAAGTCTCACAATGAAGCACGACTTAAGCACTACGAAACTTGCACATTCACCCAAACCCAAATTGAATGCACAAGCATGAGCATGCCAGTAGCCACCATCATACCCAAATATTTTCGGGTGCTTCAAGTCCCACCGTACTCCGGCTTCGATGTCTCTGTGCTACCAGCAAAAGCCATACGGCAACTGGTGATGGGTGCTGTGCAAGGTGTGACAGCGCTCGAGACTGCGAAATGAAAGCACTCTGACATGTGTATGGAATTAAAAGCGTTTGGCAAGCACAAACACTGTGCCTTTATCCACATTGAGTATCTTTCCATCCTCAGTACAAAAAAGGACATGCTATGTGCGAAGACGCGAGAGCTGTTTCCTTTCACCAACATCCAGCCAAGCAGCCGACTGCCGAAGTTTCAAGACCCGTATCGTTGTTGCGCTTCTCAGCAAGCTGACCACAGACTAAGCTCGTAAATACATTCAACAAGCCTACTTGGAAACCTCCATTTACCCTGCCCCCATCTAACCCCCTTGCCGAAGCTCGCTTATGCTGACAAGGTTGACACCGACAGGCTGGGCAGATGGTAATTCCCTGCACATCTATCTGGAGAGATACAGAATCGGAAACGTCTCCTTACATGTCCAGTGCCAAAAATGACCACCAGAGACGGGTGCATCTGCATAGGAGATCATGTGCAATGCCGTGTGTACCTGTGTGCCTGTGTACCTGTGTGCCTTTGTAACTTGAGACTTGTTCAGCTGAATCAGAACCTTCCAACTAACCATTTACACGAACGTCGAACTGGTAGATCGTGCGCTGCTGTTATAGTTCTTCCCTGAATCACCCTGTTGTGCTAGTCTACAGCTATGGATCTGGCAAGGCTGCTGCATGGGACACAGCCACCGTTAGCATGCCAGCATCTGATAACTTTGGCTACTTACGTAGCTAGTACGAGACCCAACGCTTGCAATGATGCGGGATGTCACATATTTGCCCCTAGCTTCCGAGACCTTGACCGAATCTGGATGTCCCAAAGTTGCAAGCGTCCTTACCGCAGAAGAGGTGGGAAATAACGATGAGCAGGCCAGAAATAGAGCCGGACTCGTATATTTGCAGACCGACGTACGTGCTTTCTGTTGGCCGTCGGCTTGAGAGCCGGGGACTCTGTCCGACCAACTCTTGCTGTTGAAGAACCGGCGCACGCTCAGGGCCAGAATCTTGACCCCACCAATCGGCTTAGAGTCAACATCTTGATGTGTCCAACCATGAAATAAATGGGGTCTGAGAATAAGAGCAGGTCGTTGGTCAAGGTACGACCCGGTCACATCTAGATGGAAGGGAAGCCAGTTTGACGTTCAATTTCTTGAAGTACGTCCTGAAGAAACAATTGGCGCGTTACTTTCACTACACCAACTGCAGAATACCTGCGCAGCTCGGCTCCACTGATCTATCGGTTTGATGCATGAGCCCTTGCTGCTTGAGTACTAACTAGACGCTGTCTTATGCAGTAATGCAGTAGCGCCTTGGCTTTCAAACGGCAGGTGCGCACCAGTGCATCGCGTTGATCCACCCGAGACTTCATACTTTAAACCAAACAAGTCCTACTTCACCAATCAATCGATTGATCTTTGGATGACTTTCCTTTGCCCCGAACGTATCGGAGCCCAAAGACACGACAGATTTATCGTGTGATGCTATTCGAGTCGGGTTTGAAGAAGAGGCTGCATGTGTTTGCTCGGACTCTGTGTTGGTGCAACGGAGGCAGGATTTCCTCGGCAACCAACCGAGTCGCCGATTACATGCCAACTGTGTTGCCGTGCAGGCGAGGCACGCATGCTACGACTCCTGTGGCCTGCCCGCGTGGCCTGCCTACCGTCGACGCAGTGCGAGCCTGAGCTGGTATGCCAGATACTGATCCTGCAGAGGCCGACGCCAACAACACATCTGCTCCAACCGCATACACTACTTAAGTATTGAGTCCACTTCCCATTCTTTGTAATGGATTCATGATACATTGGCAAAATGGACCTCAGCCAAATATAGCACAGTATCTGCGGCCGGAAAGTGTGGCAACAAGCTTTCCTGCTGCCCCAAGGGTGTGTGGATGCCGAATTGCTGCCCCCTCAAGCATAATCCAGCATTATTCGGCGATCTAATGCTAGACTCGTTACGCTAGCAAACCTGTTGTCAGCCCCAGAAGGTAAGTTAGCGTGGCGCTGCTTAGGTTCGTATGTCAGATTTTCTATTCAGAGCCTCTGTCATGATCATCACATTGTTGTGACAATATTGATTTCAGATCAGACGATCGAATGCCCCGGATGACGCACTCAACTTCGTGTAATGGTACACTCATGGTTCATCCCTATTACTGGTTGACAGTAATGTCGGCTGGGTTTCCGTGCAAATTGTATGCCGGGCTATTTCTAGAACGACGTTCCGAGGCCTGCGCCTATGATGCGGCACTTGCGCGCTCTTCATGCCGCTGAGGTTATCGCCACACGTTTGCGGCCTTACTCACACCGCGTACCGACGCGCTGGTCTATGGCGCTGCAGGGAAGCAGTCTTTGCAGAAGTTGGGTAGCAATCAAGTCAGATGGCCGAGAAGGGACGATTCCGTTGAGACTAGCATAGCATTCCAGGAAATCAGAATCCTTCGCTGTTGTGCACCCGTGGTACTGCTCGTTGGTCGAAATCGAACGCATGGCCTCAGCTGCAGATGTGATGCGGTCCAGCTGGAGGGCCTTCTACACCGTTCGACCGTTGGTTCAGGGATCGGTCAGTTGTCAGTTTCGGAGCACAATATGACGGAGCCGCATCGATTTCCTGTCTGACCAATCACAAAACATTCTACAGTAGTCTGTTTGCTGATGCTACTCCCAGGGTTCGGCCGTTTACTTGATCTCGGGTATATGTCTAATGTTTGGTCTCGGGCTGGTCTGGCCCATCTTGCCGGAAGCAAAGCTTTTGTCATCTCGGCCCGTTTTAAGCTTATCATTTGCTTGTCTTCGAACCCGGCAAATATGATAAAATGGATAAGCTTGTGGGCTGTGATGGTGCATGGCCATTGTTGCCCAATGGACAGAGGAATTGTCCAATACTATAGATCTACAGGCAGGATCAGACGGATGTTGCACTCTAGCCTGCAAATAGGTTGTGTTTTTTACTCCCTCCCATGATGTGCCTTGTCCTGTTCCGGTGTATCACTGGCACTTCAGTTGGTCTTCCATATTCTTCCCCGGTTGTCATAAAAAAGGAGCGGTATGTCTCGCTATTCCGCTTCTGTATGATACCTCGTCGTCTCTGCTGTTTGCGCTTTCCCCCCCCCAAGTGTGTTATTTCTGCTCAGTGTCGTGCCTTCCCCATTCTCTGAAAGTCGGTCAGTTGACCCCTTTTGAGACAGCCGAGGCCGGATGTCAATTGACATTCACCTACTCCATTGTGCAAAGCGAGGATAAACCTACTATTCACCATCATTGATCAAGACATCAAGGACAATTTGCTTTCCGTCCATTGCGAATTGTTCAGATTGTTGGTTGTGGATTACCGATTAAGTCCCTACTTGAGCGAGTTCTTGAGTGCAGCCTCGGAGCACAAGGGCAGCTACCCTCGACACATACGTCTTTTCGGTATAAGGTACATCTTTTCGATGTAACGTGTCTCGACCAACAACGACTAAACATCGTGATGCTTTTACGCAATTAATCACTGCGACCTTTCTGGACAGGATTTGACATACGAATATTCTTTAATCTTTACCCACATTAATCAATTATTCGGAGTTTCTGCCGAAGTCTAGGAAATAGTCCAAACTCCATCATCATCGAGATGGATTCCGCAGAGCCTGATGGCATGGAACCCATTGCTGTAGTAGGCCTGGGCTGTCGTTTCCCAGGTGACGCGACCTCGCCAACGGCACTCTGGGACATGCTCACACGCGGCGAGAGCGCTTGGTCGGAATTTCCTGAGGATCGTGTGAACATATCCAGCTACTTCCACCCTAGTGGCAACAGACAAGGCAGCGTAAGTTTCGCGGCCTAGGATGTCTTGGGATCGTTCTAACTGGGGCCCGGCAGATTTGCTTCCGCGGTGCTCACTTCCTCAAGCAAGATGTGGCAGCCTTCGATAGCTCGGTAAGCTTCCATGGCCGGGTCGTAACCCATTGGCTGCTCACGCTAACCTCACCATATCTAGTTCTTCTCTATTCCCGCAGATGAAGCAAAAGCGGTCGACCCGCAGCAGCGTATGCTTCTCGAGGTCGCCGTTGAAGCATTGGACAATGGTAAGTGCTTGGTCATCTACCAATCCCCAATTTGAGAATAAGACGTACTGAGAATCGTTCCAATTCAGCCGGCGTCGATCGTACCGCATTCCGAAAGTCAGAGACTGGAGTGTGGGTTGGATCATTCGTCAAAGGTAATTTTGCGACCCTTTTCATGAATTAAAATTTTTTTCACTAACCATGAGAAGACTATGAGCAAATCGTGCTTCGAGATCCGGACAACTCGCCGATCTATGGCGCCACCGGAAATGGCATTGCGATCATGTCCAATCGCATATCATACTTCCTTGACGTCAACGGACCTAGCATGACAATCGACACCGGCTGCAGTGCAAGCTTGGTGTGTGTTCATAATGCGTGTCAAGCCCTGCGTGACGGGGAAATCAATGTTGTACGTTATTCGACCCTCTCTCATTGCCCAATTACAAACGGAACTTGCTAACTCGTCAACTCCAGGGCCTTGCTGGTGGTGCCGGTTTGATCTTGACACCCAACACCATGATGCCTATGACTGCCTTGAACTTCCTCAGTCCAGATGGCAAGTGCTACACCTTCGATGCTCGTGCCAATGGATACGGCCGAGGTGAAGGAATTGGCATCGTCGTCCTGAAGAGACTCAGTGACGCCATTCGCGACAATGACAACATTCGTGCTGTCATTCGAGGATCGCGAGTCAACCAAGACGGTCGAACCCCCGGTATGCTGAATTCCGCATGGGTAACTGATTGAAGACTACTAACCCCTTCGACAGGCATTACGCTCCCCAGCTCGGAGGCGCAAACTCGCAATATACGCGGCGTATATAAGCGAGCCAAGCTTGACTTTGACAGAACAGCCTTTGTGGAATGCCATGGTACCGGAACGCAGGCTGGCGACGTAAGAGAGCTCAAGGCTATCTCGAGTGCTCTTTGTGGCCAACGCCCAACCGATCGACCCATGTATGTGGGGTCTATCAAGACGAACATTGGTCATCTTGAAGGGTGCGCAGGCATCGCAGGACTGATCAAAGGTATCCTTACTGTGGAACACGGCATCATACCCAAGCACCTCAACTTTGAAGCACCTGGCAACTCTGTTATAGACTTTGAGGGTTGGAAAGTAAAGGTATGCGGTGAAATTCATGACAATGCATGTACATGCTGACTGTTCCACTCCGCAAGGTCCCAGTCGAAAATACGCCATGGCCAGTCGACGGATTAAGACGCGCCAGCATTAACTGCTTCGGTTTCGGTGGAACCAACGCTCATGTCATCATCGATGACACTGCTCACTACCTTGCGGAGCGTGGTCTGACTGCGCATCACAGTACGGCCATTCTTGAAGACATGAGGGATCCTTCGCTGAGCTACGTGCTCGTTAAAACCACACTTGACGCCATCAAGACGCGAGCGACTGCTCTTAGCAAGCGAGCTAGAGGTTCTGTCGTGCCAAGGCGCGATGAGAAGTCGCATCTGTTTGTGTTTTCAGCCCATGAGCAACGAGCGCTTTCGCGAATCATCGAGAATCAGATTAACTACCTTAAGGACCATCTTCACAAGCACCAGAACAATGTAGGCCCCGGCTTCCTGGAAGATCTTGCCTATACACTCGGCTGTCGACGAACCAAAATGCAATGGAGGGTCGCGATTGCAGCGCAAGACACAGATGATCTCATTGACAAACTGCGAGCGGCTGATAAATCTGGCTTTATTCGGACATCCGAAGACAAAACGGCCAGCGTCGCATTCGTCTTTGGCGGGCAAGGGGCACAGTGGTTCGCCATGGGCCGAGAGCTGATGGGCTTCGACATCTTCATGCAGTCCATTGTATGCGCGTCTGATTACTTGAGTGATAAACTGAACAGCCCTTTTAGCCTTATTGCCGAATTGCTGAAGGACGAACACTCCACCAACGTCAATGAACCGCATATTTCCCAGCCGACTACCACTGCCATTCAGGTCGCCCTAGTGGATCTTGTCGTTCGACACTACGGAGTCACCCCAGCCTCTGTGGTTGGTCACTCCTCCGGAGAAATTGCCGCCGCTTATGCCATGGGCGCCATCTCTCGAGAAATGGCTTGGGAGCTCGCTTACTACCGCGGCCTTTGCGCGAAATATTTGGCGGACGCTGATGCAGAGACCAAAGGCCAAATGCTTGCGGTCGGTCTCGGGTTCTCCGAGGTTCAGGTATACGTGGACAGAGTCGAGACTGGCAAGGTGGTGGTCGCTTGCATCAACAGCCCTGTGTCGGTAACTCTCTCGGGCGACAGTGGTGACATTATGGAGGTCCAGCGCATGTTGCACGATGACGGCGTGTTCAACCGGTTGCTTGTCGTGAACGTCGCCTACCATTCTCACCACATGCTACGTTGCGTGGAAAAGTACTTCGAGCTCATTGCGCACCTGAAACCGAGACAACCTGCCCGTAAGCCGGTTATACATCCTCATGCTCGTGGAAAACCCGTAAATGCTTCAGATATTGAGTCTGAATCACCAGAACTCTTACAGGACCCGTCAGGCGACATCCCAGTGATGTTCTCCTCTGTTTCTGGAAGTGCCGTGGACTGGACTGAACTGGGCCCTCTGTACTGGGTCTCCAATATGGTGTCACCTGTGCGCTTTTCCGCGGCCATGACGGCAATGATGCATCGTGCCGATGGGAAAAAGCCCGACATGATCCTCGAACTCGGTCCACATGCCACACTCCAGAGTCCCATTCAGCAGATCTTCGAGGCAGATCCGAAAGTTAAACACGCACCGGTTTACTTCTCAATGCTGCGTCGGAATAAACCAGCTACGATGACCGCTCTTCAAGCCATAGGCGAGCTATGGAATCGTGGCTGCAACGTGGAGATGGCGTGGGTTGTCATGCGAAACATATCATTTCGTCGCCCGAAGTTGATCACTGATCTGCCCAACTATCCTTGGAACCATGAGATAGCGTATTGGCATGAATCCCATCTTTCGCGAGCCAATCGGTTTCAAGTCCACGGAAGATACGATCTTATTGGCCGTCCAACAGCAGATTCCGTTCCCTTTCAACCCCGTTGGCGAGGCTTCCTTCGCGTCCAGGAGAACCCATGGATCGAGCATCATCAAGTACAGAAGACTACACTTTATCCAGCTGCAGGTATGGTGGCAATGGTAATTGAGGGTGCCAAGCAGATGGCACCGGGCTCGTTCGCTGGCATCGAACTTTCCCAGTTTAGGATCGACAAGGCTATGATTATCCCATCGAGTTCCCACGGCTTAGAGTATGCCCTGAATATGAGCAAGCACGAGGATGAAACTCGAAATAGGCCAAGAAAGTCGAGTTATTCTGCTCCTACATCAACGGCACCGGTGACATATGACTTCAGTATCTACTCCAAGCCCCTCGATGCTGCCTGGCAGCAACATGGCCGCGGTTTGGTTACCATCCACAACAGTCACTCGCCGCATCAACTCGACGGACACGCTGCGAAGGAGAGAGCCCTAAAAGCAGAGCGCTACTACAATGCTTACTTGGAATCCAAGAAGATTTGCGACGAGTTTGTCATCCCGCGCCAACTCTACGAAACACTTGATGTCATTGGAATGAACTATGGCCCCCTCTTCCAGAACATTACCTCTCTCCAGAAGCGCGATAACAAATGCAATTTCACTGTCCGCATACCAGACACCAAGTCCGTTATGCCGGCGGGCTTCGAGTTCCCTCACATCATCCACCCAGCCACACTAGACGGCATCTTTCAGACTGCCTTCAGCATGGGTGACGATTCAATGGTTCCTTCATACATTGGAAGCATTTATATTTCTGCAGACCCCTTGCTTCCCACCCAAGCTGGCACCGAATTGGTGGGACACGCTACCGCTGCCCGCAAGACCTTCCGCGATGCAACTGTGTCCTTCGTCGTAGCTGACGAATCATGGAAGAGTCCAACCTTGGCTGTCAGACAGAAGCCACTCATAGTCATCAAAGATATGACCTTCACAGCTCTGATTACCAGCCCCAACGGTGGCGATGGTGTGTTTTTGCCGAATCACCACAACCTCTGTTCTGAAATCATATGGGAGCCACAGCCTGCAGATGCTGTAACCGAGAACCAAATATCCGGCCAGTCTGACCTTCCCGTGGAGTTGGAAGGCGGCGTGTTCTTGTTGATTCCAGACTTGAAGAGTCCAGCTCTTAACAAGGTTTGCAATGCGATAATGAAGAAACTGGTCAAATGCCAGGTCCGCAACGTGGCAAGCATCGGAGACGGTAAAGACCTTCCTGCCTACTGCTTGTCGCTACTGGAGGCCTTTTCGGATCAATACTTCCTCTGGAAATGGTCAGAAGACAACTTCTTGGCTTTCCGAACTTTGGTGAACTCAACCAAGGGTTTGTTCTGGGTTACGCGAGGAGCCCAGGTTGATTCGGTGGATCCTCAAGCTGCGCTGTTTCAAGCCATGGCATGTACGCTTCACTCGGAAGACCTGAAGAAACACTTGGTGTCTTACGACCTGAGCCACGATTCTGAGCTTGAATCAAATGACGCCATAGATATGATCAAAAGCCTGTTTTTGAAGTCGTTCTCTCCTTCACATCAAGCCAAATACCGAGAGACCGAGTATGCCGCGCGAGGAGGTCAGCTGTTGGTACCCAGACTTATTCCAATCAATTCACTCAACAGAATGATTGAACAGGGATCAACAGGGCCCGAACCTGCGTTACAGATGATGAACCAGCAGCGAGGTCGACCCCTCGAGCTGAAGGTTCGAGAGATTGGTAAACCTGACAGCCTATACTGGGCAGACGATAGCCATGCCGACCTGCCCCTAGCCTTGTATGAGGTAAAGATTAAGGTCTTGTCCGTTGGCCTGAGCGTTCTCGACATTGACATCGTTATGGGTCGTGGAAGGGATAACTCAATTGGCACTGATGTCTACGGAATCGTTGAGGCAGTCGGTAATGATGTCCACGGTCTCAATATTGGCGCCCGAGTGCTTGCGATTGCCCGAGGTTCCTTCAGAACACATATCAGCTGCCACCAATGCCTCGTGCAGCAAGTCTCGGATGATATTGACGACCCCTCTGTCGTTGTCCTCCCCACAAGTATGGCCGTTGCTGATTACGCACTGTACGCGACCGCTCGTCTCAAATCTTACCAGACCGTCCTGGTTCATGCCGGTGGAGGTTCTTTCGGCCAAGCTGCAATTCGCATGGCCAAATTTATCGGTGCCCGGGTGTTTGCAACGGTGAGAAATGATGAGCAACGCCACCTACTGAGAGAATATTATCAGTTGCCTGATGATTGGATTCTTGACGCAAACAACACTTCGTTTACTGAATCAATCATGCGTTTGACCCATAACGAGGGTGTAAATGTCATTTTTGATCCCACTGCAGAGTATCGCGACCTGAACCATGCTTGTGTAGCTCATTGTAAGTATTCTTCTTCCATATAACCCACTACCACGGTCCTGACAGCTTCACAGCGGGGCATATCGTCTGCTTTACAAAGAGAGACATGACAAGCGGCACAACTGTCGATTTTACCGGCAAGACGTTCACTTCTAATGTCCTCGACCTAGCCTACCTCATCAAGCATCAACCCCGACGATTGGGAGAGTCGTTCCAGTTCTTGTGCTCGTTCGACCTCAAAGAGTGGATGCCGCCACTGGTTACCAAGTGCGACTATGACGACTTACCAAAAGCCATCGGGGCGTGCGGTGAAGATAGTCACTGTGGCCCGACATACTGTCAGCCGTCGGAGTCCAAACCTGTCCCCATCCTTCCTCCTCGGCCCCATCCAGTGAGCAAATATCTTCATGAAGATGCTACCTATGTTCTCGCGGGTCAAGGTGGCCTCGGAATGCAGATTGCGAAGCTGCTGGCATCGTACGGCGTCAAGAACATCGCTCTCCTTTCTCGTTCTGGAGCGAGCAGTGAAACTTCTCAGATGTGCCTTGCCTTTCTCAAAAACAGAGGGGTCAATGTCAGTGTGATGAAGGTGGATCTTTGCGACAGAGACTCTTTGGCGACAGTTGTCGCGGACATCAAACGAACCATGCCACCCATCAAGGGTCTCTTTCAGTGTGCTGCCAAAATCCGCGACGCTGTCTTCGACAATATGACGCATGATGACTGGGATGCAGCGACAGGTCCAAAGACCAAGGGATCCATGCATCTCTACGAGCTTTTCCCACGAGACATGGACTTCTTCATCTTCCTATCATCCTCGGCTGGAGTCATCGGCAACCGCGGCCAAGCCAACTATGCCGTGGGAAACGCATTCCAAGATGCACTTGCCAGGCACATCGACGCAAAGGGCCAAATGCGGTCCGTCTCCATTGATCTCGGTCCCGTCCTCGGCGCCGGTATGCTCGCTGAAGACCCTGCCACCCTCGACAAGCTCAAGGCCAGCGGCTTCTTCGGCATCCGTTTGAAAGACTTCGAGCGGGTTGTAGAGCGCGCTATTACAGGTTACACGGTCGGAGATGAGCGTATTCCTCCCCAGGTCGTAATCGGCGTCGGTACTGGCGGCCTTATCCGCCAGAACAAGCCTGCAGACCCCTACTGGACGCGCACGGCGCTTTTCTCGCACCTCAACAAGGTTGATATGCCTCCCGAGTCTGAGTCCACCGCAGCGGAAGGTTCTAGCGCGGAGAAAAGCGTCAAGTTCCTGCTGTCGCAAGTCACCGACACTGAAGATGCACAGGTTATCGTCTGCAAGGGTCTGATGCATATGCTTGCGCAAAGTATGAACATGAAGGTCGACGATGTTGACGAGGGTAAGCCGCTCAGTGCCTATGGCGTGGACTCGCTCGTTGCTGTCGGAGTCCGCAACTGGGTCTTCAGAGAGTGCGGAGTCGATGTCTCCGTCTTTGAAGTGCTCAGTGACTCGAGCATTGCCGAGCTGAGCGCCAAGATTGTTAAGAAGTAGACTCGACTGTGTTGCTCTAATACCACATTCTGGAGAGAAAAGGAGAAAAAAGTAAGGAAAAGGAAAGGAAGGATGCCACTTGCTGAATGTGGAGTTTGGAGTTGTCGGGTGTGACGGGCTGGCGCTATTTGCCTTTTACCGGAAAGAGACCGGAGGGTCAGTTGGACCAGTATAATAAGTCTACGGACATATCCTCAAGGATACCGGTTTCTGCATATAGAGGTGGAAAGGGGCGTCGGCTGGTCCAGCTTGCGGGCTTATATCAATCATGGATATATATGGTTGTGGACATGGCGCAGCTGGCGCTTCTGGACATTGCCCTTCGAACTTTATTATTTATATCAAGCGAAATGGGTAGACACGCACAGAAGATTGTCAGATTAGCTGCAATGAGCAAAAGGGAAACACAGGGCAGTCAACGTAATTCATTGTTGCCTTGATCAGTTGTATGATTTGAATAATTATCTCTTTCACATCACCCCTCGTGGAAGGCTGGTGTCAAGGTTTTGATATAGGAGCTTGTATGGCGGGCGGGTCACTTTCATGATTAGAGTGTTACGGCCCTTATATAGATTAATCAATATGGAATAATGAGCAGTTCTATCTGGCCGCCTACAAATATTATGAGTCGAGGGTAACTTGATAGCTGGGATTTTCAGGGTTCATGCCAGCAGCAGGTGGCGGCGTGCTTGACACAGCCCTTTCAAGAACCAACTTGCAACTGTAGCTTACCATCATCCTTTGCCTGGGCACGGTCAGAATAAAGTAATTTGACGCATGCAGCTTGTTCGGAACGCAGTGGAGCAAGACACTCAAAAGGCCAAGCCAGGAGCTTCCGTCACATATTATAAGGGCACAACATGCAGGATATTGAGAAATGTACTTGAATTGCATATTTTCACATCTCAATGCCCACCTGGTGCTCCAAATACTTCGTGCTGTAAGCTAAATACGTAGATCCTTCTTCCGTGCCATTGATTCTTTTAAAGACATTATCACTAATTATTTACTTCATAAGGGTAACGTGAATGTACACCGAGCTGGCCACCCTTACATAACCTCGCATAGAAACTTTACGATAGTAAAACCACAACGCCGTAAATCAATTGAAACTACTCTGAATCTTCCTCTCCAGAAGATGGCAATGCGATCTTACAAGTTCGCGCATTATGCCCAGTCCCGTTGCAAATACCACAGCGCCTCGAGCGCGTTTCAACACGCTTTGCGCGACCACCATTTCGGCGCTCTTCTTGCTGTATCTGCGTCGCCAACTCCCTAGAGTCCCGTAGGTCCTGTCCTTCCTGGAAAATAAGTGATTCTCCTTCCCGTAATTGCATTTTTTAGTCCTCCGGCGCCGGCTTAGCATCTTATTTGCCTCTCGAAGCTCAGCGCACTCGGCCCGTACGAGGGCGAGCTCGTGCATTATCATTTTTGCTCCCTTCGCAAACTGGTCGACAGCTGAGAAAATATTCGTCCGAGAGCTATTCTGATGCTCGGAGATGCGCTTTTTCATAAAAGTAGACTGTGCATGAGCCTCTATCGGGTTCTGTGGCGTCTTTGATACCCACGGTCGGGTTGCGATTTCTGGGGAGCCAACAGGCGTCGGGGTCCGTAATCGTACGTCCAGCTTTGAAATTACACTTTCTGGATTGAATGGAACAAGTCCTGCCCTTCGAAAGCCAGCTTGAACGTTTTTTTCGCCGAAAACTGCAAAGAAGGCGTCTTTGAAGATAGGAAAGAAGTCCTCCTTCGCGATATGTGTTAGTGACCGGCGTATCAATTTCTCTACCATCTGGCCGTACATCCGCTTTAATGGACCGAAACAGGCCACGTCAAGTGACTGGAGGATGTGAGATGAGTGCGGAGGCATACACAAAGTTACAATTTTGTGTTCTTTGCAATATAGCTCGAAATCGCCGGAAACGTGGCTCTCGTGACCGTCCAACACTAACAATCGATATATCCCGGACTTTCCATCTTTCGTACAATTATCGAAGTGTTTAATAAATTCAATACCGATCTAGTTAGTCGTCCATCCTTTTGGACTAGGTCTAATTCTCCAATCTTTCGGAATGTTGTCGTCTTCGTACCAAGAAGAGAGGTGGTATCGGCCCGCAACAACGATGAACGGCGGCAGCGCCCAACCGGTAGACTGGACCGCTTGGATTACGGTAACCCATTCCCGGTTACCTTGCTGTATTGATTTCGGCCTGGCACGTCGTTCGGAGCTCGTAACTACTATATTGGTTGAGATCTTACCCATCATAAACCCAGTCTCGTCGAAGTTGTAGATGTCCGACTCTTGGATACCGTATTTCGCGATAACATTCGCAACAAGCCGAAACCAATCTGCAATAAGCTTTGGATCTTCGCATTGGGCCCTTTGGTAATCGTAAGGACGGTTCCAACGAGTTTTCAACTCTTTGCGACGTGCGACGAACCTCGAGGCCCAGCGCGTTCCAATGGGCCCTGCGTTACGTGTCGCGCGGATAGAATTTGCCATTGCTTCCACATCAGCAATCCGGGGCGGAAACGCTCGTGCATCTAAGTCCAGTATATGCTTGATAATGACCTCCTCTTCTAATTCTGTCATCGTTCGTGAACTGGGCAAAATATCGCGTCGGAAAGGTACGCCGTTTTTACGCGTTTGGAGGGTGCTTCGGGGGACTTGGTACGTTTTTGCCGCTTGTCGGAGACTAAGTTTTGGTCATTTTTGAGAGCTTGAAGGGCTAGTATTAAGTCTGCTTCGTTGTATGACTTTGCCATAATTGGTTGTTGAGAAAATCAAAGATTAAGTTGGCCGGTCGCGTTGGCGCATGAAAGTGGCCAGCTTGGTGTCATGGCCAGCTCGGTGTGCATTCACGTTACTATAACTAGTATATAATAGCCTTTTATTAGGCTATTTTTAAAGGAATAGTAAGCTATCTTACGAAGTAAAAGAGATACTACTATATATAATTTCAGGTAGAAAGAGAGGTTAATTATCTATATACTATTTATCTAGATAATCTGAACTATATATATAAGTAGAGTTTACCCCGCCTTTAGTACTGTTTCAGGCGTAATTCGGCCACCTGTAAATCTCTAAGCGAGTGCAGTACTAGATACTAAGTATTGCTAACAGTAATTAATGAAAACTAATTTACGGCGTTATATTTACGTGCTTAGACTTTCAATTTATAGTATATTAACAAGTACGCGACTTGCTTATAAACCACATTTTATAGGTATCCTAGGCTTGAGGTATTTTTGTTGGAAAACATGGTGGAGACTTCCATGGTTAACAGCTCCGGTAATAGAGCGGTAAAGAATATACGTCGTACCGAACAGCCGCCGAGGCGTAAGGTTTGCCTTACGAACCAATCGGTTTTTGTATTTCGTTTGATACGCTGCTTAAAGTCATCAGAATCATTGTTCCGAATATCAGGCATATTGTATGTGGCTGTGGAATTATCGCGTGTTGAAGTCAAGTCCCGTCTTTGTGGATGCGTCCAAAATGGTGGCCGATGCGTTGAAGCATATCCATGATATCTCCCGGAAACGTGGCCAGGTGATAATTCTCTGTTGGTCATGCATATACAGTATGGCGGCCGTTCTTTGAAACTGAACATCGCTGAAGGCGGTGTGCTTGTTGAAGCGCCAAAGTGAAGACTCCACTAGAATGTAATCGAGTTGGCCTTGTCTGGATATCCCTTAGTGTGGTCACCAACGCTTCCCGTTTATATGTAGAAGGTTATGTTGAAACATACTGAGCAACAAATGTGCTAGAAAGACTGGCTGGCGCTCGCATCGACATGCCTTTCAGCATACGTGAACAGTCATAATACACAATATTCTCCAAGTCCACTGATAATCAACGATTACTCCCTGATTTATCCGCAGTCTTAACATCTCCGAGCTGCCACACCTACAACGTGAGACATTCTGCGGCTCTGGCCAGACGGGCAACCATTGACTAGAATTATTGGCTGAAGATATGGAAACCAATTGTCATTTGATTCTCATGACGCCAAAGCCAACTAAATCGTGCAATTCACCGTCTCAACCCAGTTTCACTTTCCACAGAAGCCCGGCAACCTCCAAATTGAGACCGAAGTATGTGTAATCTCTTGGCAAAGACGCAAGGGAGCCTCAAGTACTTAAGTAGGCAGTTACTTGACGGGCCACCTTTGCCGGTTCTTGGAGCGTCGTAATACCTTCTGTGGCTGATGACATTGGTTGAAAATAGCATCCCATTGAATAATATACCAATCTCAAAAACTCATCTTACCAGCTGTTGATAATTGCGAGTGAGACTACTGTGAGTTGTACGATTGATAGTCTAACATTCTGGAATTCCGGGACCCCACATTCAGCTCTAAAGTTGTGGGGCTTGTCCAATGCCCAGATGTGTGGGGTCATTTCTAAGCAACTGGACCCATCAGGTCACCTTCGCCTGCTTCTAGTTGGGCACAGCGCATCACGTCTGGACGGTCGTCTGGATCAAACAATTGCCGCCTCCATCTACCAAGTCACCACTGCTTCCCAATCACCTCTTCTGCAGCATACTTAGTCTGAATAGTGGTCAAGGAACATGTCGAATTAGTATATCGGCGCTGGATCAAGTCCTTCCATCATGACGGCGGTCGCGGTGCACCCTGCGCAACCTGCGCAGTACCTGAACCAGCGACAGCAGCCCCATCCAGCGGCATCCACTGACCCCAAATCTTCCTCGCCGCAGCAGTCACGATACTCCCAAGCCTCCACCCCTGGTACGTCGCAAGGCTCGAAAATCGGACGTGACTGCGACGGTCCAACACCAGCCACAGCAGTCGCCAACGGCAGCTCTTCTATGACTATGGCATCACGGCCAGCGTCGAGCCGCGGACGGGCATTTAATGGCAACAGCCACACGTCCCAGCTACTGCTGTCGCAAGTCGAAGCTCCCGGTACCACGAACGGATACACAACGTACACAAACGGCGCTGCTGATGACGATGCGTCCCACGAAAGTGACCGTAGACCCTCGAGCGCGCCCGCAAACAAGCAACATCTCTCCCTCGTCACATCTTACGATGATTCCGACCAAGACCGCCCCTTGCGCCGTCCGAAACCCCCTCTGTTGCGATCCAAGAGTGAGCACATGATGCGGCATGAAGATGCCGAACAGACCGACGAAGAAGTATACGACTTCGGCGCACGCCACGGATTCGAGGACCACTATCAATCTGAGGACATCATTTCTCAACTAGCAAACGTGAGTGGACTTTCCCTGGTTTTCTTTCTCTTACCTACTGTGCTTTTAGAGGTCAATATCAACGCTTTCTTCGCTTGTCAAACATGCTTTCCGATGGCTTCCGCTTACGGCCAAAGCCGGTTGCTTCCATATCTACTATCCTGATGCCATCTATGAAACAAACTGGCACCGCAAGTGTCGAGACGATTTTCAGATATACTCGGGACATGGCATGGCAGTAATCAATACTAATAGGCTGCTAGAATTGGTACATGTACTACACAGATAAAAGACACGAGACGACTGGGCAACCCAAATCTCCAGGGTATGAGCTTGAGGATTGGCGAACAAGAGATCGGCTCAAGACAGTCTCGGCGGCTTTAGCTGTCTGTCTGAACATTGGCGTCGAGCCACCCGACCAACTGAAAACAAACCCAGGCGCTAAGCTCGAGGCATGGCAAGATCCTTTCGTACCGAAGGCCCTAGAGAATATTGGAAGATCTCTACAAGCACAATACGAGAACATCTCGCTTAGAACACGTTATAAGCAGTATCTGGACCCTTCAGTTGAAGAGACGAAGAAGTTCTGCATATCTCTGCGAAGGAGTGCTAAGGATGAGCGTGTTCTTCTTCACTACAACGGCCATGGGGTGCCGAAACCAACCGCGTCAGGAGAGATATGGGTGTTCAACAAGAATTACACGCAGTACATACCAATTTCCCTATACGACCTGCAGCATTGGCTTCAAGCACCGACCATATTTGTGTGGGATTGCTCCGAGGCTGGAAACATCCTTAATAATTACCATCGTTTCGTCGAAAAGCATGAAGATGAAGAAGAAGCCGCGGCTTCGGCAGACCCGAACTACGAGAAGACCAAATACCGTTCGTATCTCCATCTGGCGGCCTGTGCGGTCAAGGAGAACCTGCCAACGAACCCTCAGCTGCCGGCAGATCTTTTCACGGCGTGCCTGACGACCCCAATCGAAATGGCTCTATGGTTTTTTGTATTGCAGAACCCCCTGAAGACGAATCTGACGCCAGAGAGAGCCAAAAAGCTTCCGGGTCGGCTTCAAGAGAGAAGGACCCCCCTCGGTGAACTCAATTGGGTCTTCACGGCCATCACAGACACCATTGCCTGGACCTCGTTGCCCAGGCAGTTATTCCGAAAGATCTTCAGACAGGATTTGATGGTGGCAGCCCTCTTCCGCAACTTCATTCTTGCACAGAGGATCATGACGGTGTATGGGTGCCACCCTCAATCGTATCCTGGTCTACCAGATACACACCAGCATCCGTTATGGGAGAGCTGGGATCTTGCTGCCGACCTGGCTCTGGCGCAATTGCCCATGCTGGAGAAGAAGGAGAATGAAGGAGTAGATTATGAGTATCAGAGTTCGACATTCTTCACGGAGCAACTTACAGCTTTCGAGGTCTATCTTGCACGAGGTGACGCAAATCTGCAGAAGCCACCCGAACAACTACCAGTTGTTCTCCAGGTGCTTCTTAGCCAGCAGCATCGCGTACGGGCCCTGATCCTGCTTGGTAGATTTTTGGACCTGGGCCCTTGGGCTGTCCAGCTTGCCCTCAGCATAGGCATCTTCCCATATGTCTTGAAGCTTCTTCAATCTGCGGCCGCCGAATTGAAACCCGTCATGGTGTTTATATGGACTCGCGTGCTAGCCGTCGACATCTCCTGCCAGCCGGACTTGATCAAGGACAGTGGCTATAGCTACTTTGCGTCGATACTGAAACCCTCAGAAGGCCTGCCTGTCGCCAACAGTGACGAACACAAGGCCATGTGCGCTTTCGTTCTTGCCATGCTTTGCAAAGGCTACAAGCCAGGTCAGGTGGTCTGTAATCAGACCGATATCATGAGCTATTGTCTGGCTCATCTCAGGAACGACGACAACGTGTTGCTACGTCAATGGGCTTGCCTATGCATCAGCCAATTATGGCATGACCTTCCCGAGGCTAAGTGGAGAGGCATCCGAGAGAATGCGCCGTTGAAGCTCTCGACTCTGGTCAAAGATCCGTGCTGCGAGGTCCGCGCCGCCGTTGTCCATGCGATGACAACATTCTTGGGAATACCCGATCTGACTGACGAAGTTGCTCGCATTGAGGAATCCATTGCCTGGACTTTACTTGACATGACCAACGACGGCAGCCCGCTTGTGCGTAAGGAGCTGCTGGTCTTCCTGTCTCAGTTTGTGCTGCGTTATGAAAGCAAGTTTCTTGTGGCCGCGTATGAACAACTAGTCGAAGAGAGAGAGTACCTTCTTCACCCTCCAAAGGATGATGGCTCTGAGCATAAAATGGGTCTCCACTATACAAGCCCCGAAAAGCGGAATTCCGACGGCACTATCAAGGCTACTGCACACGGCTTATCTCACAACACGGTTTTTGCGTCATGTTGGAAACACATATTGATCTTGAATGTGGATCCTCATCCTGAGGTTCAACGCGACGCAACAATCATCGTCGACTACGTCCATAATGCCCTGTTGACGTCTTCAACCGGCATTTATGCCCAGGCGCTCATGGAGGAAATTGAGAAACGGGCTAGAAAGACCCGCGGCCACAAGAAACAGCCATCCACATCGCGCAACGGCTACATGGGTGCGGCTGTCACGGAATTCGCAAATCCAGAACCGTCGCCTGGCCTACTCAAGCGTACGGCAAGTTTGCTGTTCCAAATCCCTAGCACCATTTGGGGGGGCGAGAACGGATCAAACCCCTCCACTCCTATGCCATCGCCCAGTCTTACCCGCACTGTCTCTAAGAAAGGCGGTTCCGCAGCAGATTGGGCGACCCCCCCTGAACAGAAGGACCTAACCGCTGCGTATGGGCAGTACAACCTAGCAGAGGAGCCGGTGTCTGGATGCTTCAAAGAACGCAGTTTTTCTAAACCGCCCATGCTGCCTCTGAAGAGCACTTTCTTGGACTGGTCGGTTGAATACTTTCGAGAGCCACAGATGAAACCCACCGAAGCCGAAGAGCCCGGCAGTACAGAGTACAATGAACGGTTGTGGAGAAGATCCCGTAACGAGACGATCCTTCGAGAAACACAGCCGCAAAAGCACTTTGCTGGCAGCCACAAATGGAACAATCAGCTCTGCATCATGAACAACTCTGCTCAACCTGCCAAGATGACTTTCCATCAGTTTGAAGATCATCTAGCAGTGGCAGACGATGCGAACACTGTCAACATATGGGATTGGAAGAAGCAGCATAGGATCAGTCGATTCTCGAATGGCAACCCAGAAGGGTCCAAGATTAGCGACATGAAGTTCATAAACGAAGATGACACAGCCTTCCTCATGACTGGCTCCTCTGACGGTGTCTTGCGCATCTATCGCAACTACGAGGCCGAGAAAACCACGGAGCTTGCTGCCGCATGGAGAGCACTTACGCACATGGTCCCAAGCAACGTCAACTCGGGTATGGTGTTTGACTGGCAACAAGTGACGGGCAAAGTCCTTGTGGCCGGCGACGTCCGAGTGATCCGAGTGTGGGCGGCGGCATACGAGACGTGCATCATGGATATTCCAGCCCGGTCTGGCTCGTGTGTGACCTCACTCACCTCAGATCAGATGACGGGTAACATATTTGTTGCTGGCTTCGGTGATGGTGCGGTTCGAGTATTTGACACTCGATTGCGACCGCAAGAATCGATGGTGAAGAAGTGGAAGGACGACTCGGACCGGCAATGGATCAAAAGTGTACACATGCAACGCGGTGGGCAGCGTGAGTTGCTGTCCGCCAGTCGAAATGGCAAGGTCAAGCTATGGGATATCAGGCTCGATACCCCGCTCAAGGTCTTTCAGACTACGCGTGACACTCTCCGAACTGCGAGCACGCACGAGCACCTACCCGTATTCTCTGTGTTAGTGACCCAATCAGCACATGACGTCACATTTCATGCTAACATGTTTGCAGAGGGACATCGGCTCACACGGTCAAGGTGTTCAACTTTGATGGCAAAGAACTTTCGCGCATGGAGCCTTACTCGAGCTTCCTGCAGCAAAACCGCGGCACGCCCATCTCTACAACGGCATTCCATCCTCATCGCATGATCCTCGGCTGCGCCGCACGTGGCGATCATCATGTCAATCTCTTTACTTGTGCCCAAGAGAAACCGGAGGCATATCTCAGCTCTCTGTAATAATCCGAAGACCAGGTTGGTACCGCCTTCCTGTCGCTTGAAATAACTGAGCCGTGAGCATGGTCGGGGTTGGACCTTCGGAGATGTTGGCATAGGCCATGTCAAGTGGTAGATCATGTAAAGCGATGCCACGACACCCTTTGTGCGACTTACAACCGTTTTAACTTATTGGTGTTAGAGAGTTATTATGCGACTTGCACAGGTTTCCGCGGCGGTTGACTCAACGGGACTTCGCGTTAAACTAAGAAATACTCTAATGAAAAGAGCTTCTCTCGGGATCTCTATGATGTTGGCGTGGGACGACAAGGGTTTCTTGGGTCTGGTGTGTTTGGCGTTGGGGACCGTCTTGGGCGGTTGATACTCCAGGTTCTTTTGGTTTGTGCTTTTCTCTGCTTCAGTAACGAGTTGCACGACCGGTTTGACATATTTCCTGAACCGGCGAGTTAGGAACGAAACTTGACGTAGAATTCTCATGTATGTATTCAGAAGCTCACCGTAGGACCGCTTTATGTCGGGCCGTTAATATTGAAACCGGCATCTGGACAAACTTCCCCGTCTTCGACTGGCGCCATGCCGGCAGTGTGTCTGCCAAAACGTGGAGAAACCTAGTTCACAAGCGCAACTGTCACATCTCACTTGATAAATTCTCCACCAACCAAAGGCCGAAAGGCCAACCCGGTTACCTGGAAGCCAGACCTCATTACGTGAAGTGTGTATATTACTGACCATGCTAATAAACATCGTATCACGAGCGCCTCTAGCCTTCAGCCACTTCTCTGTATGTTCAGGACGACCTGTTTTGAGACCCGCTCCGGTTCGTGGGGCAACTCAGCTGCTGGTACCGAAGATTGGATGCATGACCCAATCTGGACTTACGGACTCTCTCCGTGTCGCATTAGGACTCATGGAACATGACGGTTAAAGACAGGGGGAGGGGCTTGGAAGAGTACGAGTAAATCAATCAGGGTAGTCGTGGGTTTAAGCATAAAAGGACGGCGTGCGATCGTCGGGGATCCTCGTACTTTGGCGAGGTCCTCCTCCCCTTCCCTGTCTATCTATACCTCACTTACATACCAGTTTACTTGATATCACACCCTTCCCGTTCGCTCCAGTAGACACCCACGCCATGAAGTTCCTCTTCCTCCTCCCCCTCATCACCACCGTGCTCGGTGCAAGCCGCACCTCCCCCCCGTCAGGCTGCATCCACGTAGCCAAGTCTGGTGACGCCTATAGCAGCGTGCAGAGCGCCGTCGACTCGCTAAGCACGAGCTCCAGCACCGCGCAATGCATCTTCCTCGACCAGGGCACCTATTCGGAGCAGGTCTACATCGCGCCCCGCTCCGCCCAGCTCACCATCTACGGATACACGGCCGATACGACGGGGTATGCGGGGAATAAGGCTATCATTACACATAGTTTGAGTGCTGCGTCAGCCGGGAGCAATGATGCGAGTGGCACGCTTAGGGTTGCAGCAGCGAATTTGAAGGTTTACAATGTTAATGTGATTAACTCTTGTAAGTGGCGTTGTGCCTGTGTGTGTGAGAGTAGGGGTGGGTGTTCGATAGGGGACTTATAACTGACTTGCATATTTCCATAAAGACGGTTCTGGCTCCCAAGCTATTGCATTGAGCGCCCAAGCCTCGTCTGGCTACTACGGCTGCTCTTTCTACGGCTTCCAGGATACCCTCCTCGCCAACAAGGGATCCCAGTACTACGAGAAGTGTCTCATTACAGGGGCGACTGACTTCATCTTTGGGCAGCAGGCCGCGGCTTGGTTCGAAGCGTGCGATATCAGGGTCAGAAAGGGGGGATATTACATCACAGGTCTGTATTCTTTCCCCCTCTCCCCATCCTCACTCATCTCAGCCACGCTTCTTGTAAGAAACAATGACTGATACCAAAACTCAGCAAACGGTCGTGACTCCTCGTCCAACCCTTCATACTACCTCTTCAATGGTGGTACCATAGCCGCCGCCTCGGGCGAATCCGTCTCTAGCGGAACCTACTACCTCGGCCGCCCCTGGCGTACTTACAGTCGCGTTGTCTACCAGACGGTGTCTATGAGCAACGTCATTCGCAGTGAGGGCTGGAGCACTGTACGTAACTTTCCAAACTCATATCGTCCTCCCCTTTCAGGTGTCTGTCTCGAGCAGAAATTGCGTAGAAAAGCCTCGCATTGGAAGATCTTGCACTTGATACATGACTTGAAACTACCAAATTAGGAGATTTACTAGCAACTCTCGCAAGTATAATTACTGACCCTTGTTAATGTAGTGGAACGGGGACACGGATGTAGATAACGTCTACTATGGAGAGTACGCTAATACGGGTGATGGAGCCAGTGGCACCCGTGTTAGCTGGGCTCAGAAGCTCAGCTCAGCTGTGAGCATTTCGACGGTGTTGGGGAGCAGCTATGCTAGCCAGGGGTACTATGATGCTTCGTAAGTTCTCTTGGGGTTGTATTTTGATGTGACTTGAGACTGACGTATTGCAGGTATTGATTCACGGACAGTGGATGGATACAGGCATTGGGTAGTTCTTGTATTGAATAAGCAGCATCAATGGTTGGCAGATTGTCTGAGACAGATCTCGTTTGCGTATAGCAGTCAATTCTGAGGTAGGCACTATTGCACATCATCTAACTCATCGGAGTCATTTTGCGTATGGAGAAATCTTAGTGACATTGAAAGCTCAACTTGAGCGTATGTGAGAGTGCAATCCAGAGTGCTTCATTTGACTCATCACGGGCGAAGATGCACGCCTGAACTTATCAGATTATAAAATTGGAAAATGAGTACTGTCTGCTTAACACCCCTATATCTATATTTTAGTCCTTCTGTTCGCTGTTCTTGATTTAACCTGAGAAACTTTGGCTTCCGGTTACAGATGCAAATTTAGTAAGTGCTTGTTATCGGTTTGGTGATGACTATTTATCTGACGGTGCCTGCGGTTTCAGGAATGACCACGCGTTGTTTATCCTCTGAGTTTATCGACATTCACGGGCATCCTGGTTTCAATATATATTTTGCGGGAATCAAGGCCCCAAGCCCCCAATCACCCTGACTCACCAAGACTACTGCCGGCAAGCATTCCTCACTAAGATCCTCTGTTCACCTCTTCTGTCAAGTAGTGATGAGAGCCGCCAGCGCTCTCTGCTATTCTACGCCTTCAAGCTCCCAGTCAAGTTAAGACAGCTTCCGAACCTCAACCACGAGGCTTAGTCCACACTTATGCCTAACAACATGGACAAAGGCGTCATCTATTTCTTATCGACCCATGATAGCAATGCCGTTCAACAGCAGACACTAATACGGCGACTGAGGGTTCTTTAGACCCTTTATCAGTGGTCTTGCCACCTATCCCGGACGTGAAGGGATCAACCAGGCTGCAATGCGAGACCACACTCCGAAACACTCAATGCAGAAAATGGCATGATTCATGGAATTTCAGATATTATGAGACAACAACATGTACTTCAAAGAGTGGCAGGCCGTTAATGGAACACGTCAACCCGGGGTTTCTAGAACTACGACTTGGAGATATGACAGCAAGGGCATCCACACCAAAGGCACTCATTTTGTCCATACGGTGCCTTGAAATGTCTGTGGGCGAAAGCATTCCAAAGCCCATTCCTACCGACAGTCGCTTCGTTTTTCCAGGATAGTTATTTGGGTCTACATTCCTCACGCTCCTTGCATGGAATCAGGTATAGGATATCGGACTACGAGCAAATATAGGAGGGATAGGAATATACGAAACTTATAAACTCAGATAAATATAGTAGTTTCGTATTGTGGGAGAAAAAGAAAAGGAATAAAAGCGATGAGATCGTAATCCAATTCAAACAATACAGGACATGAGTTACTTTTTGAAAAGAAAAATAATAGAATAAAACTGTGGCCGGGTTTGAACGGGAAATGTGGGTTGAGTCACTCAAGAGCCGGAGCTCAATTTGCTTCAGGAAGAGGATTTGGGGCTTTTCATCCTGACTATTCACTTGATAACGATGAAGGAGTGCAGAATAACAAAGCTTATACGCCCGATCCGATGAACGATGCCAGTCGACCGAAAATAGCAGTGTGGGTTTCAAGCTAGGCTGCCACTTCCAGCGACCTGCCAACCTTGATAGCCCGTAGAAGCGTGCAAGGTCTCGAAAACGGCAGCATGTTCGTCCTCGCTTACATGGCCATGACAGCCCTTGCGCCGGTATGTGAACGCGGGAAATGGTACGCTATGATCCAACAGCAGTAGACGCTCGGGTAGCAGTGAATCATCTCGGGCGCTATTGCTCAGAGGACGTCTCGGCAATGGTTGCCCATCATCAACTTTTACTTCTGTTTGTTTCGAACCATAAAGTGGGGAGATCGGTACAGAAGACTGTCTTTCGAGTGCTGATATCTTTTTCTATTTTAGGCAGTGTTATCTTTGAATGGAAGACTACGTGTGTTCTTGTACTACTCATCATAGGCATTGCGGGCTTGACAGCCTTCGCAGTATATGTAGCGATTAAGACTGTGCTTATCCGCCGGTTTTTGTTCCTGAATGCTTGCGTTTTTGTCTTGGGCCCAAGGTGCAAATGTGAACTTAAGCGGGTGTAGGTTGGCGGGTGCTCATTGGATTGCAAATTCTTTATACACTTCATCCTCCAAGCGTGCAAGGGCATGTCACCGCTGTTGGCCTTGCTTGAATCCTCAGCATGTTGCCAGTTTCTTTCGTCAATGGCATAATTATCACCAAGACGGGGAAACATAGACCGCTGCTTTGGACTGGATGGGTTATCATGACGTTGGGTATAGGCGTGAACATACTTCGACAAGAAAGTCTCGTCCGTCCGCATCGTTTTCCTGCTGTTTCCAGCGGACATCAGTACCGACATCTCGAACACGGTCCTGAATATCACAATTCAAGCCGTAGCCAACAAGGAGGCTTCGTCCTTTGCAGCGGCTATTTATACCTTGTCGTGGGCTCTAGGTAGCGTCGTGGCATTTCCATATCGGGCGTCGTCTTCCAGATCCGATTGAAGGCACATCACATGTCCTTGGTACGCAATTCTGGAAGCATGCAACCAACTGGACTTGATACACAGAGGATATTTTGCGGGCGGTGAAAGAGCTGGCAGACGAGAATATGGAGAAGGTATTCATGGTCTACGGCTTTCAACGTTTGTATATTCTGTGCACAGCTTAAGCGGTATCATGCTAGTAGCGACCCTGGTGCTTGTAAAATACTACTGTATCAATAGACACTGGGGAAAGGATCAGGCAAAGGTGCAGAGTGAGAGTCACACTCACCGGGTGAAGGTGGTGACCGATCCCGAAGGGAAGGGCCGGACGTTGGACGGGTAAGGGTCTTAGTTGACTGCGCTTTCCGAATTTTCACGTGGATTTTCTTGTGTACTATACAGTGAGATAGTTGCCTTGCCAGGTCGAAACGTCCAATTTTGGGTGTGCAGATCGGAGTGTAGTCTTCGGAGTTGGGTTTGTAGTTGCTGCCGCCACTTGCTTTCTGGGTCCAATCTTCGCATTGCACTGTTGTTGGCTTTTGTCGGCACTAAACATCAAAGCCCCGAAGCTCCATGGTGTGAACAAGTCATTAGTTAACTCTTTCCTTAATCGGTGGACCTTCGTCATAGCCGCCGTAAGGCTCCAGGGTTCTTCCATGGACTTTGTGAGCAGTATAGAAGCAATACAGCCTGTCCTCTTGTCTTCAAGTTTGTCGGGTGCCATGGAAGTCGCTTTGGTATGAAGACGAAGTCTGTTCAACTAGCAAAGATTTCACAGTTCCAGAATAATAGACTGGTCAATGGAACAGGTCTGTTGAGTTGTCTCTGTCTTACACATCCACCGACACAACTGGTCACCTGCGTAAGTTGCGTTGTCCCACCTTTGCAGGCATTGGCGGCTAAAGTTGGGGCCAGACAGAGAAGAGAACGCGTCATAGTTGGACAAGACGGCATTGTGCGGGAGGAAATAGCGACAGCGTGGACAGCCAAGTGAGAGTATAACGGCTCAAAGCCAGGGGAGTCGACTCTTTGTTGAACTGATGGCAAGTTTAGCCAGTCAGCCTTGTCTCAAGTCAGCCGTCGTTACGAATATAATTCACCAAGCTAACTGCTTGGTGGCTGCTGCTGCTGGTGCCGCCCCTGCAGACAAGAAGCCAAGGAAAATCATCCGAACCGAACTGCCAGCGCTAGCGCTAGGGAGCTGAGCTGAAGTCCGTGACCTCGGCACCACTCACTGTAACTTTATCCCCTGGAAGCTACGTCAATTCCAGATTAACGGCTGAACTCCCCGTTATCTCCACCTCATCGAAACCCCGCCCCCCCCCCCCTGTGCCTTTTTGGACTTGACGGAATTTCTCTACAACCCCCCAACTGTGCGCTACATCGTCTCCTACGCTGTCGCAGGCATCTTCTTTTGCCTCAAGTCCGTTGGATGGGGACATCAGACCCCGACCGTTCACCTAAAACAGGTAAAACAGGGAGGCTTTGCGGCAAGACTCCTCGGTCGATTTCCCTGCTGTTACCATTGTCGACGCGTCAAATGCCTGATGATGCAATCCCCGACACCCCCCCATTGCAGCCTCACCGAGGTGCTCGAGTGCGACCGCCGCCCGACCTTTATAGTCAATTTGTCTTCAGTCTCTGCGCTGAATGACTCGCAGAGCGATCACCACACTCTGCCCATTTTCTACGCAAACTCGGCCCTCAAGGACGACAGCAGACTATGCCATGTAGTCTACAACCTCAACAAGAGGAATGATGGCATGTTTGTGGATTGGATTCATAGCTGTTCTACCACTCCCCCCTCCAGCTGGCGACCGATATACTCCTACAATGGGGATGTATGGTCTTTGGCCCTCCTTAGGCGGGAGTGGGCCATTATCGGGCGCAACGCATACAGCGATGCGACCCCAGATGCCTCCCGTGTGCCCTACGAGCAGCGCAACCGGAGGAACAGCCTCTTGCAAACATCGCCTCCTCTCGCCACAGTGACAGATGCCATTGCTGAAGTCGGAGCGGATTGGTCGATGCCCGGAATCAGGACCGAGGAACAAGCCTTCGTCGATTTTGTGAACAGCTTTAAATGGGCGGCAACCCCTCTGGGGCCCATGAGCCAATGGCCTGCACGCCTTCAGCAGACTTTCAACCAAGTTCTCGCTGACTCGCGTCCAATTGCAATATACTGGGGCCCTAAGTTGGCAACACTATACAACGAAGCCTTCAGCAAACTCTGCGGCACCCAGCATCCTGGCCTACTGGGCAAGTCGGTGGAAGATGCCTGGCCCGACTTCTGCGACAAGATCAAGAAGACCATGAAGGCAAGCACCTCAAAGCATGGGCCAAGCCTGGAGCAAGAATGGCGATTCTTCGTGCACCAGAGCGACGGGTCAATGGAGGAGACTTACCTCAAATGGTCCCTGGTTCCCATTATTGAGAACAACGAGTGCATGGGCTTTCTCCAACCGCTTGTCGATACCACGTCCATGCGCCTATGGGAGAGGCGGATGCGCATGTTGATAGACCTTGGCCATGTCTTGGTCACAGCTCGAGACACCAAGTTATATTGGAGGAAGACCATGCAGGCCCTCGAGGCTTGTGATCCTAGTTACGATATCCCCTTCGCCATCATATACTCCGTCGAGAACGGCCCAAGCTCTTCTCATGGAGTCACTAGTCCAGACAGGGTCAAGAACCTGTGCCACCTCGAGGCATGCTTGGGCGTTCCGAAGGGCCATCCCCTCATCCCGCAAACTCTGGCCCCAGAGACAAGCAATCAAGGTCTGTCGGCGGCGTTCAAAGAGGCACTAAAGACACAGAATCCCACCCTACTGCATACGAAGGACAATAGTCTCCCGGAAGCGCTACTGGGAGGGCTCGACTGGCGTGGATTTAAGGATCCCTGTCGTTCTGCCATCATTTGTCCAATCCGACCCACCACGGAAGAGCACGTTATGGGCGTGCTCGTCCTCGGCTTGAACCCACGCAGGCCCTATGACCATGATTACCAGCAGTATATCTCCCTGTTGAACCAGAAGGTTACGACGACTTTGGCGTCGACGGTACTGATCCAAGAAGAGGCACGCAGGAACCGCAATATTGCCGAACAAGCGGCTTACGATGAAGCGCAGCTCAAGGAGAAACTGGCTGCGCAGACTAAACATGCTACGGATTCCATGTCCAAGTTTCAATCAATTGCCGAGTTTGTTCCTGTCGGTATGTGTTTTGGCGATGGCCAGGGAAATATCACCTTCGCCAACGAGGCGTGGCATCGAATAACGGGGGTGCCAAGAACGGGAAAAATCACGCAGGGGTCGTTTTGGTCTCGCATCGTCGAGGAGGATCGGCAAAACGTCGATCGAGCCTACAAGGAGATGGAACGTGCTGGTGCTGCTACCATTGAGTTTCGCGTACAGAGAGAGGACGACGGTCCTGTACAATACCCCATCGGTAGCTCTCCGAGTTTCGAAAAGGCTGGAATGGACCTTGCTCAAGGAAACCCTCAGGAGCGACATGTCCTGGCGGCCCTCAAAGCCGAGTGTGCCCCGGATGGCACCATCTTACGTGTTCTTGCTTGCTTGACTGATGTTACTCTCCACAAGGAGGCAGCAGAACAAGCCATCCGGCGAGCCCAGCTGGTAGAAAACTATCAAAAAATGACGGAATTCTCGACCGTAGGCATGTACGACATGAGTCTCGACGGGCGACTCGTTGGTGCCAACAACGTATTCTTCGAGATGTGTGGCATCGACAAGGTCGACTTGAGACGCAATGCCGTCTACCCTTTTGATTCCTGTGTCGTCGAAGAGGATGTCCCCGTTCTGCACCGGGCATTGGCTCAACTGGTCGCCGGAGGTAAGACCCAGACGGCCGAGATCCGGTTCAAGACGCCGTGGACCGAGAAGGACAGCGATGGCAACAACATTATCGCTCCACGCTGGGTCGTCGCCACTTTCCTGCCAGTTGTCAACTCGGATTGTGTGATTCAGTCTTTTACGGGTTGCCTTATCGACACTTCATCAAAGAACTGGCAATTCGAAGCGGAACGTCAGCGCTACGAAACGGAGCGAAAGCGAAAGGACGAGGCCATTGAGGCCAAACGCCAACAGGAAATGTTCATAGATATGACATCCCATGAACTGAGGAACCCACTCAGCGCTATAGTGCAGTGTGCTGATGCCATTATTGCTTCATTGGCCAAGTCCCTTGAGCTTGTAAACCTTTCGCCCACCGATCTCCACGCCCTGCGCACCTCCCCACCCGAGGCTATCTTGTCCGAGCCGGAGAAGGGCACGTGGTACGAGGGTTTGAGCTTGGTCCAGAACGCCATAGAAAACGCCGAGACCATCATAGCCTGCACCCAGCACCAGAAGAGAATCGTTGATGACATCTTGACTATGAGCAAGATGGACTCGAATCTGTTGACGGTCACCCCCTTTACAGTCGACCCCATTCTCATCGCCAAGGAGGCTTTCGAAATGTTCGAAGTTGAAGCTCGCCGGGTTGATATCGAGCTTACTTGGGACGTTGATCAATCCTACCGACACTTGGGCATCGAGTTCCTGGACCTGGATCCCTCGCGCCTGAAACAAGTATTGATCAATCTACTTACTAACGCGTTGAAGTTCACCAAGAACCAGGAGATCAGAAAGGTCTCGATCAAAATGAGTGCGTCCAAACAACGTCCCACGGATGCCACTTCTTCGGTGCAATTCATACCGCGTGCTGCCGACATACTGGCGCCTGAGACGTCGACATCCGATACCTCAGGCTCTGGACCATCACCTCGCACTTCGGAGACGTCGGCTTCTGAACCCTCAACGTCTTCCAATCCACCAGACTATACATATTTGATATTCGAAGTGCACGACACTGGACAAGGCTTGACGGAGGAAGAGAAGTCCTTACTCTTCCAGAGATTCGTACAGGCGTCCCCCAAGACACACGTGAAGTATGGAGGTTCTGGCTTGGGCCTGTTTATCAGCAAACGCCTGACGGAAATGCAAGGTGGCGCTATCGGGGTCGCCAGCCGACCGGGACACGGCTCTACGTTCGCCTTTTACATCGAAGCAAACACGCCTGGCAAAACCGAGTTGCAAGAGGCTCGAGCAGCCGCCGATGCGTTGAAACAAGCCATGCGGTCGCCATCCACTGTGACGCGCGAGAGGGCAGCCAGTGGTAGAGCCAATGACGTCCAAATCGAGGGTGTGCTTATAGTAGAGGACAACCTCATAAACCAGCAAATTACTCGTCGCGGGCTGCTTGACCGAGGCAAAAAAGTCGAAGTGGCCAACCACGGTCTTGAGGCTCTGGAGAAACTACAAAAGATGAATCAAGCGGAGGGCGAGTTCCCTCTCACTCTGGTCACTATGGACATGGAAATGCCAATTCAAGATGGTCTCACATGCACCCGCGAGATTCGGAAAATGGAACTATCAGGCCAGCTTAAAGGCCCACGAATCCCGATACTCGCGGTTTCAGCCAATGCACGCACGGAGCAGATCAAGGAGGCTATTGCTGCTGGTTGCGACGATGTGCTCGTCAAACCATACCGTATTGATGAACTCAGCCACAAAATGCGAATGGCTGTCCAGAAGTCCCGCGAGAGGGAGGACCAGGAACGCAAGGAGGACGAGATACATCCTTCTTGAGCAGGCAGAGCTGGGAGGATCGCACCATGCGCAAGACGGTCCGTCTGATCGGACTCGAGAGGAAGACGAATACTCCCTCCCCCACGTTATTTTCGTTTGCTATTAATGCTGTGCGGAACGATACCCCTTGGAAGACGAGCAGGCGGCATTTTTTTATTCATTTATTTATCTTTATTGTCGTGCATATTTAGAAAGATTCATCACGGCGTTAGTGTCGGACGGGCTGTTACCGAGTAGATGTTACACCTACATTATACTACTACACTGCATTACATTTGCCCTGATCCACATACCCTCACCTCCCCTACTTATCTACTTAGAACTAGAAAGCTACAGAACCAGAAGGAACAAGGCCAATTGAAGCATTGCCACGTACATTTCGACTGGTGCAGCTTTCTGGCTGTGGAGATCTAGCGTCCCAATTAGGGACATTCAGTGTATTCTGAACGCGAAGAACCGAGCTTTGGCAACGCAGCCGAAATTCGGCCTCGACGGATTCGATAGAGTACTGCACGAGGATAACAACCTGCACCAATCCCCGGGGCGTGTATTCTCCCGCTCGTCCCGCCACATTGCGCGTCTTTGTCGATCGCCCACTACAACCGGCAAACCCCCACGGTGTGTCCGTGGTGGCCCGTCAGGGGTTACATACATCAACTATTTTAGCATAGTACCTAAGGCAGCAGTTGCTTGAGCTACTTCCGTAGCTGAGGGCTCGATCTGCAGGCCGGTTCTCGTGGCTACTCGTTTTGAGGCGGGGTTGCTGACGGCCGAGATAACAAGTGCCTCTGGCTGTACTGGAGAGGCGGCATACATAGACGCAAGAACCGAGACGGACAGCTCGCAGATTCCGAGCTCTTATCTGCTGTGGGCCCCGTTGAAGGTTTCCGAGGTTTTACATGCGCTGAGTAACAAATGTCTAATTCAGTTTTCAGCTACAAGGTTAAACTGGGCGCGAGCGCTGGTTGTACGATTATCCATGGACTTGTGCCTCGGGATTTTCGTGACGATAAGGTACTTAAATAGCTCGACACACCATTATATTTTAGCTTCAACTTTGTTCAGTCGACGTCAGACCCTATGAACAACTTCTTTGGTCCCTCGCCCTGCCTTCTTCAGATTTGTGACTACTTGAACGACTGCTACTGCTGCTGGTACCGTCTGGTTCCCGTATTCTTCAGAAGTCTTTAGAAGATCTTTCCACAATATCGTTGCTACTATGGCCGGCCGTATCCATAGGATTACCATGTTCAAGCTGCCTGACCCTGAGGGCCAGCAAAAGCTTATTGACGCGTACAAGACGTTGGGACAGAAGCAGAAGAAGGTGAGCTTTTCATGGTTTGAAATTGGAGTCATATTCCCTCATGCTCAATATGGGCCTCGGAACAATATCAGCAACAACTGTGCCCTACCACAATCCTGAATCGGCAATTAGACATGCCTAACTAACACTTGAAACCAGGATGGGAAACCGTACATTCTCAGTATGACGACGGGGCCAGCGATGGAAGACCCTCGATCTCAGGGGTGGACGGTGGTCAGCAAGACCGAATTTGCGAGTCTGAATGATATGAAGTACTACGATGATCAGTGCGAAGCGCACGCTGAGCTGAAGAGCTTGGCGAAGGGGTTGGGAATTCAGGGTGGTCCGGCGGGGGTTATGACGGTGTATTTTGAGGCAGCTGCTACGCTATGAGTGGGGGGTTCGTTGTGCTGGCAGTAGGCGATGGATGACATTTACAACCCACACAAGCGAGATACGCGCAATACACGAGAAGGGGGTGTCTGGTATTAGAACATTAGAACACCCGGTCAATTAGCCCACCTATCCTCTGCGACAATCCGCAAGTGCTGTTCTTTGAGCTCAGAGCTGCCAATATTCATTACCTGAACTTCCTGCTCGCCTCCGTAAACCCCATTCCCTTCTTAATCTCCTCTGCCATCCTCCCATCCGCTTCGACCCCCCTCTTCATCAACGGCAACGTCTCCTTCGCCAGCTCCTTCGGCAAAACCACAACCCCATTCACGTCGCCGATCAGATAATCCCCGGGTCTAATCTCCATATCCTGGTCCTCAGTCTGCAGTTTTACAGGGACGTTCACCCCGACGACTTTGACCAGCTCCGCGGGGGGCGCCGTGCCCACGTCCCTGGCGAACACGGGGAAGTTCAGATCGCGCTGCTCCTGCACGTCCCGGAACCGCCCGTCGATAACGGACCCCACTGCCCCGAGGAACTGTGCGCGCGTCGACATCAGACCCCCGTAGACGGCGTTGGGCGTGCGTGGGGGGCAGGAGATGAAGATTACAGCACCGGCGGGGACGGAGTCGATCTACATGGACTGTTCAGTAGGACGAAGCCGGTATATGATGAGAAAAGCGGGGATGGAAGTGGAAGGTTGTAAGTACATAGTGAGTAGGATGTTTCGGCGCAGGGTCAGCTAGAGGCACGTATTTAACCGTGTAGGCGGGCCCGACAATCTTAGTGGGCCCGTCCTGCCGCTGGGGCGACCACATGGTCAGGCCCGAGAGGAAGCCGCCGTTGCGGTATTTGAGCTTGCAGAGGGCATCTGAAACGTCGCATCTAGTCTTTCTTAGTGTAATGTCTTACCGGTCGTATGTGGGACTTACGTGGTGAATTCCTGCAGCTCCTTGATGATGGGGTCCTCTGGAGATGCCGCCATATTGCCGAGGCTTCGAGACTGGAGGGGTTTGGTGGATGCGAGCGAGAGGATGTATCCGGGGACTAATTGAAGGGGCAGTCGAGTCTTGGTCAGGAGAGTGGACATGCTCTGGTTGATCCGATACAAGGCACTGACTGACTGACTGTACTCCGGGAGGCATGGTGTCATATTGGTCGGCCCTCTTCACGTGCAGAGCTGTAACCGGCCGCCCCACCCCGACTTCCCGAGCATTCCCGGACGACCGGCGTCCAAGCTGGCAGGCCATCATCGGCCAGCTGAACAGATGTCACCTCAAAAAGTGCAGCAAAGAAATGTCAGAACGTCAAACTGAACCCAAATGCTTTGCAGTATTTAGGGATTCCTCGGGGCCAACTTGGGATTGGTCCCTGACGCACCTTCATAGTACCAATACAGCCCCTAGTACTTGGACCCCGACAGTCACTACCGTTTATAAAATGGCTACTTCCGATACGGTGCAGAAATGGGCCAAGGTTACGCGAGGAAAGCCAAGGTCCAGACTTATGAAGTTGATGCGAGTGCATATAAGGTGCGCATTATTGTATTGGGGAAGCTTAGTTAGCTAAGCGATCTGGCTGGTCGAAGATCCTCTTGGGCTTTCTGTATTGTCTTATCTATAGCTACAAGGTGGCCCTCCTTGGGATCACGTATCATATACAGTATAAGGAGTTTCCCTAGTTCACTGAGGCCTAAATTAAAGCGATTAGAGAACTTACACGCAAGTCCAAGGCGAATTTAGGCGTACGTCTTCCGGGACTTATTATACCTTAAGAAAACTAACCGGCCGATAGGCGTGGGGAAAGGCCGAATATAGATATACTATCAGTAGTGTTTCTAGGGATATCGGCGGTAGCGAGAGCTCGTGCGCTATATTCCCAGGCCGGGTGCCGTTGGTGAAAGAGGCCACGCCTTATCAATTCCGCGGTTCAGATTGCTAGTATAACCTGAATGGTAAGAGAACTGCTTATATTCACCATGATGCCTTCTACCGCCCAACTTTCCTATCTTTGTTAATAGTCATAATAATTATTATTATTAAATACGCCATAGGCTCGAAGCCCCCGGTACCTCTACTAGTACTCCCGTATGTCAAACCGTGCCCTAATGGCTGGACTAAATACATACGCTGCGTCGTCGGTTCGCCCTATTGGCGACTGCGTTGCGTTCACTACCATACTACGTTGGTTCTCAACCTACCAACAAAGTCCCCCCTGAGAAGATCGATGCTATCTGGGCCTTGAAGCTGTCCGACCCGTCCCTAGCAGCCATCTTACAATAGTCCCACTAACTACTGGTTCTCCTGTTGCCGTTGCGAGGTCTCTGCGAGAGTATAGTGGCCGTGGTGCGATGGCGGCCCGTAATCGTTCCCTCGGTCCTTCCAACAGCCCGCAAAAGAGGATTACGTGCTCTGCCGTCTCAGGGGCATCGCCACAGCGGCATAGCGGCGAGTACACGCCAAAAGCCCCTGTCTTGAATAAGAAGGCTGCTAGTCCTATTTTTTCCGTCCTGATCTGGCACAGCGTAGACGCCTCCAGTCGGTTCAGGCCGAAATACTTGCCCCCTTTCGGTATCTGCATCGAAGGGCCCTCCGGTTCCTCAGCGATAGCGCGTCGCTGGCGATCGTGATGCTCTGCTCCGGTGAGCCATCTCTTCCTCCAGTGGCCGAGGAGGGCAGCCGGGACCTTCTTTTTCTCACTCATCCACTCGGAGCCCCGGGCCTCCTTCTCCATAGTGTACCCTGCCGGTCGGAGTAGCTGCGACGCCTGCTTCCTCTTCGCCGGCCTATCCTGCCGGAGTATATGTGACGCTTTAGCGCTCGCGCTGCGAAGCAGATTTCTCTTCCCGCTAAGCCGTAGCCGTTCTTCAAACTTAGCAGCCCGGGCACTAAGATAGAGGTCTAGTGGCGGGATTGCTGCTTCTGCTTCCAGGTGGCGAACCGGCGTCGCTTTGTGGGCACCACAGACTACCCGGAGGCACTCGTTCTGTATCCCCATCAGGCTCTTAGCTGGCCCTGCCGGTTCCTCACTTATAGTATGCCACGCAGTCGCCCCGAAGGCAATCGCGCTACGGATAACCACCGTATATAACAGCCTCGCCCGTATAAGATCGCAGCCCCACGACATATTGACTAGCTTTGTCAGGGCTAGCTTTTGAGTTGCCATTTTTGTTTTAACACGCTCAACATGGGCGTGCCACGTCAGTTTGCGGTCGAACCAGACTCCTAGGAACCTCGCTGAGACTACCGACGACACTGTGGCGTCCCCAAGGGGAATACTTTGCGGCAAGGGCTCTCGGGCCCTAGTAAAGTGCATTAGCTCACTCTTGTCAGGGGCGAACTCCATCCCGTGCCTCACTGCCCACCGCTGACACGTAGCCCATGCGCCCTCCAACCGGCGGCAGGTCGTGTCTGGATCGGTGCCGACGCTTAGCAGGTTCGTGTCGTCCGCGAACCCGACTACTAAAAGTAGTGGGTGCTGCTCCGCTAGCTCCTCGTACAGCGTTGAAATGTATAATATAAACAGTATCAGGGATAGCGGTGACCCCTGGGGGCGCCAGCTCGTAGGGGGATTGGCTCTGACTCCTTGCCATCGAACCGGAGGCGTACCGCCCTATCCTCCACGAAGCTGCGTACCCACTCCTGAACCCACTCCGGCAGCCTTTCCGGGCTAATATGGAAATCAGCCGTCTGTAATTGACCGTATCGAATGCCCCCTTGATGTCTAGCTGTAGCAGCGAGGCGATGCCCCCGCATCTCCACGCCGTATAGACCACGTCCTCAACTATACGTATTGCCAGTTCGGTGGACCTCCCAGCGCGGTTACCCATTTGGCCGTTTGGTAGTAGGCCGGCCGCCTCAGCTACTTTGGTGATACGCTGGCTCATCGCCGTCTCTATTACCTTCCCTACCGTGCTAAGCAGGGCAATGGGGCGCCAGCTGCCAGGGGTCTGCTTCTGAGCTGTCGTTTTATTAGGCTTAGGGATAACAACCACCCTCGCTGAGCGGAAGCGCTCCGGGTAGTACCCAGCCTAAAGCTAGCTGTTGCCAGATCCGCTAGGATCTCCCATAGGGGTTCACCGCAGGCCTTTAGCAGGCCAGTGGGGATCAGGTCGTCGCCGGGAGCCTTCCAAGCAGACGTTCCTTTGATGATAAGACTCGATATCCATTGTGGTCACCTCCCTAGGGACATTAATATATATATACTCTTCTAGGTCTCTAAGATCTATACAATCATTACGAATAGAGTAGAATCTAGTTACTGGTAGTCTCAGGTAGGTATAGCTGGAATATTTTATCAACCTAACCTCCCCTTCTTCCTCCTCTGAGACACCTCCTGTCGGATTGTGGGCAAATGGTCTTGTATTGAAAGTGTCATGATCTCTGGAGAGTCCTGAAAGAAGTGAACGGCGGCCATAAGGGCCTTATAATAGACAGGAATGACTGATGCCTGTCCCACAGGAAGTACTTGTGTGGTTCGATGGGTGGTGGTCATATTAGCTTATAACGTACGGTTTGTGGTCATATGTCCTTCGATAACGCGCAGTCTTGATGTAGTAGCCTTGAAGGCCCAACACCTCCCTTATATGACAAAACCCCTATTCGGAACTATAATTCCCCAATTCCTGGGGTTCCACGATATTTCACGGCCTCTCACAATGTTGTATGGCCCACAGGCCTCGCACCGCTTCCCCACCAGTGCCATGCACCACCCGCTCTGACAATTGGCAACTCCTTTCGTCTTCCTAACACCACCTCTTGGCACCAATTCAAAGGCTAGAGTCTGCAAATTCATTCGTTTCAACATTCTATTCAGAAGAAATTCTCACACAAAAAAGCTCATATTGGACAATTTACAAGGTCACAAGTTCACACAGCAAAGGATTTCTGAAAAGCTTCTGTCCACCTCTCCCCCCGACGACTGATATATACACAACTTGCACTCTGTTTGGGGAAGGATATACAGCTAGAACAATGGTATACAACCTGTTGTTCATAAATTTGAGGGCCTTGTATGAAGTCAAGAGTTTGACATAGGGCTGTACGTATATAGATGATATTCTTTTTCTCAATGAAGCCTGTCACCTATACGCGAAGTCTTTACAAGATGGTTATTCGGAATGATGTATGCAAGCGATGAGCATGAACGACTGATCAGGATGGGTGGCTCCACGATTTTAACACTGCCCAGCGCAATATCCTATTGTAGATTTCGATGCCGGGTGAACAAGGTGTTGTGTTTTGCATCTAGTCTAGCCGAAGCTCGAAATGGGTAGAGAGCATGATAGATATCACCGACCACTTGACAATCAAGCTCCCCGTAGTGTTCAATAACGTATTTAATACAATGGATAATGCCATTTTCCAGCCACCTACTTACCCGTTTATGGGAGTCTAATGTGCCTACGCTTCTTAAATGCAACCATCCGCTTCCAACTCCAATATAAGGCCCAAGTCCTCACAGCCGACTCAAGATCCACATGAAAACCAACTGCACGGGGTACGCGTAGCCAAAGAGGAAGGTTGTTCTTTGGGTCCGTTGGGATCGTGTGTTGGTCTGCATAGATCCGCGAACATCTCCAGTACTTTCCGCAAGCAGGACATATCGCAGGGAGCGTAACTACGTTGATCGGTGAGTTTCGGGCTCCCTAAAGATAAAACACCAATGAGACTTACCAGAAAGTAGGCGTTGGCGGAGAAGGTGTACATGAACAACATCCATCCCACCCAGCCACCGGCGCCTTTGCCCCCGGTAAAGAGCTCAGCGATAGCCACCGTCACGATGACACCGACGAACTTGTATCCCGAGTACGCCACCAGATCAAGAAGCTGGGACTCGTTGTTTATGCCGAGAAAATAGCATCCAAGCTTCAGCAAGGCGATTTCTACGCCAACTATGACAGCGGCTGTTACCGCGGTGCCGCCAAGCAGCTGGGGGTCGAATTGGCCACGGATACCTGCCAGGAAAGAAGACAGGAGCACATATGTGACCAGAGCCATGACTATAGTAAAGTTAGAAGGTGCCTCGAATAGGGGGTATGGGGGAACGTACGTGGAATGTACATGTCGGGACTATTGATGTCGTCCCTCGGCGGCAAGAACCACCCCTCCTGCCCATTTGGACCCACGGTCTGCTTCCGCGACCACGGCTTGTGTAACCAGGGGAACAAGACGAGGTATAGCTTATTGACGACATACGAGTTGCTGACGTTGAAGTAATGCTTGAGGGCAGGCATGTTGATCCATCGCTTGGCCTGGATTCCTTTGTCAGCGCATGCTTCCTGAACCACTGCAACAGCTATCACCACAAGAACCCACATTCTGCTCAAAGTATTCCTGGCCATGCTTGAACGCATTCTGCCCCATGGTCGCTGCGAACTGCGTCGTCGGGTCGTTCATGAAGTTCCCGTACTGGCCAAACATGTTGCCTCCTGCAGCCCCCGGTTGCCCCGGCTGTCCCTGCTGGTACGGATTGCCGTATGCGCCTTGGGTCTGCGGTTGCGACGATATCGGCGGCGGCGGCGATCTCAGCTGGGGGACTGTCGAGACGTGTTGCGGCACCGGGTGGTGAAGGGGCGGCGAGTGCCCATAGTTTTGGCGCTGCATCTTGAGCGTGTTTGCCTCGGCCACGTAGAATTTGGAACACGCGAAGGCCAAGCGGCAGGTTTGGGAGAGCAGAGAGGTTCTACTAGTGTGGGAAGTTATGTTGACGCGAGTTGGCGTGTTGGACAGTTTCCTGCAAGCTCCAGGCAGACCAGCTGAGTTGGATATATCAGGGCTCTGGAAATGTGTTTTCAGCTGATGAGCTGGCCCCTGTCAGATTGCCGCAGCAATGCGCCAACAGTTGCAACAATGGCCTAACTGTGGCTTGCACTTTCACCTGCCTCCTATCGGCCAAGGCGTCGCCTGATTCAAACTGAATGCTCCACCTTTATGTGCTGGAAGCCAACCTCTCATTGTGGCTCAACCAAGGCCCGGGGGACGATAAGAAGCTTATCGGTACGTATCGATCTCTAGATCGCAACCTTAATTAACTGCGTCCTTTTGTCGCCGGGAGGCGCCTGTTGCTTGCATTCTTGGGGAACTCAAAGCAACCTGCAGAAGCCTACTGACTTCAACTCCCAGCCACTATGTTGGATACATTCGAGATCCTCACCACGTCCGGTGTGGTGCTCTGGTCGCGCTCATTTTCGCATGTGAACCCTGCCATAATCAACAATTTCATTGCCGATGTCTTTATCGAGGAGAAGGCCGCAGCCGCTGGTGTTAAGGACACCAAGTCTGCCGCCAACAACCCAGCGTATAAAGCAGACCAACACACTTTGAGATGGTCCTTTTCCAAGGAACTTGGCGTCATCTTTGTTGTATGTGCTCATGATCATCCCCTTTTTCTAGAAGTGCATTATTTATCTAACGAGACCACGTAGGCAGTATACCGGTCCCTCTTGCACCTGTCATGGGTTGACAAGCTCGTTGATAATCTGAAGACCATATTCGTCGATTTGTACGGAGAACAGCTACAGAAGCCCAACACTACCGTGGTCCGTTGCGAGAAATTCGATGATTATTTCGACCAGCAGCTGAGAGAGTTGGAATCGAAGGCCACAACCAAGGCTGCCCAACCAGGTGGCACCGCATTCATCGATGAAGAAAGCATATCGGGGAATCTAGGAGACGAACCGCCACTCCCGCCAGGCTTGAAACACCGAAACAAAGTCCACGATGGCGCGCAAGACCGCCCATCCACGGCCGAATCCACCCCGGTGGCGACGCCGAATCAATCACGACCGTCGACCCCCGGAGGGAATCACTTGGTGGTTGGCAAGACCGGGCCTATGGGCAAAGTCTCGCGAAGAGCACGAAAAATGCAGATCAACAGCTCGGCAACTGCCTCGTCCGGTGACGAGGGGCCCGGAAGGAAAGGAAAGAAAGCGCCCAAGAAGGGCAGGAAATGGGACGCCGATGGGTTCGCAGACGAGGATGACGGTGTTCAACTCGATTACTCTGTCACAGGGAAGTCCGCCACCAGCGATAGCGAGGCGGAAGCAACTGGGCGCTCGACTGTGGTCGAAGAGATCGACTCGGCCACGTGGGGCAGCAAGACGTCTAAGGGGCAGTTCGTGCTGAGGGACCTGGACGACGAAGTACACGGCATCCTGTCCTCGGCACAGTCCAAGAATTCTGATAACGCCCCGACTGGCATCGTCAACACCGGCCTGAGCTCCATCAACAGCCTCTTCCGCAATATAGTGGGCGGCAAGACCCTGACCAAGGAAGACCTGGCCAAGCCGATGGACGGCATGGAGAAGCACCTCATTGAAAAGAACGTGGCGCGCGAAGCCGCGGTGCGTCTCCGTGAGGGTGTGGAAAAGGAACTTCTGGGTGTCAAGACTGGGAGCTTCGAGTCGATCGACACCCGCATCAAGAAAGCGATGGAGGCGTCTCTCACCAAGATGCTCACTCCGACTTCGTCTCTCGATCTTCTTCGGGAAATTGACGCAGTGACGCGACCGTCAACCCTGTCGGGTCGCAAGCCACGCCCATTCGTCATGTCCATCGTGGGCGTGAACGGCGTGGGCAAGTCGACCAACCTGTCCAAAATCTGCTTCTTCCTGCTACAAAATAAATACAAAGTGCTGATCGCAGCTGGCGACACGTTTCGTTCTGGCGCCGTCGAACAGCTCAAGGTCCACGTGCGCAACCTCAAGGAGTTGACCGAGCGCGAGGGCGGCCAGGTCGACATCTTCGAAAAGGGGTATGGAGGTGACGCTGCGAGCGTGGCCAAGGACGCCGTCAAAGAGGCTGCCAACGAGGGTTACGACGTGGTGCTGATCGACACGGCCGGACGCCGCCATAACGACCAAAGACTCATGTCGAGTCTAGAGAAGTTTGCTAAGTTTGCACAGCCAGATAAGATTTTGATGGTTGGTGAGGTAAATTGCGATATGCCCTATTTTACAGCCCCACCGCATACATACACAACCGGTACTGACGTGATGAACAGGCCCTGGTGGGCAGCGACTCGGTCGCCCAGGCACGGAATTTCAACTCGTCGTTCGGTCCCGGGCGGAATCTAGATGGGTTCATTATTTCCAAGTGCGACACGGTGGGCGACATGGTAGGAACGTTGGTCAGCATTGTGCATGCGACCAATGTGCCCGTTTTGTTTGTGGGCGTGGGGCAGCATTACTCTGATATCAGGAACTTCTCGGTCCGGTGGGCGGTGGAGAAGTTGTTGAGTACTTAGAGCAGGTGGGAAGTTCATGCATGATTCACACACGTAATCTTTAATAGTACGGTATGATACCAATATATGAATCCATTTTCCACTCTAGCTTGTCTTCAGATACTGGCGTGCTATCTTGCCTTCAGCATTGGCTATGGTTGTGTCGTGGCAGTGGCATTGTGTCTCATACCCTAACTTGGGAGTTACAACGCATGGTTTGGGTCTAGGATAATCCCGCCTTTTCCGAGTGGCTTTTTGCAATATGTCTCCTGCGATTGCCTCTGTGGCCTGGGACTGCAAAGTACGAGACCGACAATAATGATCGGGCCGATGGAGACTTGAGTATGCTGGAACATCTAGATGGGCCAGTCTCGCGGTCCCAACGACTGTGTGAAGTACTGACTGCCAATCCGAGATATAAATACTGCTTGGAGGATTGCCTGATGATTCACTAGCCTTGCGCCTCAATCTACTGAAGCCCAGGTCCGTTATCCAGCGTCATCTAACCAACCCCTACTCTTCCCACCTGGATCTCCAAGATACATCTCTATCTCGCAGCAAATAAACTGACGTAGATTCCCCACGCGACGCCAGCCAAACTCCCGACTAAAGTCCTTCCCTCCACACTCTTGATAAACGCAAAATTCACCACACTTACGAAGGGCCACAACCGCCACCCAGCCGTCATCAACGGCCAGAACTCCCCCTTGCTACTCTGCACCACGGCACTCCAATCAACCTGTCCATACCCGACCTCCTTACCCTTAGCCCCCACCAGGCTCCCGAAAAATAAGCTCAGCAAATACGCCACCGACCGATCCGGCGTGCTAAGCGGCGTGCCCAGAGGACGATCCATAGCCGACTGAATAAAGTGGATGAACAAGCTGAAGAGGAACGTGTTGACGGCAGCGCCGACGGTCTGGTCCAGTATGGTCTTGATGAAGGTGTTGGTCAGGTTGAGCTTGACTTCGACGAGTTTCCCTTCGGCGGCTTGCTTTTCAAGGGCTTTGTCGTCGTTGGAGGAGGCCGAGGCGATGGCAGTTGGGGTGGGCGAGATGTGGTAGGCGGGGAAGGAGGATTCGAGGAATTCTTGCCTGAGGGGGGGGGGGGGGTCAGACGGGCCGGGTGGGTTTACGAGAGATGGTCGGGTTTGCCCATGCGTTGTGGTAGGTAGAACGTCCCATTCACATGCGTGCTCCATTCGTTCTTATTTGGGGACTTGAAGAACTTACCATAGGAAGTTTGGTGGTGTGTTGACCACGGCGTACATCACAAACTGGAAGACGGGCACCCAGTCGACGATGAGCGGTGTCTGCTGGAGTCTGTCAGCACCACTCTTTTTTCTAGTATCCGAGCTCCCAGCGTGAGAAATGCAGAAAGCAAACAAGGAAAGAGTCAAAGAAGAATTCCCATGGAGCTAATCCTTCTCGTCGTCAAACACCTACCTCATGCCGATAAGACGTCAGCGTCTGCGCCAACAGATTCGAAGTAGCCGCCAGGACGGCCGACTGAATTGTGGCCTTGGCGATGGGAGGGAGCGCCATAGCTGTCTTGCAAGCGTTTCTTCTGTAAAGCAGCTCGGTAGCCTTTGTATCTATCTAATTTGGGTTGTGATATCAAGGTTTGTTGGTGCAAGTTCAATAAAAAAATAAGTCTAGTAAGAAGAGCGATGTGAGAGTTCGAGAAACTGTTGGTTCGCGTGAAATACTCGTTAAAAGATTCGAGGTAGGGTTGAAGTAGGTAATTTGAGGGCGCGAAATGACGTAGTGTAGGTGATTGAGCGAAGCGGGAGCAAAGTCGCAGGACAAAGAATGAAGAGCTGCCCGCCAGGAATGTCCAAATCCAAATATTCAAGAGGGGGTCAACTTTTGGAGATGCCGTACATTCACTCTCATACGATACCATTTGAAAAGATTGTTGAGTTGAGCTTTCGTGACTATTTCCCCCGGTTGAAGTAAAGTGGGGTGCCGCCCTCGAGATCTAAGGTCTGCAGTGTTGGCCAATCACCATATATCTGGATGTCAATATAGACTTCATAGCAAGTAATACAGTCCGCCACCAGTCAGAGTTATCCATTTACGGCCTGGATATGCCCCCATGGAACTGTAATCCCGTCGTTTGGCAAGCTTGTTTCAAAGTTGAAAATGCCAAGGGGCCTTCGCAACAAGGAACTAGAGCACAGAGATACACGCAAGCATTATTCCAAGATTTAGATTCTTTGATTCAGTATCTCATGGAACGCGTAGCACAACGGAGCAACGATCTGTCGTTCCCTACTGTGTACCCACATGCTCTTTTCGCCGAAGCTATAACGCCATATAAACGCCACGATGGCAAGACATTCCTTTCTCTTTCTGTGCAGGTGTGGTGCGAACTAGCACTGGCTGCCTGGTGGGAATAGGGGCCCTCCTAGAGATCTATGGTACTTGAGGCAACACAGAACGCACTTGGGCTCGAGCCCTATGACGAGGTGCTTCTACACCCACAAGTCAATGCCAGCGAGCAAAAAGGAGGTCCACGTAACACTGTAGTCCTCCCCGTTGAACCAGTAGAAATTCGCAGGCGTTTGCATACGCATAGCCAACATGCCCAGGTTCTGCTTACTATTTGCGCCAACTTACAACCCATCAGCCGAGCTGCCCACTAGGAGCGCTTCGACTTGGACTTTTTCTTCTCCTCCGGCTTACTATACAGCCAGATAGCCACGAAACCCAACCAACCAGTCACGGTAGCCCCAATGCCCGCGAGCCATGGCCACGCGCCGCTAATGACATAACTGCGCGGCCATTCATCGTGGGCGAAGTGGCGCACAGTGACTGTGTTCTTCTCCTCGACATTGTTGTAGAAGGTTCGCTTGTGATTGATCTTGAAGTTGAAGATGCCGTGCTGGTCTGGCAGCTTGAAACTCGTCGAGAATGTGGTGCTGTCGGTCAAACTCTGAGTAGCCTTCAAAGGCAGACGGTGGAAGGGCGAGAGCATGCTGAATTCAAGCTGCAATTCATCGCCCGAGGGCACGGTGAAAGCCGTCCAGTGGTCCCAGTCGTACTCGGAGAGGGAGATGGAGTAGGTCTTAAGCGAATCACGTCAGCCAACCTGCAGGTTGGAAAGGAGTCAAGATGAACATACCACATCGTTCTTAATTCGGTAGATCTTAGGGTTGCTTTGGTTGTTCTGACTCTCCTCGTTCAAGTGGTGCTCGATCCAGTTGGTCTTGATGACACCGATCTCATTGAACGTCCAGCCGGAGACGCGCTTGGCGAACTCACGATTAAGCGTGGCCACGGACGACTTCTCGTCCACCTTCTGGACCTTGGCATCGAACCACTTGTCACTGAGCATCTCAGCACTTCCAATAACAGTGAAACGAGCCGAGTTGCGAGCCTGCATCGTAGTTACGAGGGAGAGTTGTTTGCCACTAGCAAATAAGTCATCGATGCTGTCAGCCTGCTCCTTGGGGTTGTAGCTGTATGCAGTAGTCGGGGCTCGCAGGATCGGAGTTAGCAGAGCGCCGTTTCCGAGGGTCTGACCCGTGCCCGAAGGAAAAGCGAGGACTTCGCCGTTGGGGGACTCGGGGGAGAACAAGTTCCTGACGTCAGGACGGAGGGCACCTGGAGCGGGCAGCAGGAGCACGTCATGCTTTTCGGGCGAGGATGAGACATCGTAGTTGAAGTGGTCAACAACCAGGCCGTTACGGTCCGGAGGTAGGTGGATGTCGAGCTCGAGAAGGAGCGATACGAGGGAGGTGGGTGCCGGCTGGGTGGCTGACAGGCCCAGGAGGATGTTGCCGTTGGCATTGATGAACTGGAGGAGCAGGTTGGGTGTCAAGTTGGGACCGAGACCTAGCAAACCAGCCCAATCAGCAGTGTTTCTGGGTAGACATGCAACACGAACATACCCTTAGCCTTTGTAGGGAGGAAGAGGACATGATCGTAAGCTCGCTCGCCCAGGTTGAACAAGTTCAGGGTCTCGCTCTTGGGAGTTTCGTAGTTGATCTTGAACCCTCGGCCTGTGGTTAAGAGACGGTCAGTATGCGCCGCGGCCCACCTGGTACTCGTGAAGCTTTACGCACCTTCCAGGTCACCGAGGAACTTGGAGTATCCAGCCTTCTCAGCGACGTCCTCAAGAACTACAAGCAACCTCTCGCCGCTGGTGCTAATAGCCTGCGCAACGGCCGCTAACAACAGGGCCAGCAGGGAGAGAACGGCCTTCATCTTTCACTCTGTGATGTGCGGAAGTCAATTGGATGAAGGGCCCAGTGCGAAAGAAGGAGAGAAAATCAAGACAGCAGCTCGTGCTTGCCGCTCATGTGGGTGAAAAGAGTGCGCCGTTCAGTGGAAAATGGGTACGAACTTGGCGAGGCGAGCTGTCTCAAAATGATCCCAAGTCCAATTGGAGACACCCAGCTTAAGCTGCAAGGTGTTCTTGCTAGACCCCGAGCTTCTTGGGATACGTAACCCATAAACGCCAAGGCGGCCCGTCCGCTCCCCGCCGATCCACCGAATATTTGCCGGCGCGAGCTTCAACTTCACGGCTTGCTGTTGCCAGCTCAGGAGGTTTTGCAACTTGCGTCGTTGAGCTCGCAACAAAGCCAATTGAGTAAGTATCATTACCTTCCAAACCAAACTCTGGAACTTGCACAGTAAGCTAAAAATATGCAATTGATTCAGCTGTCATGTCGAACCCAACCCCTCACTTCTGGGCCGGCCCCTTGCGATACTGCCGATGGGCAGCCCGAGAGCGACCCGCCTACTTCTGGTCCATCATCGTCGGCGGCGCTGGTCCTGCCATGCTCGTCACCGTGCCGCCCATCAATGAGAGATTGGGCTACAAGCGAGCGCCACCTATTCCCTTGACGTATCCAAGTATGTGGCATTGGTCCCCGTCCCTTGGGAGCTGTTCGAAGTCGGGAAGGTTAACAACAAACAGTTCCGCCAGGCCCGAGAAAGACGTTGAGCGGGTATGACGATTGAGGAACAAGGGCCGGTGGACAGAACCTGAATCAGTATTGGAGTGGTGGATATGGTCATGGCCTCGAAAAACATGAACATGGAGGGTACGCAAATGTATATATCAAGAAGGCCCCCCTACCCCCACACCGACATGGTCGATGACATAGACCGATCAATACCGGCAATACCGGAATAGCGAGGCTACTTGTATCACCAAAATCACAGTAAATTCATCATCAAAAAGTTTCAATGTAGCTCTACCCTGGACGAGCGCCTGCTCTCATGTACGTCGCGTCACGTTGGTCGTCCATCTATCCGGTAGGCATATATAAATCCAGGAGTGCTACATCGCTCGGTATCCGTCACACGCATCTAATGATTCATTCACTCAAAGGCTCTCTTTGTCAATGCCATCAACCTCCCAACACCGTTGCCCTATGCATAGCACCTCCGTAACAGCCCATCTCACACAAGGTGTAGTCAATTAGCAGCCCTTGAGCAGGTTCTACCTCTCCCTCTGGATCAAACTCCACTCGTACTATCATCTCGTTAGCATGAAGTCCGAAAGCCTGACGGAACAAATCTACTCACCACCCTGCCATCGTCATCACCTGTATACACCAGCTGCGGCATCGGCGTGATACAAGTGATAGCGGCCTCTGTGTTGGCACCCGTCTCGCTTCTCGAGTCGATATGGTCGAGCCGTCGCAGAAACTCGAGGGCCCATTTGCCGTTCTTGACTACCCTCTTCCAGATATTGACTCGCCCACGCTTGTGGCCTGTGAAGACGAGGTAGTTCTCCAGCCATTCATTACCCGAGCCCTCGTAGAAGGCGCATGCATGAACAAAGTCGTCGTGCTCACCGCATACGTTCTGATCCACGAGCAGATCGCCGTTCAGTGAGTACAGCATCACATTTGGACCAGAGCAAAGCATGATCTCCCCAGAAACATCGTTGATGCGAGCACACTCCACGGAACGGGTGCTGGGGAGCTTCCGCACGAACTCGAGACGGTTTAGGTCCCAGAGGAAGGCGTGTCCATCGGCTGATACTGTGACGAAGGTGCTGAATGCCTTGGACACAGCGATAGTGGTTACAGGTGTTTTGTGGGCAAAGAGCGATGATCGCTGCAAGAGCTCGACCGGCTTACCTGACGAGCTCTGGATCCCGTGAACAGAGACAACACAGTCCTCTCCAGCCGTGATAAGAGTCTTTGAATCTGCCACTACGATGCACGAGATCTGGCCAAAGTGAAGATTCTCGCTGACACCAGCCGTTTTCCTGTTCTCGGTGAAGAAGAACCGGATACTGTTGTCGGCGAAACCCCATTCCAGATACTTGTCGAAGAAAGGAGGCAGATTGAGCCGGAATGGGGAAGAGCAAAGCAGACGGTCAAGCTTCGGCGAGTAGATCAGCGATGACACACGCTCATGACTGTCCAAGAGAGGGTGGGGTATCCGTGCCAGAGCGTGACTTGATGTGTCCAGCCTCTTTGCTGGGAACCTTACATTCTCTCGTGGAGGATGAGGTCGCGCGAATACTTGATGGGGAGTCTGACCGAAGTTGTGAATGATGCTAGTCGTCGCACTTCTCTCGTGAGCGTCCGTGATATTGTCGAGGTCTTTGGCGCCATGGTATGAAAGGTAATGGAACACATTCAAGTTTTCAACTGCCGCTTCTCCGCGCTGCTTATGGCCGAACACGAGGTCGATCCACAAATGGAGGTGCTGGCTGACGTACGGGCTTTCCAATGCCTCTCGATGCTTGGCAATGAATATTCGGGGGTCACCTTTGGCCCAAGGCGGCAGTTCAACATTATTGACCTTACCGCCAGAGCCCTGCCGATCTCCAAAGTCGTAACCATTAATGTTGGTTAAGAAGTCAGGGAGATAGAAGAACTCGGGGATCAGTTCTCGCACATCCGATCCGTTGTCTTTTGACGCCGAGTTCCAAGAGCCTGCGATGGAGAAGAACAGCCTGTCGGCATGATCAAATGTCCCACCTTGCAAAAGTATGTATGACTGGACAAACGGGGGTAAACGAATAAGATACGAAGCGACCTGCATAGCCGATGAGTAGTGGGTTCCATAATGAAAAGGCTGCTCGCCAATTTCTGCCAGGCTGTTGTATCGAGCCATGTAGTCCGCCTGTCGGCTAGGCGTTTGGGCTCCCATGGGCTTGGAGAGGTCTCGGAACGTGGCGGGATCATCCAGGTTCAGCTCCTCGCTGGTGTAGTCTGCCAGAATCCAGGGGAACACAGGGTATTGTGTCAGGTCATTGAAGGTTCTGCCAGCCATAGTATTGACCAGCATAAGGTAATGAAAGTTGGATATCTCTCCTTTTTGCCACCTGCGCATGGCGGGATTCCATTGGGTTGAGTTGAAGATGCTGCCAAACTTGGCTCCCAAGCCCTGCGAGGATTCTTCGAAGACCTTCAATGACTCGAGACGCCATGCATCTTCTGGGTTGGGCAACGAGTTGGCACCGGCTGTATGGGGTGTCTTGCCCATGAGCCTGGTATAGACCTCATCTCTGGTGGCCACATTGATGGCTGTAAGTAGGTAACTCCGCCCGTCAGTGAAGAATATCTCGATGGCAACATCGCGGAACAAGAAGCGGCGCTTTGATATGCTGATGACATCGTGCCATCGCCAGCTGCGAGATTCTTGTGCGCTGCGATTCGAGTTTTGACGCTTTTCGGCTGCTTTTTGACCTGTGATGATCTGCGAGAAAGGATCGCGATCTTCTGCCGGTGCCTCCCAGACATTGACGATCTCCCCATCGGCACACTGAAAGAAATTGTCCATTATGTAGAGTGCATCCTTGCCAACAAGCAAAATGCCTTCGCATGCCTCCAGTCCCACGATTCGCGAGATGTTGTATACCTGCTGCACGGCGTCTCCTTGTTCCAGCCGTCGCATAACCCTTCTGTTCTTATCTTCGAACCCGTCTTCACCCTCAACCGGGTCGTTCGGGTCATCAACCATCTCAAAATCATCATCGGGTACGACAGACTGATCTGAAGCGTCATTTCCCGACTGTGAGTCTGCCAATGCGCCTCCGGTGTCCTTCGAGACATCGGTCCCGGATTGACTGTCAGCAAGCGCAGAAGAAGGTGTCGTGCCAATTGACGGAACACTAGACTGCGGTGTAGCGGTGGTATTCAACCTTAGGCTTGAGGCCGATTGCGTGTCGTTAGCTTTTCGCTTTGGTTGGAACTCTTCATTTTGCCTCGCAAAATCTGGTAGTAGTCGAAGCCTCATGCGATTGCGACCTTCCGTTCTGTCCAGTTTCCATTTCATGGGGCCAGGCTTGTAGAACACAGCACCTGGTCGCGTCAAATCTCGCTCCATACTGGAGAGCCGCGAAGTGAAATATATTACATCGTCTTGCTGGTCTTGCATAAGCCTTTGGTGCTTGAAATGCTCTGAGCCGTAAATCGACTTCATCCAGGCATAATTTGCCATGTCATGACGGAGGATCACGGTTTCGCGCTCGATAATCTCCGATTGCCATCGTTTCAGGGTTTCTCTTCGTTTAGCCAGGCGCGACTTGGCTGTTTCTGTCGTCTTGTGGTTCTCCAGTACGGCAAATTCTTCCCATGTCCGGGAAATACCTCCGAAGAACATGCCATCAAGAGATGATTGGTGCTCATCGACCCAGTCTATGAAGGTGTCCGTGTCGATTTCAGTGACCTTCTTGAAGCCTTGGATCAACTGAGATTGATCCGGCGTCACGAATTGACGGAATAAGGTCGAGCACTCCTCGGGTTTCTGGACGAGCATGATTCGCCAAATATTGACAGCAGCTAGACGTACATTCGCTCGATAGTCCACCAGCTTCAGGTACAGCTGATAGCAGAGCAGCTTCATATAATCATCCTCAAGCGATAAAGAGTCAAGGACCACCATCTGCCAATACAGAATCTTCTCCATAGAGAAATTCGCCTCGAGTTCTGTTGTCTTTGGATCGTCCATCTCTGACAGTCTAAGCATGACGAGCTTGAGGAATGAATTTCTTATCGTTGAAATGGCCTGGCTGCAGAGCCTGACACTCTTGAGCTTAGAAACCTCGGGCTTGTTGAGATACTCCAGGAGGAGCCCTGCAAAATCGAGCATGGACTCTGTGCCGTTCATAAACCAGCCCTCAAAAATAGCTTCCACAATATGGAGACTAAAGCGAGCCATGTTCGTCAGAACCCTTGGCTCACTCAACAACTTCCAGTCCAACTTGATGGTTGTGGAAAGGTGGTTGATAGTCCTTTGCAGCACATATGACTCGAAGTAGGCTTGGTGTTCCTGAAATCCAGGGGGTACTTTGAGAAAGAGCCCAAATCCTGGAAACTCCTTTCGATGAAGAATTTGGTCCATGAAAACATTAATGACAAGCTCCAAAATACCTTCCAATGCCGTGTTGCCGATGCTCTGGGAGGCAACGCTTTTCTTCGGGTTCATCACATGACCCAGCCGCTCTACACTCGGCTGTGGTGAGTTTTGAGAGGTCAATAATTGGAACGACGACGCTTTTCGTAGCGGCGTTCCGCGAGAGGTTTTCATTGGGTTCGGTAGCGTTGTGTCAGTGGCACCAGATGTCCTGATAACAGGGGCAGGGGTTGAGGTCCCAGCAATTGGTCGGATTATCACATCGCCCCCTTCAAACGTGAGGGCAGAGTCACGAGAATTGAGCTCTGTTTCGGGGCTAACCGCAGCGGTGCTGACGAGGACCGGGTATAGCCCTGACAAGAGTAACCGCACGTACTCTGACGATAACGTGAAGTCCCTGAAGTCGGCGGACCTGCAGTGGAGATCAGAGAGAAAACGAACCACCGTCTGCAGTATCGCAGCGTTGCCAGCCACTTTTTCTTGGCCTGACTGGTTTGCTTCTTCATCGCCTATTAGTTCAATCCTTTGATTAGAGCAATACGACTTACGCCGACTTTCCAGCTCCTTCATAAGTGACATGGACCTTTGCCGTGACCTTGGTGGCATCGATGATTGTAGCCTTTCGTCTATGCTCCTTGAAAAATCGCGATCACCAGACGGAGAATTAGGATCTTCTGCGTTTTTCAGGACATCTTTGAGACCATGCTGTAACATCGAAGTAATGATGAGTAAGGCGTCTGGGTGCGTAATTTTAGACTTCCCGAACGTCTCTATCAGGCTGAAGAAGTCGAAGGATTTTTCAAAGTCGATTTCGGCAATGTCATAACCAAACAGTATGCTGAAACACAGCGGCCAAATTGTTGGGATGTCCCACCATCGCTTGAGCCGGTGTGCCATGATGCTAAATCCACCCGTCTTGCCCGCAAACTTGCCCGTGTAGCTTGACCCATGTGCCACTAAAAGCCGTGCAAGGATCTTGCAGCCATATATGACAATCTCCGGGTCGTCTTCTGTGAGCAGATGCAGCAACCACTGGGCCATTGTCAGTTTGGAGTTGTGAGCTGGCAGCTGTGCGTCAAGTACCTTGTTTGTTACAGTTCTGGCGAACTTTCTTATGATTGTCAGGTTCCCCTTTTCGCACAGTAGCTGGCTGTACATCTCCAAGATCTTGGTGCCCACTTGCTTTTTCGTCAAAATCTGTGGCACCTTCGGACCGGCGACATTCGTCTCGACCGCAGGCCTACGTGGAATGGAGAGCGTCCGATTGCGTCCAAGACTTGAAGCTGGTCTCGGCGTCCTCGGAAGTGAATTCGGGTTGGCGTGCAGGGCGTAGGTAATAAATAAAGCCAATGAGCGATGGACTTCTGTATTATAGCTACACTTAACAAGTGTTTCCAAGGCAGTTATGAAGAATCGAAGTACATTCTCGGGTAAGGATTCTGCCTTCAGAGCGTCGAGGAGCCTCTTAACAATGCCTGCAGTATGAACCAGGTTAGCTGAAGTCTCGGGTTCCGGGAGGGAGTGGTCCAATACTTACGCATCCTGAGCAGCCTGCGATTGTTGTATTGGTGATATTTACTCATGACTGCAAAAGTAACAAATTGCTTGTAGTAAAGCTCTTGGATGACTGGACCGCACTTTCGCCATGCGTCAAAGTCGATGAGCAGAATGCGATATGCGAGAGGGTTGATAATGACCGACTCAATGGGATCCAGGTGCTTGTAGCCAACAAACTCCAGAACAAGGCTGAGGAGTTCAAATGTTAAATTTTCCCTCTCCGTGCTTTCAAGAACTAGTCGTTCTGTGAGGGCTTCAGCACCGGGCATGTTGAACCCAAGCTTCGCTCTCAGCAAGATGCCTAGTATTGCGTAGCCGCCATCTCTTTCCATAGACTCGCTATTTCTCCAGCTAGAGTTGGTGCATCGGAATACCATCTGCACGGCACACAAAAGGCCTTCAGGTGTTGAGGCACGTTCGATAATTTTCAAAGCCAGAGGTGTGAAACCTGCAAGACGCCACAGCGCGTCGTCAAAATATTGAGGTACAGCGAGAATAGGCTCTCCACTCATCACGGCCACGCCACTAGAGCGGAGCAGGGCATCGTTGACTGACGGCAGTGCGGTGTTGATTGCAATACCGGTACCATTTTTAAGTGTCAGTTGCACCAAGGTATTTGCAGGGCCACGGGAGAGAGCACGGAACAGCTGAGAGTCTCCAAGAGGGTCTTTCTCGCGAAAGACAGATGACGGCATAAAGCTGAGAATCAGCCGTTGCTCCGGCAGGAGATGGGCAGCTTTGTCTCGAATCACTTTGATAATGTCAGAGGAGCCATCCCTTCCAGTGCCGACCACGTCGTTCCTCAGTCCCAAAGCAGCAGAAGCCTCATAGGTCTGGAACCCCCCTAGGCAATCCTGAAAGTTTCCCTGATAGCGGGGCCCAAGTCGACTGGGAACGGCCAGTAAATCATCGTTGATGACATCCTCAAACAGATGAGCACTGGCAAGCGACATCTTGGAGTAGATTAAACCCGGGCCTATGTTGATAGAGAGCTCCCTAGGGGTTCCTAAGAAGGCCTGTACTGGAACAGTCTTGTTACTGTTAGAAGTAAAGGATGCGAAACTCTCGGTGCTGCCGTTCGAAAGGGGTGGCGACACCGGATATGAAGCTCGAATCTGCTCTACAAACTCCCCATTCACATACAGTGAGGCTTTGCTGGCGGTCATTGTCTTTGGCCGACGATGGACGAGAGCAATGTGATACCACTTGTTCTCTTTGAAAGCATAGGATTTGAACCTGACGCTGGGGCGCTGTGAAGTCACTGAAGTTTGCAAAATGAAGTTATGTGTATCCTTTTCGAGATATGTAAGGAGAAAGCAAGTCTGCGTCGAATCGCAAAGCCCAAAAATGGTTGTGTGAGACTTTGGATCAAACCGGTCCACCCTTAACCAGGTGGTAAAGGTGTACCCACCAGTTGACTGCGGTGGGAACGATCTTCCAATGCTAGGAAGATCGATAGATGCGTGCCCGTGGAGGAAGAGATCAAACTGGATAAAAGGGGGGCTCTGATGTTTTTCAACCATGTCCAGGCAGAACTCGGCTGAGCTCGGTAAAGGATTGATCAGCAAGCTTTGGGCATCCATGAGTTTGTTGAAGCCGAGGGACATCAAGCTCTTGCAGATGTCCAGGACAACCTCATGCTCTGTCTTGCTGAGGCCTGAATCGTCAGTGAAAGCCAGCTGGAGGAGACGCGAAAGGATGCCCGTATCGTGTACCTGGCAGAGATTGAAGTACGACGTGTCGATGACGGAGGAGATTACTTTGAGGACTAGAATTGACACTGGGTTCTCCGGCCGTTGACCGTCCCTTGGCATAGAAGTCCAGAAGTCCACAATGGTACGAACGACCTCCGGACTCTGGACAATTGTCTTCGGCCCCACCACTTTCTTGACAGCTTGGTCGATCTGCATGGTTATGTCCTTTGTTTCTTTACCATCTTCACTGGTCGTGCTAACTTGGCCAGTTGTGGGATTGGCAGAGCCATTCTGCGGTTGCAAATTCTCCCGGGAGCTCATGGCGCAGCACAGATCGTCAAGAGCGCGATCGTTCAACGAGAAGGAAAGGAGCTTGCCAAACAGCTGGCCGCTGGTCCAGAAGTCCAACTCGCTCCCACCAAGTCCAATGCTGGCTATTGTCTGCTCCAAGGCCTCCCATCCACCACCCTCTACCCTCGTGCGAAAGTAGCGCCTGTTCCCGGGGTGGGCGACAAACGCCGCAGACAGAAGGCTGAGGACTGCATCGAGGAGACAGAAGAGGCCCTTCTTTTCTTGCTCTGTCCGTTTGGGCGGGTTATAGAAGCCAGAAAAGGCCCTCAGAATGTCAAAAATGCGTTGGAACCCTCGAAGATGTCTGAAGTCGTCTTGTACGGAGCTCGGTGGTGCAGGCGCAGCCAGGTGCTGCTGGACCCGGCTGATCTGGGGAAGCAGCTCGTCGACGGCAGGGTATTCGTATCTCGTGTGGGGGGCAACAATTGCAGATATAGTATCAAGGAGCCTCTGAAGCACTTCCACCGCCTTGGAAGACGCAAGGGGCGTCGACGCGGAGGTTGATGATCGATATCGACTCGGGCGGGACGACATGGTGTCAGGCTGTGATTGCTCGTTGTGCGTCCAGGTAGTCGCCGCTATCCTTCATGTCGGTTTGTTAAATCTCGTCTGTTCATTGCCTTGCTTTTTCCAGGTTACGATCACAATGGGATACGGCAAAATTGTTGGAGGGGTGAGTAGAATCGAGAATCACGGCCAGCGAGCATTGGCTTGTTCTTTAGCAGAAGAACGCATGTACCACTTGGCGGAAAACTGGACCCTCTTCAAGGACACGAATGACACTGACCGTAGGTATACTCAGAGTAAACAAACATATCTCCACGCTTTCCGGACGTTGTGAATGGGCTGTTTTAATGTCCCGAGAAACCTATGAAGCTTTAAGCTTGTTGTCAGCCTTGAGCGTCAATGTTGTGTGGCTGAGCCACCGCATGCTACATAAGTAAACTTCGTTCATGTTGTACGCACATGGCAAGATGACGTTTGGATACAAGCTCTGAACCACCAATAACTTCAAACCCATCTACCATTTTACAAATCCATCATTATGGAAGACCTCCTTAGCAAGGCTTCACATAGCAATTTGGCAACAATTAGGATTGAGCTACCGCGGAAATCCACCATAGTATAGGTATGGCCCGCAACAATTGTATTGAAACGGGAGCGGCCCAAAGCTACAATTATCGAGAAGTTATCTCCATTTGAGGAGCCCCCTCAACTTCTATGCTGGGAATTCCAATCAACCCTACGGCTGGTAATGTCACAACTATCTGTAATATGATGCATACGACAGTGTTGTGATTGCATACCACCTAGTACAGCATGCACAACGGTTATGATACAATGGAAAGAAGCCAGCGCATGACGTAACTACTTCAATTCTAGGGCTGGTATCCAATGAATGTTATGCAAAGTCTCATGCAGGACTATACAATGGGCATCATTTATACAGCGCATTTCTTTCACACATACCGCTATACTACCTCTGTCCATGGCTGCAAGGGGTTCTGTTACAAATCAGAAGTCTCCCGAGCGGTTCGGATGCAGCTCCCGAGGGACTATGCAAGGTTAGCGGGTTCAACCCAACTTTGCCACCATGTAGACAGAAGGCTAGGCTTAAGTGCATAATGGTATACTACTTTTGTGTATGGTGTCCATTAATACTCTTGACTAACAACTCATCAAGTGGAGGCCATGGCATGTGAGCAGTAGTACTGGACACCTGGAATAGCCTGATATTCATAAGCATCATGGATACTTTGTAGTACGGTACAGACATAAAATTGCTCTCCTCATTTTTTTTTGCTTTTGATTTGGGTCATCATTCCACTACACCTTTGGTCCCGCCTCTTCCAGACACTTCCCCTTGGACTCAATGTCGAAAGGGCCCAAGGTTTACTCGGTTGACTAGTTCAACTATCCGGTCACAAACAGGGCAGGTTAGCAAAAGCACCATTGGCACCCCAACCGTTAAAGCGCAGGGTAGCTGGGCACGTGCCAGGGACCAAGTGACTGATTCAAGAAACAGCTAGGCCGATCTCGGTCTGGTGGCCGTCGGGGTGCAGAAGATCGCTTCCAAGTCCGGGGAGCAGGCAGCTCAGCAGCGGTGTCGTTCCACAGAAGTGTCGCAAGAGCTCCCTTCAAAGCCCCGTGCTGTCGAAGAGCAGCTGTACCAGAATCGACTGGATTAAACCATAATAGATGACTGACTTGACCACGAGAATAAAAGTTTCAGGGTCCAACGACATACGTGTTACTCACAACTAATGGGAAGCTGCAAAGTGCATCATTGATCGACTCGAGCTTGAGCTTGCTCAAGTGGTCGCAACAGCTCAACCGTATCATTGCTAGCCACTGCCTATCTTATCGCCCATTGTCTCGGAAACTCAAGGCGTAGCATGAGTGGGCATATGCGCCAAGACAGGTCCTCCAGGTCGACTCCTGAAGTCGGATGATATCTGTTACTGCATCAACAAGCAGACTCCATTTTGTGCCTTCAACGGAGCAACAAATACACATTTGAAATGATGCAAGACTTGAATAATCGTCTGAGATTGGTTTCTGCAGAAGTAGTCTGAAAGCATCAAGAGTCGTGCACCACACCCTCATTGCAAATGAAAGCCTCTAATTCATAGTAACACTGAGTCAGTTTCCACGAAGACCCGCAGCTTAGCACTTGGCCTTTTCCAGTTTAGCGCATCAAGTCAGCCACCCACCTTAACCCCGGTGTGTTATCTCGAGGCTGCGTCACGCAACCGCTCAGCCCGGAAAGAAGGCAGCACTGAGCTGTACGACTTGGCCTTTATCTTCTTTCCCCCAGAGCTTCTCCCCCAGAGCTTCTTCTCAAGCTTCCTCTTTCTCCGCTCTCTCTCTTACAACATCAACTCCTCATCGTCGACCCCATCATCTATCATCATCATTTGTCGTGGTGATTCATACTCCAAGGTATCGGTAACTGATTCCTTGGACCTTGTTTTCCTTGTAACTTGGTCATTTCCACCTCATACACACTAGACAGTCGCAGGTAGACTTATCAGTCCTGGTTCTTTTCTTCGTCGCATCCCCTTTGCCATCCATCTACCATCATCACAATGAGGGGCTTTGTTGCTCTCTCGTTGGCCTGCGTTGCGGCTGCCGCGCCGTCATTCAGCTACGAAACCGTCCACGATGGTGTTGCCCCCATCCTCTCGGCCTCCAACGCTGAGGACATCCCCAACTCCTACATCATCAAATTCAAGAAACATGTGACCGATTCTTCGGCGGCCGATCACCACTCGTGGGTTCAGAAGATCCATGGAGACCGCGAGGTCGAGCGCCTTGAGCTGCGGAAGCGTAGCCAGATTCCCATGGCTGATGACATCTTCAACGGCCTGAAGCATACGTACAAGATCGGTGGCGACTTCCTGGGCTACGCCGGTCACTTTGATGACTCTGTCATTGAGGAGGTTCGGAGACACCCCGATGTAAGTTATGGCACTCGACCTTCCTGATCAAGTACATGTAAACTGACACATTGCTACTAGATCGAGTTCATCGAGCGGGATTCCATTGTTCACACGATGAAGGAGTCGGACCCTGTTACTGAGAAAAACGCACCGTGGGGTTTGGCCCGTGTCTCTCACCGCGAATCCCTTTCGTTCGGTACTTTCAATAAATACCTGTATGCTGCCGACGGTGGCGAGGGAGTTGATGCGTACATCGTCGACACTGGTACCAACATCGACCACGTCGACTTCGAGGGTCGCGCCAAGTGGGGCAAGACCATTCCCAGCGGTGATGAGGATGTTGATGGCAATGGTCACGGCACTCATTGTAGTGGCACGGTTGCTGGAAAGCAGTACGGTGTCGCCAAGAAAGCCAATGTCTACGCCGTCAAGGTGCTGAGAAGCAATGGTTCCGGCACCATGGCCGATGTCATAAAGGGTGTCGAGTTCGCTGCCACTGCCCATATGGGACAGGTTTCAGCTGCCAAGAACGGCAAGCGCAAGGGCTTCAAGGGTTCTGTCGCTAACATGTCTCTCGGTGGTGGCAAGTCCCAAGCTCTTGACGCCACTGTGAATGCTGCCGTCGATGCTGGTCTCCACTTCGCTGTTGCTGCTGGCAACGACAATGCTGATGCCTGCAACTACTCGCCCGCTGCTGCTGGCAAGGCTATGACCGTTGGAGCCTCTGCCCTCGACGACAGCCGCGCCTACTTCTCCAACTGGGGCAAGTGTGTCGACATCTTCGGCCCCGGCTTGTCCATCAAGTCTACCTGGATTGGTAGCAAGACCGCTATTAACACTATCAGTGGCACCTCCATGGCCTCCCCTCATCTTTGCGGTCTAACCGCCTACTTCCTCTCCCTCCAGCCCAGCAAGGAGTCTGAGTACGGCATGGCCGCAATCACTCCTGAGAAGCTCAAGGCCAACATGATCAGCATTGCCACCAAGGGTGCTCTCTCCGACATCCCTAGGGACACCCCCAACTTGCTTGCCTTCAACGGAGGTGGCTCTGGTAACTTCACCAACATCATCAATGCTGGCTCTTACACTGTTGAGAAGCCCAAGTCGTCCAAGTCTTCGTCCTTGACCTTGGAGGAGCTCGAGAAGGCCATTGAGAAGGAATTGAACATTGTGTCTGGCACCGTTGAGAAAGAGCTCTCTTCGCTGTCCAGCAAGGCTGAGAAGTTTTCTCAGAAGATTCACGACGTTGTCGAGGAGGAGCTTAGAGAGTTCTTCGATGAAATCCAGGTCTAAACTAACTTGGGTTTCTAGAAATTGTCGATAGGGAAGGGCTTTAATTGAAATGCTATTAGGGTCTGTTGACCATCGGGTTTTTTCATTGTACACCATGGATTCATTATGGGGAGCATGGATATTACCACGCCGTTTCATAGGTCCCGTAGTCATACTATCAGTGACACTTTTTTCCTTAATAAGAAATCTCTGCACATCGTTACGCGTTGTGTGTTGCACCAGAACAGAATATAGTGAAGGTTGATGAATTCCAAGCAAGCGAAGGCTTTGAAGTGCTGAAGCATTGCGGTATTTGTCTCTGCCTATGTCGCGCTAACAGGAGTTACTCATTCGCCTTTTCCCGGCTGATCCATCTATAACAGATAATGTTCCCCCGCGTAGTGGTTTGGCTTTGCGGAAAGCCCCGGATTATACAAGTCACAGTAACTTGTCGATTTTATTGAAGGTCATCACATCAACCACCTCAAATATCCGCTGGTTCTTCAGGTCTGAGGTCTGGCTTAATCCAGTCCAATGGCAGTATTCAAAGTGGGAGGCTGGCGCCTTCCTCAATATCAATTGAAGTCACCTTGTCCACTTCCTTCCGTATCCCATGCCTAAATATCCTCGAACAACAGGTCGCTACTTCCAACTGAGCAACAGATAGCCGTAGATGCCATGGCTACCCTGGATGCGCTCTCAACACAAAATCGAGGACGCTCTGACGTGGAGGTCGTACGTCTTTCGACTTCACGTATCTCCTCTTACCATATGCATTTGTCGAAACTTTCAGCACTATCATCTCGGAAGATATTCCATCAGAAGTGGTCACTTTTGGTTAGCTTGCAGTCAACGGGACTGCTATTTCATTACTTGGTTGAGACTGCAAGTTGTTTTGGTTGTCGCGGCACCCAACCCACCCCCCTGGAGATACCGTATTCATTGTCTGGGAAGAGTGCACTTGATACGGGACGATCTGTCATGCAGAGACGTAACAGCACTAAGCCTCGTGGGCTAGGCCATCGAAAGTCCACGTCGTCGGTACAGAGCGTTCATCTTCAACACATCACTCCCGAAGCCGCTGAGCGTGATGCCCAGGTCGCAGCCACCCAAGCCTTCGCGAGAGCCCAAGAGCGCTCGTCGACAGACGCTTCGCGATGGCCACTGCCCCGTGATAATCAACGGCCGGAGCTGGCACGTTTCCACAGCACCCCTGAGAGGCTCCGCAGTAGCTCACCGATCCGAAGACAGCAGAGTGTTCGGTTTGTCAAGCCCAGGCTCCCGAGGGACGCAGTGGGGATGAAGAAGTCAGAGGATAGCAACCAGATCAGACATACCGAATCCACGGAGCTCCGAATAAATGCATTGGAACCGCACTCTCAGAGCAGTGCATCGGCTGCTGGTATGACTTCTGCTGCCAGAGGCGCCGCAGGTGATTACATCAATGCCCTCCTTACGGGAGAGGAGTACTACACACCCGAGGACGATGTTGCTTCAGTTCCTTCATCTTATCGTCGAATACGCAAGTCGCGGTCCATGTTCACAAGTTCCGAAGCCAGTGCTGTGTTATCCTTTCAGGAAGGCACCGTGATCACACAGCCACTGCCCAAATCTCAAGCCTATCAAAATGACGAGAACATAGCTCCATCTGGACTTAAAGCACCGAACTCCACGGGATTCCTGAAGGATCGTCGTGATCAGACGATGCTGATTCCCGGTCGACGAGGAAGTGCTCCACTCGACACTGTCAACGACGAGAATGTGAATCCAGCTGTCGGTGAAAACAGACTCAAGCCATCAAAGTCATCTATTCCTCTTCGCCCGAGATCCGCCAATCCCGAGCGAACCTTCCGAAAGACGTTGCGAGAGGTAAGCAATGACAATATGGCTGTGGGGCCAAGACTTCCTAAGGATAGAAGCTTGAGAAAAAAGGCCCGGAAAGTCTCGCAGAACTTCAAGCATAAACTGAAAAGTTTTTTGAGCCTTGTTAAAGGGGAGAGTGATCAAGAAGTATTTCCTGCCCAACAAATCGAGGCTCACAGGACACATGTTGTCGAGTCCGGGAGAAATAGAGACGGCTTTGAGAACATATTTGGCGAGAGGCAGTCTTCTGAAGACGCCGCATTCTCACGGGTCACGTCGGGGGTCCCATCGCTTCATGCCGTACCATCCGAGCAGCAACTTCGCTCCAGGCAAGGCAGTGTGGAGAGTTTGCAAAGCGAAAGGAAGGTATCTGATGAGAAGTCTCGTGTGACCAGCTGGACTAACTCAGATTCAAACACTTTCACAAGCAGTCAACGTGGGGACTGGGATAGGCAACGTTTGTCGGTCATCAAAGAAAATGGGTCTCATATAGCTTCATCATCAGTCAGGCGGCCGTTGGCCACCCGCCAATGGACAGACTCAAGCGATAATGTCTTCGGAGTATCTCCAGCAAAGCCGATGTCATCATCGACAGTGGACAGCCAACGTATATACTCCGCTCTTGTGAAGCGGCTGAATGAAACCCAGGCCCTTGCAAATAGCATTCAGAATCAGCGTCAACCAAGTGCCGAGGATTTTATCGCTCGTTCAGCAATACCCCCGCGACGTAGCTCAAGAGATCGCGATGGCCGAGACAGAGATTCGCCAGCCACAATCAGATGTGTACGACCTGAGTCGGACGTAGAAGGAAATTTGGACCCACGGTCTGCTTCTGAATCAACCAACCTCTATAATCCTGGGAACGTGTCGCAAGTTATCGGGACGTCGAGTGAATATTCATCTGCCGAAGAAGAGACAAGAGGGAGGCCACGAACCTCGTCTTCTGTTGAGACCTCTATATCTCAAGCTCGAGAGCAGTCTCCTTTCGGCGACAACAGTGGACTGTCAATGAGATCATATACAAGCCCTCGCCTTGGGCCCCTTCAACCAGCGCAAACACTTTCAGCTCGAAGGTCGGCATTTTTCGGAAGTCCAACCTGCCATCTCTTCCGGACACAAAGTCCCTACAGACGTGCTCTACAGGGAACTATGAGAGCTACAACGGATGTTGCCTCTCCAAAATCCCCCGAGTTTAACCCCTTTATTCCATTGAATAATATACCAGTGCGTTGCCCAAGCGGCGCGGGGTCCGAGGTGGACAGGAAAATGGGCTATGCGGAAAGCATTTACTCATGCGAGCCAAGAAACGCATCCTCTCATACACTTTCCTTAGTCGACAGTTTCCCAAAGCCGCCTGGAAATCATGGAGATGCCACAATATTTGTAGATCCCCCAACCTACCACCGGATTGAACCTCCTCAGCGAGCAGCATCAACGGCCAGCTCCGTGGAGTGGAAAACATGGCTCTCGGCCAACGTCTCCAAGATGGAACAGCCATCTTCCTTCTCATTATCAAGTGCTGGCCAGAGCAATCTGCTCGCGGACTTTCCTCCACCCTCTGGACATATTCGTGAGAATGCCCAAATAACTGACGAGGACGAAGTTCAAGATTCGATTGAGGATGATGCTGAATCAGCTGGCAATAATTCATCAGTTATTGAACCAAATGCTCAACCGAGTGTTACGGGACCACGTTCAATCCTGAAAAACAAGTGCCCAACTCCCCACTCAGACAAGGAGAACGAGGCCCCGCGACCACCTCCAATTCCAAACAAGAGTCTTTTGCGGTCCACCCCATCCATATCAAGCATAAAGTCAAATAATGAAGAGTTCAAGACGCCACAGGAACCCTCTAAGAAGGGTCCGTTCAGTTCATTACGCCGCAAGTCACTCGCACATATGCAATCCACAAATGCACTGGGAACCCAGGCTCAGAATGGTGCTTCAACACCGGCCAAAGCGAAGCTCGTCAAGCGTCAACCTCGGCCAAAGAGTTGTGTGACCCCATCAGCAAGTCCCGGGATCAGTGCTGCAGTTGACAAGCAATTTGGATGTCTCGGGAGCTCCTCGGAATCGAAACGTCATCACGCAATGGCTGGACCTCTCAAGTGTGAGAACGTGAGTCCCTATAATGAGATGCCGAAGAAGGATGATACCAGTCCAGGATCTAGTGGTCACGGTCCAGATGACAACTTGGATGCACAATCCATAGGGAGCAGGAAGATGGTAGACATATTCCTGAATAGCAGGCGAAGGAGGATCAATGGCAGCGAGGATACAGATGCCTTTGTTTAAGAATCGAGTCGTAGGGACTCTAGCTGGGAATGTGTGGATGAGCTGGTTTGCTCAAGCGATGGTGAGAGACCATCTTTGCCGAAGGGAAGTAACCATACCAAGTAATGGCTGAATGTTCATAGCTAATTGGTGTCGAAGAGAGGTGGGACACTGGGCAGACTTAGGATTAGTCCCAAACGGCTTACTTATCACTCATTCAAGTTCTATGTACTTAACCTTTTACATTTGTTTCTTGAACATACACCGACCTGATAAGTGACTCGTTGCTGTAACCTCATCCAATATTTCAAAATACCTTCTACGCCCTTGAGTGTGAGAGGTCTTCATAGACTTTATTAAAATCGCAAGAATTTAACTGTATTCGATAGACCTCTGCTGGCTTGTTTCGGATATGAACTCAGACTCTGCTCAAATAGATGAGTTCAGGACTAGTAGGGGGGCAGGACATTTCGAAACTCAATCGGCGTAGGACTTAAACTCAAACGGGAAAATACTCTTCTTCAAATGATTATTTTCGTTTCTTATTGTAGTACTTGCCATCATTCAATATCTCTGATTGAAGGCGAAATCGAGATTGTTAAAAGTTCTACATATCTATGAACACGCAATTAAAAAGAGCTATCGTTTCATTTTCTTTTAGTGCGGTTCTATGATGCCTTCAACCGATTTAACAGATAAATCCCACTCCACTGAACTTTTTATCAAGTATTTGTTAAGATGTTACAGTGTTTAGTCGCGAGGAGTTGGCATACCTCTGGGTATGCCTGGATATAAGTCTCGACCCTAGTGATATACTCTTTTGTAGCAGGCACCACCAGACAGAAAAAATAATGTAGTTCGACTTGAGTCCTGATGAGCTTGAAAGTAATTACGCTGGGAGGTATTTGGGAGTAAGTAGAACGATTTAGCTGTCGCTTTGCAATGGTGCTCTAAGTAGTGGTACCGCTGTGCTTACGCCCGGTCTCTCGTATAAACCGAATGATGACATCGACGGGTAAGACTAAGGCAAATCAATTTCCTTACAGCAAGACCTGAAGTTGTTCCTTAATTTCCTCGCATTATTCATGTCTACATTGATTTGTTAGTGTACTCTCGTGGTTCAACTTATATTCGTAGGGGACTTTGTTGGTAGGTTGAGAACCAACGTAGTATGGTAGTGAACGCAACGCAGTCGCCAATAGGGCGAACCGACGACGCAGCGTATGTATTTAGTCCAGCCATTAGGGCACGGTTTGACATACGGGAGTACTAGTAGAGGTGCCGGGGGCTTCGAACCTACGGCGTATTTAATAATAATAATAATAATAATATATTCGTAGATGCGGTGCTTAGCTCCCGGGCGCAGAATAACATGATTGTCCTCATCGCCATTCCAATGCTGTTCCAATACGGCAGAGTGGACAAGGAAGCACCTCGTCCTGGTACAGAGCCTTAGGATAGCCCCATATCTCCTATAACTTATAATCCTTGAAACAGTCTTACTACACTATAGGGACTTCCTCTCCGTATTAATGGGCACGGTAAAGCCCGGGCGCTCTTCTGTTAGTAACTTCAGGATGAATGCACTCAGTCAATTGGTTAGCTACTCACATTGGCACATATACTGGGCTATGGGGTCTACCATTGAGAAGGATATGGACAGGCAGTGAGACTGCTGCTTAACATCACAAGTTCAAGAGGAGAAAACAATGGAGCAATTCACCGCAACATCGGAAGAAGGGATAGGTTCGTGGAACTCTCTGAATTCGCATAGCGCAGTGAAAACCAATACCACTGCACTCGGGTATGTAGCGATCCTCAACCAGCGTTCCACGTCCTCACGACCCAGGTGTGCCGCCGTAGACACATCTCAGACGCTAATGGAGAAGCTGTTTCCAGCTATCCACCCCATGCAGTAACTACCGCAATTGTGTGAAATAAGAACGATGACTTCTTGGTACACATGCCAAAAACAAACAGAAAACGATTCGCGGAGACTCGATGCAAGATATCAGGACACCAAACGCCCCTTTTTTGTATTGAGGATCATTGGTTCTCCATCGTCTATCTGCATGGGGTGCTGATCAGGGCGGGGCGTAAAAGGATACGTGACGTCGTTCGATTATGTCCAGGAGAAGATACCCATTTCTCTATGCGCCCATGCCTTCGTGAGAGAGCTTTTGCAGATATCCGAGCTGTACCATGATGTCGTGACCGATTCCCAAAACAGAAGAAATAGAAGGCGAATCCTCTACTTTCTGCGGAAAGAGCAACCCTCAGTCAATCTAGCCTTGCCACCGGTGGGCTGGCACAGCACAGTGGTGCATCCTTGGCAGATGACGACGGTCTGGGCGTGGGAGAAGACGGTGGTGATGGTGAAGCAGCCGGGGCACTTGACATCCATGAAGAAAGATCGTGGAGCGGGGACCAGAGTCTGAAAGTCAAGTTGCGTTAGCCATGCTGCCGCTGGTTTCCGTGATGGGGGGTTTCAAGGTGACGAAGATCAACACCATTTCGCCAACATCAGGGGGAGATCATACCTTGAGCTTGTGCTTCTTGGCCTCCGCAGCTGGGCTGGGGTTCAGAAGATCAACGGCGAGAACCTATGTGGCAAATTTCGTCAGCATAACATCCTATAATGAAGTGATTCCAAGTTTGTTGAGCGTCCATCAGTCCATCCAACGGCCCCATCAGCATCACAGTCCCCGAGGCGACTGATCTCCAAATTCCTCTTTGCCGTCGCACATGACTACAAAAATTTTGTCGAGGTTGTCGTTGGGTGCGTGATGTTCGCGATCGAGAACTGCGGGTCCAAAAGCATTTCGACTTACCATCTTGACTGATCGTGATGAGGATGAACTTGATCGATTGATTAGCGAGCAGGATGTTGACTGATGAAATCTGGAGGTGATTCGGGCAGATTTGCGCTCGCTGGGGTTGATGGTTGAGGGGGGAAAGGGTAGTGGTAGTCGTGTGAACTTTGATCGAACTTCTCTTTTCCTGGGGCAGGTTTCGGTTGGCGGACCATTCGAGGGCGGCTCCACTCTGGAAAATTGCTAGCGTGGTGGTGGTGCTGTGAGGGCTTAGGGCAAGAGCATCTTAAGGAAGAGGCAAGAGGTACCCATTTTTTAAAATGGGTCAGTCAATCTGGCTCCAGTCTTAATTCAGGGTAGCGTTGGCGAATGGACAAATTCAGGATTACCAAATCTCGGTGGATTCATTCGCACCGAACTTCAGTAGCTTTTTTCTTCCAAGAGTCACGATATTTTCATTCAATGATCTATGTAAGTAATTGTAAAACAGTGTAGCATGCATAGCTCTATATAAATGTTTGTGTATCTGGATAATGAAGGCTATGGCATCTGCTGGTCCTGGCACGTGCCGATAACATCTTGGGCAATCGAAGTGATAGTGGGCAGCTTTAGTCGTCATGCGGGACTCGTTCAAGAGGCAGATGGGCGGCGTAAACCGCTGCCTGATATCCACGCAAGACAACCCAATCATTACTTCATTGCACAGCCGAGCCTGAAGGTAAACACACGCTGAAGGCCCATAAAGGTCGCTGCCACACTTGAACCCGTCAGGACCCATCTCTCAATTTTCCTACCAACTGCAAGACCGACTGAATAAGTCGAATCACTCATCGAAAGTGGGGCAACATGGCGGCACCAGCAGAGCAGCGCATAGCTGTACCCATCGACGACCCGAACGCAGATACAGAATGGTAAGGCTTGATGACCCTACCAAATCCTCCTCAATGCATTACTTGGCTGACCTTGTTTCAATGCAGGAATGACATTTTGCGCAAACATGGCGTTATCCCCGAGAAGCCTCCCTCTCCTACACCCATGATTGAAGAAGCTATTCTAGAGGGCCGCCGCATAGCACACGAGAACAGATTGGAGGGGAAGGACATAGATGAGCTTGACGAGCTGCAGGACCTGGAGGACGACGCTTTCCTCGAGTCATACAGACAGAAGCGAATGCAAGAACTCAACTTGTTGTCCAAGAAATCGATACATGGCACCGTCTATCCTATATCAAAACCCGAATACCAGCGGGAAGTCACCGAGGCATCTAACAATGGACCGGTTTTTGTCAACCTGACATCGTCGATGGCCACCAACGTGGAATCCAGAGTATTGACCGAGCTTTGGAAGCAAGCAGCGCAGGAATATGGCGACATCAAGTTCTGTGAAATACGGGCCGAGAAGGCCATTGAGAACTACCCGGACCGCAATTGTCCAACCATCCTTGTGTACAAAAATGGCGACATTGTCAAACAAATTGTCACTCTTGTCACTATAGGAGGTGTGCGGGTAAGCATGCTTGAAATCGACAACCTCCTTGTTGAAGTCGGTGCGGTGGGCGAGAAAGATATGAGGGTCATCAAGAGAAAACGAGATGCCGAGGACGCCAAAGAAGAGCAGGCGATGGGCAAAGGTATCAAGAGTGGAAATTTGAAGCACGCCACCGTGGGCGACGATGATGACTGGGAATGAGATTGCCTCTGTTCATGCACCAGCAGGTTTAGGCATCACAGGGGAACCGCAGAGAATCGAGTATCGGCACAATCAGGATGGTTTCTGCAGGACTATCCAACATCAATATCTGCTTGCGTGTGAGGCAGAAGCTGTTGGCCTAGGAGTTGGCCGAGCGGGAGATAAGCAGAAGACCTGTAACCAATTCAGGTTCTTGATGGCCAACGGTTCAAAACCAGTCGCTGAGTGGTGTAAATCCGAGCAACCTTGGAAGATGAATGAAGGAGAATGATCGAGTGGCCACTCAGGCGACTCTGTGCCTCTTAGCTGCTCCAAGTCTAGCATCAGTGTCAGCCACGATCTACACCGAAGAGCAATCGACCAAAAGTCATATTGACAATGACTGCCGAGGTATATTGGATCTGTAGTTGAGAAAGCGTGATGCTCGAAGTATTCGTGGTCGAGACCACTTTCTGTGCTCAGAGCAAACTTAGCGACAACCCGATAATCGGAATTCAATCCTGGTACGCAACACTTGAAGGAGGGGAAATATGTCATTCTTAAGTCGCGACGTGCCTTCCTTGACCTCTCTGACACTATATCTAAATCGGGTAAGTGGGGAGCTACCCCTAACACTGCCGATGACCGGCGGCGCGGTTCTGGAAACTCGGGCCCCCCACTCCGTGTTTGTGGAAAGTCGCGTCTTCTTCCAGCTATCTCTCCATTGGCCAGTTTTCCCCAAGCTTCACCCAGTTCACCAACTCGCCTTGAATTGGTTCTGGGAGCTTTGATAATTGGCTTCTTCGAATACCTCAATTAAGGAATTTGCGGTTCTTGAATCATCACAATGGCGGAAGAACCCACCTTGCCGCACATGCCCGCAGTGTCCTGGGATGCTGAGACACAGACCGTCAACCATGGGGGCACACGCAAACGCGGTCGTGGCGGTGCCGCATTGTCATCAATTTTCTCTAACTCGAGCGATCCTGCTGTCTTCTCCAGTGATGATGACCCGCATGTAGATAATTATACACAAGGGCACCGTTGCAAGAAGAGGTATGTTGGATCGTGGTATCAGCAACATCCAGCTGGTTCAGGCGATTCGACATTTGGTAACGAAGGTCCGAAACCAATATCCAAGTCAAAGAGGACTCTCGAGCGTCACTTCGACAGCGGTGTCTGGATGGGCAGTGACATGTCCACAGACATCGAGGATGCTATTGAAATCCAGCAACCTGCCACAAATCGCCTGCCGCAACCAAATACGGCGCGGCCAACCATATCAGCGGCTGAGCAGAGTGCTCGTCAAAGGATCACGGCTGCCATCGAGCATGGTCAGGAAGATGTTGATCTCACGTGAGTTTCTTGATTCTACCGGATCGACCACCAAACGTCTTATGGCCATCTTCCTGCGGTGTCAAATAAATTGGCTGCAAGGCTATTTATACAATTACCGTACAGGAGAAGTTGACAAAAAGACCTTGGCTATTGTCGCCAATGATTACTCAACTTGGCCCATCTAGGATTCAGACTAACAAGACCAGGTCACTCGGTCTCGAGACCTTATCCAACGCCACCATTGCACCGCTATCAGAGCTGGCAGTGATCCCAACTGTTGCCCCGGGCACACCTTTCGAACATACGGACCCATCACTAAAAGTGTACTTGTCCAGCAATCCTCTGATACGGGCACCTGGGGCTCTTTTTAATCTAGAGTTTTTGACGGTGCTTAGCCTCCGCAACACTCAAATTTCCGAACTGCCGCCTGCAATAGCCAACCTCAGAAACCTGAAGACGCTGAATCTATCCCTCAATCGGCTCAGATATCTACCTGCGGAGCTTCTTGACCTGATGACATACCCAGGGAAGCTGAAAGAGCTGATGGTCCATCCCAATCCATTCCACCAGCCCGAGGGCTGTCCAAATATCCCCGCATTGCAAGACGATCTTCGCAACACCACGTCTGACAATTCCTTTTCGCCGGCGATCACATCTTCAACAGAGATCAAGCCCACTCCGCCCATAATCTGGCTGGAAGGGCCTGGCGGACGGAGAGAGGAATTTCACTATTCTGCAGTCGAAGCGTCAGTATGTGACGAGAACTGGCAAGCTCTAGCCCTCGCGCGAACTCCAGTACAGTACACGGATAGCCGTGGAATCCCGACTTCCAGGTTTCGACTGCCGATGCATGTCGACTGCACAGAATCCGTATCAGATGACCGATCTCCCTTGACGATAGAGACCGAGGAACTGACGGCGGCCCCTTTGCTTCCGCGATCCACTTGGGAATCGCCCACATCTGCAACTTCTAGAAGTCGTGTGCCGTCTCTTCTCGAAGTGGCGCTCATAGCCTGCTCGCGCACAGCTCAACTCCCTCAACTGCCATCTTTACTCCCCGACAGTGCACCTCCTCATATGTTCAGCCTTCTTCGTAGCATCGCAAATCAGAGCGACGCAAACGCGAATTCTGGCGATGTGCCCTGCTCAACCTGCAAACGACGTATTATCGTTCCTGTAGCACAGTGGATTGAATGGTGGAATATATCGCGTCTGTCCCTAATGCAACACACACTGCGGAACCCAGGGACACCTGACGTAACCCATTGGTGGGTGAAAAGCTCGGCCCTTTCGACTGGGACCGAGGAGCGCGCAGTACCGTTTTGGAGAAGAGCTTGTTCTTGGGCTTGTCTTCCAAGGGCTATGGAGGTTGGGACACCGTTACCGGGCACGCTGAGGTTTAGCTGGGACGTTGAGAGTCAATCATGAGAACAGGGATGGAGCAAGCATTACTCCGATGTTTACTTGATGGTACTTGAATGATCAGTTGATTTTCCTGGGATAGGCCAGCGGGTTCTCGATAGAGAACTAGGCCATCGCCCATATACTTTTGGCAATCAGGATTGGGCATTAAATAGCGCGAGTCCCAAGGTGGAGCTGCTGTGTAGCGGAACAGTATTCCGGCGATCAGTTGTCTTTGGGAGTTTGGGTGTTTCAATGCGATGTTTGGATTTCATAACTGCAAAGTTGTGTACCATGTCCAATGACTATTCTTTAGAGGCACCACCCAATTTATACACTAATTTCTTGTAAAGTACCTAACCAGTCATCCAAGCGGAGGACAATTCTAAGACTAACCGCCATTCAACCTGGGTTGCGCCGTTTAGTCTGTCCTCCACTTGCTATACACCTCGGCAATCGTGCTCTAGAGCTGCGCATGGGCTTTCGAGCCACCAGTTGGGATTCACCGTGCCCGCCATCCCATTAACATTCATGTGGGAACATTCATGTGGGAAGGCATGACGACACACAGACGATACGCTTAGTGTAGACCCACCAGATCGCTTTTGACTCGACCGAAACTCTACTTTAACTTCATCTCTTTCGACAGCTCTGGCATTAAGTCTCCATTACCCGGACCAGGTTACACTACTTTCCGGTTGCCACTCCATGACTCTGATCGGCGACTGTGGCCATCTACTCAAGGCAAGCATATGCGGAGACGGTACTCATCATAAGGTTAAGTGCGTTTTCCTCCACCATGGAACGAGCAATCTTGCTTTCTTCTCACTCATTCTTCACTTCATTGTTGCTGAATTCCCAAACTATCACCTTGTCATCACCTACAACTTTCAGACTACAATGGAAGCCTGCCGAGCCTGATCAAGGTGGCATCGCAGCTTCACGCATAATCAACTAACCAGGGCTTTATACGGCGGACCTATCTTGACCTCAGCTCTGATGTCAATGTCACGGTCGAAAATAGGCTACAAACTGGACGACAAAATGAATGGCGCACTCAGGTGGGATCATCAAGTTACGCCTGGTCTACAACACTGAAATATCGCTTTATCCCACATTATCAAATCCCTGGTGCGCCGTTTATTCTGTCGCCTCCTTGACTGCGTTTTGAGAATGCCGCGAATAAGACGTAGCTGGTACTTGCATAAAGATCCGTGACCCAGGCACCCACGGGCCATTCGTTGCATCCATCACTAATGGCGGCGATATTGATAGCTGACGTTCCACAAGGAAACCAACAGACGCAATCCTCCGACATATATCCGGATCTATTACATATATCAATCAAAATAGGGACCCGATTTCCCAACAAAAAACAATCGCGGTCTAGAGAAGCTTCGATGTGGCTCGTGGTTCGCTTGAGCGATCTGTCTAGATCTCGAGGGCCTATAATCGTGACCGAAGGGCGATGTTGCCAAATCAAACAGTGCGCTTACAGGCGGCAAAGCCTTGTGAAGCTGGGACAGGTACCAGGGACGATTCCCATCCAAGTTAATGGAAAGAAATATTGGTGCAATTGGTCATGGATCTTCTCACCATATTTTCAGTCAGCTCATGGCACGCTGCCTTGTGGAACACAGCAGGTGATAGTGTATGTCCGAGCTCAAGTAGCGGCCCCTCATGTCAGAGGGATCGAGGTGGAGATGCTAATTGCCTGAGGGAGACTGCACCTGTTAGATGCGGCGAGTTTGCGTGAAATGGAAATGTGTTTCACGGTGTGACCAACGGTGTGACCAACGGCGTTGCCTGGGACGACTCGTGGCTTCTTTGCCTCCAGTGGCAAGTGGCGAAGTCGTATAGACAAAATCTCGAGTATATGTGAGAGCTGGCGGCGCCGCTGAACCAAAGGCATATATCAACTGCTTGTCGACATACTTCTTGGACTGATACTCGGTACACCGCCCAGCTCTATCACGTCAACTTGCCCTTTTGTTATCTTTCGCAGCCAATTGTTTGACGAGTCGCAATGGCCTGCGTCACTGCTGTTGGCTGTAACATCAACACCCCTTTAATCTTGGGATTTCAAAGCAAGCCTCCTACCCTGCTACACAAACACATGGTGTATCCCTTAGACTCCGCAAGTTATGACTGAGGGGTACTCCGAATAAGACAACGAAAGACAGCCATGTTAAAAGGCATCACGGAATGTGTCATTGCTTTTCCGGACCTTAAAAGACTGAAGGATGCACCCGTCCGAACAGCACATCGATGCCAAGCCTCGGCGCCAGGTTGAGCGATATTCTCGAGATGCCATGATTTAAGTCATGATCCAAGACAAACTCTTGTGTCTGAGGATTTGCTGGGAAACCAAGAACGTCATTGTCAGCGATTGCGTCGTTCACATTCCCCTCGTCTGCGGGATCGATGGCTGGAGGCTGCACCAACAGGCTAGTACCGAACGAGGGGGTCGGCTGGCACACGCTCACTACGACTACTACGTCATACACCATGAGAATTCTGTGAGGTATGGCTGTGTCTCTTTCCTGGCTTCTTCCACTCATCCACCGTCCCAAGTGCCGCCCAGGGACGGTCGGAGTCATAGTACCGCCGTAAAACGTCTTCTCTCTGAGACGTGGTCTTGACTCTGCCGTGGGGTTCCTCGCTGTCGAATTCATGATCGCGACCACTTCAAGAAGTCAGCCAGCACTCAACCTTGGAAGAATTTTGGCGCCTACTAGATAGACCCCTGACAGGGGATTGTGGACAGGGTGGTGGATTCATGGCTTGAGTCTGAGCATCCGGTCTGATATCGTTGGGCCTCGACCCCAGCAATATACGACTCAGGCCCATATGCAGTGCTTGGAGCTTCAACGACGCTGGGATGGTAGACGACATCCAAATCAATAATGCCTGGAGAATCGGTTCTTCCTAGTCCCCAGTCGGCAGAGCCGCCGCTGGCTGTCGTTACATGGTCTGGTCCCATGAATGAGGACCAGGGGTAGAACGACATATCTCCAGCCGGAGCAGTGTCATCTAGGAGTGTTGGGGAAATCCCGGCAGTGCTTTTATTCGTCAGTCTATACTGTGACATATTTGCATCGAGGACGGCTTCATACGCGCAAGCAGGTTGGGTGGTAGGCGTTTGTGCGGGCATACCAAAGTGTCTCGATGCGCCAAAGATATCAGCTTCGCTTTGGAATTCGGTTTGTGCTGCCACCTCAACGCTTAGAGGATCACAAGAAGGTTGGCCGTGGTCAGAACCGTCAGAAGCACACTGGCGACCCAAATTTCGACCCACCAAGTGCTGGCTATGACCGAAGGAAGGCTGTTCAGCGAACCCCCGGCTGATATAGGATACGTTGTTCTCGAATTGCGGTGGATGTCCATATGGAGGCCCGTCAACATACCCGCTCTGCCACGAAATGTCTTGGGACCAACCGGTTCCCTCCTGTGCTGCACAATGGTTGCCATCGTTGGGCTGAGGTGGATGACGTTGAGGTTTCGTTCCATGGGATGATCCCCAATTATTTCCTTGTCGAGTACTGGACATTTCTCTTTGTCAGGAGACTTGCTTGACAAAGCTCTGGAATGTTTCTGGCAGCGTAGTCTGTTCATAGAGAATCTTGACATCGGAACCAGGGGTTCATTTATAGCCTGGTGACTCGACAGCCCAAGACCGGGCAAGGCAACCAACATGAGACATTCGAGCGTCCTTAATGGTGTTTCAGGTGATGTAACGGCCATTTCTACCCAATGTTGGCTCGTGGAATCGATCGCCCTACTTTATGCCTTGGTCTTGGTTGCGAATGTGGACAGCGCGAACCACGCACTGGGAAATTGATACCCGCTAAGAGTGCACGGCAGGCGGAACAAGGCAACTAACAGGGTCAAGTGCCTTGGGATGTACGAACGACCGCCTGATTGAAGGCGTCGAGGCGTGGTCTCCGAATGGGCCAGTTGCGGAGGGCCATCTGTCAATGAGACTGATCTCGGTGAGAATGTTTGGCATCATTTACCTCAGTCTTTGAGGAATTTACTCCTGAATATTTTCTGGCGTCAAAATCAACACAAGATACTCTAGCAGGGCGGCTTGGCCTGGTCAGAAGACCGCCGAGTCGGCAGGCATGTTTAGCTCAATGGAGGACCCACTGCTTGTTGGAGTGAAAACACTGTTAGTTGACCAACGAATGTCCCACGGGGGCATGACGGGAGAGGAGAATGCGTCAAGCTTGGCACCTCGTTCTTCCTGTCACTCAGTCGCATTAACAACCGGATTGCTTGCATCTTTCGTTGAGCAAATGGACGCAGAACATGAGAGGTGGAACTTGAAAGTTGACACGGTCATTCTCCCTCACAAAAGCGGGAATGAAAGCGTGGAAGTAATTATGTTTGGAGCATATTTTGGCGAAAAACCTGGCTGGATTTGCTGGTAGAGGAAACTGGTTCGAGTGGTCTATCCCGCCAACTGAACTGACGGAACGCTACCGGGGACCAGGGCCAAACAAACGCAACCTTCACGCGGTTGTCCAACGGCTGGTACGCAATGAGGAAACTACTCTCAGCCAAATCGCTGGGATAACGAGCAAAGGTGGTCCGTCATTCACTTGCCTTCGGGTTCGTGAAGGCAGAGACGGTGAAAGGGGCACACTGGCGGGATCTATGGGGTGGTAACAACGCCACATGGTGGTGATGCATGACGGCGGCCCCGGAGGCACTCATGAAGTGGTGATCTTAGTCTGCATCGATACGCGGACTATTGTGGATAGGATTTGCCACTGGCTGCACGAAGTCGCTCATGACGATCTTCCGGGGTAAAGCAGTGTCCTAAAAAGAGCCATGCAGCCGTCCTTGCCTGCGTCTTCCACAGCATCTTGGGAAACGGAGTGCCTCTATTGAACCGACTATGAAGTATCTTTCTCGATACCCCTGTACTCCATTCTGAGAAAAATCGTATTTGGGTGCTTGTGTGGCCTTGAGAAGCCGGATATCAGACCATCCCATCACATCCCTCCCAATACGGCGTGGGGAGGTGGGACAGATTGGTTGCTTCCAATACCCTTTATTGCCAAACACATACACACCACCGACTGGCCTCGAAAGCTTCGGCAGATCCTGCGAGGCACCTTGTCATGATATTTTTTCTTCCTTTCGACAGCTATCTCTCAATATTTCTTATGCTGCAACCCGCCTGCGTATGGGAATCACACCACAATAACTTAAGCTGTTTTGGCAAATCTTCACTTCAACGAATGGCAAGCATACCCGGTTGCAACCAATCACCCTGGGAGCGCATAGCCCACCACGGGTAAGCGAGGCTGAACAGGGATCGCTTCAACATAAGATGGTTTGAATGCGATTTCGGTTATAGTTGGAATAGCATTATGCCATGGCTACAAGATCCCCCCAAAATGGCCACAAGACAGACAAGGAAGGCGCCGGCATTGACAGAACTGTACAGAAATCAAGGATTGTACGACTAGACATTGGAGTTGTTTTCTGTGGCCCCCCTGTCGAGTTGATGCCAACAACTTTCCTTCCGACGGGGTGCAGTAGCCGGCGCTTGCCAGCTGCATCAACCCCGCGTGAAAGACGATCTGCTGGAAGAACAGTGTTGTCACATCGAGCAGATACATTCGCAAGGAGGCCGATTGTGAAGGATTTCAGTGATAAGCTTCGTCTTCGGTTTCGGAGACTCCTTTGAGGCTCTCAACTCAGCCATACCCACATTCAAGCTTCAAGCCATTGTGAGCAAGCAGTGTTACATACATAGCTTGAACTTACTGGCTATCCAATGTCTTGGGTTCGTTTCTTGGCGACGGCCCGCATGCCATGTTCGGTCTTCCATTTCCGGGTTATCCGTCGCCCATGGCTCCCCTGTCTTGGATACAAGTTCAGATACATTCTCTGTCCTTGTTCCCCTTACCGGTCTCCATACGGCATATCCTTATGCAGCCAGTGACGGTGTATGAAATTCGTCAGGCCGCTTTCTGCCGGCACTGCAACATTTGTCCCAACAAGGAAATGGATCCAGTCGATAGCGGCAATCTCGGTATTAATTCACATGATGATTGCACCTCCTGGTAGTGAGCTTCTGTCCTGCGGCCGCGACTACGGGTCATGTACTTCTCACAGAGACTATACAACAAATGCCTGGGTGTGCAGCGCACACCTTGGCTTTTTGCTGGCGCTTATTCGTATCTTCAAAATGGATACCCCAAACTCCCTTATCCAAAGTTCGAGTTGTACAGCCTTGTGGCTGTTATCTTCATCCGGGGAATCGCTACACCAATTCACGTACACGCACCACGCCATGGGTAGGTCTGTCCCAATCATGATAAGAGACTGTCTACACGGTTGTTATAGGACAAGATCTAGCGGTCTCTGTCCCCGGCAAGCTTCTTTCCCAATCTGGACGGGTTACAATCTACAGCTGTTGACAATGGGTTTCCCAAATACAACGAGTCGTCGAGCAGAATCGTTGTATTTACAGTGGGATCTCTGTTGAACGATCATCTCGTTCGACCACATGGTTGGTGATCAGCGACACACCTATTACCGCCGCAGTCGCCTTGGGGTGGTACCTCGTACTACTCCTTGAGGCTCTGCTTCACCGCCCCTCCTTTATTCGCACATTGGGCATGTATTTATCTAGTGTTTATTTTCTATCAATGGGAGTTGTCCGCATACGCTTTGTATGATTCGATACCGGTGTTGGACAACCAACACCACTCGCTTCGCAAAGCGAGTCGCACAAAAGCCTGCCAACGACTGGTAAGATGACTATTGCGGGATGGGTATGATCTTCGTCGGCTCCATACCACTCCACAGAGAATCTTCAACGCTTTCCTGTTTCCATTAAGAGTTTAACCGTCCATTGGATATTGGGCTGTTGACTCGAACACTGCCTCATCCACACACCGCCGCTCTAATGCACCTCATCTAAGCGACCTCATCGCAACTATAGCCATAGTAGTTGCGGTGTGAACCGGCGTGAGTGCGTCGAAAATCGCGATTCACTACTCTCCTTGTTCTGCTAGGTCAAGTCAAGGGTGACAAGTTGTCGCTTGCTGAATCAACAAACATCAGCTACCGACCTTAGAAAAATGGGCGAAGTGCAACTCCTGGGGTATCTAGGCTTAGATTTACACTCAATCTGGTTGTTGGAAGACATTAGTCGCTACTGTGGGGGAGATAGGAGAGTCTGTATCGGCCCTGGTCCAATGAAGAAGCAGGCTTCAAGATTCATGCTCCGGCCAGCACACCCATTATCCATCACTCCGGCATAGTCTGGTCGGGTCGGGGCGTAGAATAGCACGGGTTTTTGTTGCCGTCGATAGGCGGTGTCGTTCGTCAACCGCATCATTCCGAGCTGCATCTTTCCACAAGCCCAACTAATACCTTGGGCTCTATGTTGAGTTGTACCTCACCCTCCTTTACTGCATTTAAGCATCTACGGACACAGCCACGCCATTTCGAAATTTCTGGTTTGGTCTCGTCACTATAGTCGGTCTGTTTTCCTCTTGTCTTCTAACTGTCGTGGTACCCAGTACTTGTATCATCTGGTTCTGCCAACTTGCACGGTTATTTTGTCTCTACACAGCATTCATACATTTCCAAACACGACACAAACTACGAGGAACCTCAAGCTGGAGCAATCCACAAGCTCAGGGTACCAGAAGATAGCACCGAGACTTTGTTGGATGATCACCTAGACGCTGGTCTGTACAGACTCGTACCCCTTTTCGGACCACCACTCATTGAACGACAACTGTGGACTTGCGGATTGAGCATCATGGAGACGAATGGGCATCACCAAGGTTGCGACTGCAAAGGAAGAAGCATCATTACGGTTCCCGAGGATGGTGTTTTTACATCGGCGGTGCCGCGGCCTGATGTGTTGCTCAAGATTCCACATGAGCTATTGGGGATTACAGGGGCACAGCGGGGATCAGGAAACTTCACAGTCGCCGACCCAAATACTCAGTTGGTGCGATCGTACGCGGCGAGAATTGCCGATCCCAACGACTTCGCTTCTGTATGGGAGCACCGCATCGTTCCACTGATAAAGAGGCTACTCAAGGAGAGTTTCAAGGCCAAGGTGTCCACCTACCAAGAGAAATTCCGCCAAAGTGTCCACATAATAATCTTCATTACCTTGAAACAACTGTTAAGCGGGGAGGAACAAGCGGAAATTCGTGGCAAACTTATGAACGGTATTCCCGAATCTTTCTCAGACATAAAGGTCGAGTTTCTGACCGGGAACGTCGAGGAAATTGGATATTGCCGCATGAAGCTGCGTCATGGGGAAGAAAGAGACGGGCTTGGTATAGAGTTGAGCCTCTTGGATATGCCTTGCGACCCCAATGATACCGGTTCCCACGGACTCCTGATCAGAGGGATTTCTGCCGAGCCAGAAAATAAAATGTGCGCCTCGACACTTGGAAGCACTGCCTGCGAAGTTGAATTGCACTTCTTTACCGTCACGTACCATTCGTCCGAGAATAATGCCGCCGACAGCAGTGCAAGAGTTCCGTCATGGGTCACGTCCGAAGTCCCAGGGCTCCATTGTTCTGGCGACGACGACAAAATCCACCGAGTTTGGACAGTCCGAATATGTGTGCCCCTGACAGGTGAATATTGGACGGAGGACCCCGGCTGCCAATCGGAGGAAAAACTGGTCATTGGCAGGGAATGGCCAAGCGGTCCAGATGCTCGTATCACGCAGCGATCAAATCACGCCGTCGTTGGCGGTTGTGTCTGCGCACGAGACATCGATGGCGGGTCGAATGAGGGGGTTCGATATATGTTTGCAGATGTGAAGGAGGCAATTGGGAAAGAATTGACCTTGCCAACATATATTGCAGGCCAGGGAAAGTTTGGGTCGGGCCAGCGCTCGTTCCTTGACTACGCCGAAAAGGGTGGACACGGTGACCCTTGGAATGTATTCTCTGTCGGGATGTCGAGAGAGGAAAGACTCCGTGGATCTGGTTTGGTGTATGGCGCAATGCGAGGGACTTATCCGCCAGCTGTTGTAACTTCGCGCCAGTCTGCGAAATATGACGAGGATCAGTGGACTGCGATGTCTGTTTATGCATCCACCGCCTGCGGTTTGTTGCATCGCGTCAGCCCGTCATCTGATTCGGCTCCGCCGACAACCCCATCACTCCTCTACTGCTCGACGGCTTCAACCAGTGCTCTAGAGGAGGAGATGGGGAGGCAGAAAGCGTACCCGATGGCAGTTGGCTTGCCGGCTGGCGCGGAGACTTCGTCTTTATTTAACTTCGATTTCCTTGAGTAACAAGATCTGGACACTGTCATTCCGTGCGACCAGTGCCACGGCATGCGGCTCTAGATGGCAAGCGTTGGACAGGAATGCTGTGGAATTATTGTCTCACTTCTGTTCTAGACGCAGCTTTCGGTGGGCTTTTCGGCTTCGATTTTCTGCTAGCTAAGCGCTTTATCATTGTTCGATAGGATTTCTGTAAAAGGGGAGTTGTTCTAGCTGCGGCCTACTATACAGACACGTTCATTCGTGGGAGGAAGAGATCGAGGTAGGCGACGAAAAGGGATGATTCTGCACAGAGAGGCGACTTTGGGGAAACAATGGACCCGTGGGCAGGCTGTCTATCAATCAAATCAGTTTCTATTCCCTCAGCTGATGCCTCGTACTCAGCCGCCCTGCAAGGTTGAGATACTTGTCTCAGATGGATATAGCTCATAGTCGCGCAACTGCAAATCCTTTCAGTCATATGTGTCCCAGGGCTTTAAATGCGTAACTCAGATAATTGGCAGCAACACCAGTCCATTAATTGGACACTGAAAACCCCGAGAGTCAGTCGAGTCATTTGGGTTCGAAGCAATGGGTCCACGGGTGACTTCTTCAGGGTTCGAGGTCGTCACTACAAATCGGTGTCAGAAAGTCAAGTCTAGTGCTCAAATACTGAAGGCCACGAGGGCTGGGTAACAAGGGTTCAAGATGATTCATCCTCGAGTTGCTTCGGAGCTGGAGGCTGGCTATTTCCAGGTCGGTATCGGAAACTCAAATCGAGGAATCAGAGAAACGCCCGACAATTCAAGGACAAATGGATGATGCTGATGAATGAGGCACAATTTCTTGCTTGTTTTTTGAGCGAATAAGTGCTTTCAGCAGTCTCCAAGGGGCTTGTGTCACTGTAACAATGGCCCCAGAGCCCTCTCACCTACATGGCAGACTGCACAACGAAGTTCCCAGCCCCCCTGGATTATGGAGCACACAATCCCCACCAGTATTACACGCATACCATAGGATGATATGATGGTCAATGATAAAGGCCAACATCTCCCTGTCTCGGTGATCCTCCACCGATGAAGGTCGCCGTTCATGAGGCCACCGCCTGTTTAGAAACTGGCATATACACGGAGAAGGCAGCCAACCAACTAGCTTACCCTGAAAGCATGCCGGGCTCGTATGGGAGTTCGGTCTGCTCTTCCCTTGCCTTTCAGCCTCCCCAAGTAAGGACCCGAAAAGCAATCAAGGTTCCCGTCCCGTTCGGCTTCAAAGAAACGGCGAAGGTGACTGGATCATTGGATTCCTCACCTCTGGAGCATCTTCAGGGCGGGGGAGTGCCTACATGCCTGCCTAGCTGCCTGGTTGTTCGGTCTGCTGCCAGTCCAATAGTGACGGGTTAGATCTAGTGGAGCACCCTGATGTGAACGGTTCGCGCCCCCCCACGGTGCCAGCCCCCCAACGGTGCCAAGCGACTCCCCTGACTTGTCCGACGTCCCAGTCCCTTGGAACTGGCGATGAACGTAGAGGCAGGGCTTGAAAAGGAACCAAGTACCTTTGAAGTAGCGCTGCCGTGTGTACAGTGCCAGCGACTGTCCGCAAATCTCAAGCTCCAAAGCATCAACGCCGCAACTTCCAACCCAACATTTCACGGAACAAAGAAGTGCATTTCTTTTGCATTTTATTTGTTCTGAAATGTTGGGTTTGATAATCTGCAGTCATGCTTCTGACCTTTCTATTGGAATTGGAGACAAGGCGAATCCGAAGGCTAGCGCCCACCTCCTCCCTCCTCCCTCCCCTCAAACTGGCTCAGTGAGCTTCCGGTCAGGCGACCCGACAGACCACGGCATGTTCACGAGGCTTGTATAAAGGAGAAAAGAGTTGCATATTGTGCACAACCACTAACACCGATGATTTTGCATGTTATTTTAGCGGCATCATCGCAAACAATTGCCAATTCTTGTGACGGCAGGGATAGACCAGTCGCATGTATCATCAGTAACACGTATGCTGAGGCACTTTTACTTAGCGATGTAGCTCACAGCTACCTATCGATGGCGTGATTGGGATGATGCTGTTCATAACTGCAAGGGATTAGCATTTGTACAAACAATATAGCCGCCCGCTCGTTATTTCCACAATGAACCCGGGGGATACACCAACTACGGAAAAGGAGGCGTTCCAATTAATTGTTGGCAGTATGGCCCTTTGTTGCCACCAGCCAACATGGACTGCAAACGGAAACTCCGTCTGTCCTGCATACCGGGATCCCTACCCCCAAGATCGATCAAAGGGTCCTCATCAAGGACGTATTCTTCCTCGAGCCTACCGCCGCTACTGCCACTCCCGACGGATATGACGATCTCATGGGCTAAACGTTATGCACCACAGATCTTGACGTAATAATATCAAAGACGTGGAAGGAGGCCCAAAGAAGAAGGCTCATCTGATCTGAGCCATTTCATCAGATAAGTCAGATGACCAATTTGGGATTGATAGATAACATACCCGCTCCAGTGGTAATGGCCAACCCAGACGGAGACGAACCCGGCGCTAATCCCCTGTCCAATAGTCCCACTTGTTCCCTGGGAGGTGCGTCTATCTGCATGTCATCCCGCAGTTTTCCAGGCGTGTAGTTCGTGGAGTCGGACAAGCCCATTTACGGCAAGGGTATGGGGGGAGCCGATCTTGTTCGAGCTCATCTCGGACCAATCCCCGTCCGGTAACCGAAGCGCCTCTAAATGCACGTCTTGACTGATTTGGGCCGCTAAATATGCAGTGCAAAGTGAGCGATTTAGTGGGGGCCACCTAAGTTCGCGAGATAGCCGGATGGTTAGTATCCACTTGACCGGAGCCGCCATCTTTCAGACCATACACCACGGAGAGGGAGGAGAGGAGGCTGAATCTTGTGCAACTGAGCCGAGGAGCTCATAGCGTGTGTGGTCTCCGTGTGTGGATATTCGCACTGATCGCTGACCATGTTTATAGTCTAGAGAAACCCAAATCGATCGGGGTGGATGCGTCCTGTGTCTCCTGTGCTTGTAGGTGCATTGGTTGGAAGCCGACCCCAGACGAGCTACAAACTTTTTCATATTGACGTAATTATTTCCGTGGCTTGAAGAGAAAAACCTGTTTGAAATTGTTGCACCGAGATCAGTTGCCCTATACTTCGTTGCGTTGCTGCCACCGTGACCAACTTGAACAGGAGTTGGGCGGTTATACTACAACCACCTCCTATGTGCGAGCCCAAACTATGGTAAGATCATTTCGGGCAACATCATGAAGCAAACAATATATTGGACAAGTTCTTGAAAGAATCTTTTTCCAGGAGATAAAACAAATGCGCCTCGTCCTCCCGCTTCCACCGGCAGCGAGTATATATGTTGATGGGCCACACCACTTGGCACCCTCGTTGAAGTGGCCCGACTCACCACAGTTCCAGTATCATTAGACGTAAGGGTGGACTTGAAACCCCGTTGGAAAGTGTTGAGAAACTCTATAGGTTCGCGAACGTTTCTTTCTCTTCGTTGTTATTGCTCTCTGCTTGTCGTGTGGCCGGAGTGCTACTGTTTTCGTAGCGACTCATCCACGTTGCTTTGCACTGCCGATTCGTCATGCCATTCGACCTCCTAATATTTTCAAGTCTTCCTATAGAGCGGAGCTTGCTTTTGGAAGATTCGACGGAAACGAATAAACAATATTTCTTTGCATTTCCTTCTTAGCGGAAACCAGGTTGGAGGTGCCTGTTGAGAACCATACATACTACCACCCCTATCCGTTCCGCCTTGCCATTCATTTATCAACATCTCGTCAACTTATAACGGCCCACGATGATTCATTCATGAGAAAGATGGACCGCATGAGTACCATCGCAAAGAGGTACGGAGAGATGAGACACAGGAAAAGGGGGCATACGTACTATCACCCCCGTGACACCGTGTCATTCGCACCTCAAATTTTCCTTCACCATTCTTATATCGAGCGACGGCAGAATATCTCGGGAGAAAGATCGATAAACATCTGCGACACGAAAACAGGAGGGGGCACATACATACCGTCACCGCTGCTTCATCGTGTCGTTTTCGTGGTCACGCTTGCTTCAGGCTACTCCGCTTGAAGAGAGATGCTGGGCTGGGATGCGAAAGGCACAGGTGGGAGCATACACACTGCCGCCCCTAGTCTGTCGCTCCATCAGATCATCAAAGGGCTTTTCAGTCCTCGAAAGAAAAAGTAGGAGAGTTTATGAAGGAGATGGAAACATGTGCACATGATTGATTATGTTGAGAAGAGGCTGCGAGGTTCCAGATGTCGCAAGAGAGAGGGGGGAGAGCGCTTACCGACGGGCATGCGGACATGCTGTCACTACCGTATTGTTGGTTCAGTATTCCAATGACATTTCTTCACGTTCTAATAAAAGAAAGTAGCTAACATTCCCAAGGACAGATGACTACGCTTGCAATTCTATGAGATAAGACGACGAAACATGAGTAGAGACGAGACGTACAAGTGCGAGCACGCGATGCATGGAAACATCGCATACCACTTCAAGCCTATCTCCGACAGTTATTCCCGGGTGTTCTCATCGAATCCACTTCGCAGCACAGCTCTCATGATTCCTCATCAGCGTCGCGTCCTCAAACACGTCAGCGAGGTCTGCAAATTCCCGCATCCTGAGGCCACGACGACAATTACCACGATTGAATTCTTCGTAACCTGCCGAATTGCGTTGTCTTGGTTTATTTTTGGACACAGACTTGTTCGGCGATTAGCAATGTTTTGGATGCAATGCTGGCTTGGGATCATTTCCCTTCAAGAGAGTATCTGTCAAGCAGGTGGCAGTGCTTGCTTATGCTTGACCTGTCCTGGTTCGCCCTGGTGTGCCGCACAGCAACAACTGCTGCTTGCATAGATTCTCACATCAGTGTCCGGTCGAGTATTGTTTCCTTGCCTCTTTAACTAGGAAAAGGCGCAGCAGCCGAAACCAAGGTCTTGGATGCTTTCTCTGAAATTCAATCTCGAGTGATCATCAGCCC